CAGCGCGTTCCAGGTGTTGATGATGTTGTATGGAAAGGAGCGTCTACTTAAGGTAGTTAGGTGCGCCTGGAGGGAGAACATTTTCCAGTTGGCCCAGTAGCTTGTAGACGAAAGTCAGCGCCGCCAGTGTCCGTCGGGCCTCAAGGCTCTGTAGCAAGATGTTGGGTCCCATGATGTGGAGGGCACGCCTCTGCACTCTGTTAAGGTGATCAAGGTTGGTGGGAGCAGCTCCCATCCAGACAAGGGGAGCGTACTCGAGCAGGGGCCGGACGAAGCCGTGATACACGGCCAGCATGCCACGACAGTCCAGAACGCGAGCAGCTCTACGTAGGAAGCCAATACGTGAATTTGCCCTGGCAGCAACTGACCGGAGATGCATGGAAAAGGATAGCTTGGAGTCAACCATAACTCCGAGGAGCTTGAGGTGTGGCTGTTGTGGGATGACCTCCCCTCCAAAGTTTATTACGGGGACAGGCAAAGGCTGCTGTCGATGGCAGGAGATTCGTAGGAGCTGCGACTTGGATGGTTCAAACTTAACATGCCACTGTGTTCCCCGTGCATGTTACGCATTGACGGAAGCTTGGAGACTGTCAGCTTGGTGTATGGCATCATCGCGTGTATTGACGCAGGCATACAGCGTGGTGTCGTCTGTAAATGTTCCCATTTCAGACCCTGGAGCCAGGCAGCTATCAGCATCATTTTTTTGTAATTTTTATTGTTTAAGGATTCCCCAAAGGCTTTCGCCTATCGAGGGGGTTTCCAAACTTTCCATAATACCAAATCTGTAAAAGAAGTAATGAGCAATAGGTGAGCAACGGAGAAAGAGAAAAAGACATAGTCTAGGGCAGAGCTCTGCGCTTGAGCATATGATTGTCAGCTTGCAGAACTGGGATAATACATGTAAATGATGAAAAATGTGCCAGAGATAAGCTTCTAAAGAATATGATGTGACGCTACATATTCAACGGAATTACACTGCAGTGAAACCAATGCTCGTAAAACTATTTCCCAAAATCGGTGCGATTTTGCATGAGCCCAAATGTTCAAGTTACTAGTACCCACAAAGACACAAGCTTTCCAACTCTCTTTGGCCGTTGGAAAGCGTACCATCCTTTCGAAGGTAGGAGAATGTGAAATAGCTAGATGATTGTACGACAGTTCTAGTACTATGCAGTGTGCACCTGATCAGTGATGGTGGTCTGCATGGTAAAGGGTTCGGAGGTCAAGCTGATAGCGTTTTCAATGAAAAGCAGGCAGCAGGGTAGAAATCATGGCAATACCGTATTGTACGCTCAGGCTCATCTTCTTCAAAGTTCTTTCTCACACTGATACAGTCTTTGTGGTCCACTTTCACGACAATAACACACACACAGAAGTCTCTGCTGTGAGCACGGTGGCTCGGCAATGGCTGTGAGCACGGTGGCTCGGCAATGGCTTTATTTATTGATATTATAATTATCCTCTCCCTGATTTTTTTAATAATACCGGTAATTGTATGCATAGAGATACTCAATCTGCGGACAGCATGCTGTTTCGTTCTTTTTGAACTCATCAGCGCAGCACAGAGGAAATGAGGCCGAACCTGATAGCAATGGAAATAAAAATTTCCAATCAGGCCCGAACGTACCTTGCCAGAGCGCTCAAACCGACAAGTCAGTGAGCTCTGCATAACGCAAACAGCAAAGGCACTACCCCACGCAAGAGTGCTCAACTGCTACAAGAGCAGGAGCGAAATACTCAATCTGCGGACAGCATGCTGTTTCGTTCTTTTTGAACTCATCAGCGCAGCACAGAGGAAATGAGGCCGAACCTGATAGCAATGGAAATAAAAATTTCCAATCAGGCCCGAACGTACCTTGCCAGAGCGCTCAAACCGACAAGTCAGTGAGCTCTGCATAACGCAAACAGCAAAGGCACTACCCCACGCAAGAGTGCTCAACTGCTACAAGAGCAGGAGCGAAATACTCAATCTGCGGACAGCATGCACGGCTGTTAGCTGCACTTGGATCGCGGCAACTTAGTTTTCTGCACGTGAACCATGAAAAATCAATGCATGCTCATGCATGTTCATGCATAACCAGTCAGCTGGCCTGCTCGCCCACGCATTTGACAGGTAACAATTCCATCAAATTTGAGATATCGCTTCGTTCTAAGTCTCAAAACAGTTCTAAAGTCACCAAACCACGCTGGTAATCGATGGCTATTCAATGTTAACATCTTCAGGAAGACTTCAGCCGTTTCCCGAGAGGTTGGGCATCGTTGCCGTTATTTTTCACGGTGTTCTTCTTCCTCCTGTCTGGAGCTGCAATTGCATCCTGGAATTATTTGAAAGGTATTTCGTGCGGGCTGTGGGGGGTTCCAACAGGCATAAACTGACATCGCTATAGGATAACTGGTAACTTTCATCCTTCAAGGAAGTAGAGCAATGAGAATTTTTTTGTGGCGGTCGTCCAATTTTTGTGGCGGTCGTGGCTGTATTTGTGCACTTCCAAGGCTTTCATTCTGCCTGATACTACTCTCTACTGTATGGGAATCGTTGTTTAGGCACATGTAGCTGTCTTATTTGGTAGATCTGCTGTTTTCAATCACTTGGGACACTTTGTCTAGCCAATTTGTCTTTCGTTCGTGCCATCTATCAGTTTTGTGGGGTGCCTTGACCTGTATTTGTGAAGTTCTCGAGTAAAGACCCTAATTCTTGACTGGAGTCACGTCTTGAATTGAATTTGATGGGTGAGCCCTCGTTCACGCAGTTGTACTTATCGTAATAGTCAATATCTGCTTGCTGGACGGACTAGCGGCTAGAATAGGGATGACCGAATGGTCCAAGTGTGTACTAGTACACGATTATTGTTTCCATCATCGTGAAATGAGTGTTGTGGAATTGCAGTCGTCTGCCTTTGGCACTGAGGACATGAGGAGAGTTGATTGTTACTTCTGCTCAGCAATGAAGCGATCATCAGCTCTCTTTGTTCTAATTATTGAGAGGACATACCGGCATCGCAATCAAGTAAAGATTAGGCAAACCTCGCCAACCTCCAAAGAGAGTCGAAGATATTTTCTCCAAATGCAAAGACGATCTTTGTGAGTTTGTGACTTGCATTGGCGTGCATACATGAGCAAGTCACGGACCCCGGCACGTGCGCGGTTACCATGCCATCTCGAACCGACGCCATCTTTCTAAGTTGCCGCTTCTTGACAGCCGTGCATGCTGTTTCGTTCTTTTTGAACTCATCAGCGCAGCACAGAGGAAATGAGGCCGAACCTGATAGCAATGGAAATAAAAATTTCCAATCAGGCCCGAACGTACCTTGCCAGAGCGCTCAAACCGACAAGTCAGTGAGCTCTGCATAACGCAAACAGCAAAGGCACTACCCCACGCAAGAGTGCTCAACTGCTACAAGAGCAGGAGCGAAATACTCAATCTGCGGACAGCATGCTGTTTCGTTCTTTTTGAACTCATCAGCGCAGCACAGAGGAAATGAGGCCGAACCTGATAGCAATGGAAATAAAAATTTCCAATCAGGCCCGAACGTACCTTGCCAGAGCGCTCAAACCGACAAGTCAGTGAGCTCTGCATAACGCAAACAGCAATATAAAAAATATGCACATTGACAAGATACTGCTGCTAGTCGCACAGCGAAGCACACAGAAAACGACAAGATGTTACAATGAATGTAACAACACCCGTCCAAGCTAAAGGACCTACATCCCTGCCCCAGGGCCAGGATGGTATCTTGAAAAAACCCACACACTCACCACACGGTCATCATCCAGCTTCAGTTCAATCACAATACAGTGGTATTCTTCCCATGCAGATTTAACTCCCCTGGCACTAGCCATACAATCTGAAGCTGTACGTAACCATACAAAGGCCCGCGACGCACACACCACCCCTACGGTTTTTTAACTAAAAAAGAAAAGCAGTCGTAACTGCCACAGCCACATGACCAATAAGAAAGCCAATAAGATTATATCGATAAACACACACCCAGAAGTCAGGGGTGGGAGGGTGGGATACAAACTGCACCAACGAAAAGCCACTGCGAAGTGACAGGAATGCGGTCAAGCCCAACATTTTTGCTGAAGCAAAAAGTTGCAGGGAAATCCCAAAATCAGTGCGATTTTACATAAGCCCCAAATGTTCAAGTAAGTATTAGTTACCCACAAAGACACAAGCTTTCCAACTGGTACGCTTTCCAACGGCCGAAGAGAGTTGGAAAGCTTGTGTCTTTGTGGATAACTCGAAACAATTTGCGCTAAGACGCTGCAAAATCGCTCCGATTTTGGATTTCATTCCACAGAATGTGGTACCGACAAGATGCGGTCCTTGACCGCATTTCCGTCACTTCGCAGTGGCCTTTCTACCGTTCAGTTTGTTCCCGCCCTCCCACCCCGGACTGAAGGGTGTTTATAGACATTGTGTTGATGTGTGTGGTTTTGCCTAGGGCAGTTACGACTGCGGTGTTTTTCTTTGTTGGTCTTTTAGAAAAACATTAGGGGTGGTGTGCGCGTCGTGGGCTGTTGTATGGTTACATTCAGCTTCAGAGGGTTATTGACAGGGGATGAATTGGCATGGGGCAGAATGCAAGATTGAATTGCAAGATTGAATTGAAGGGTTGGGATTTTTCAGGGGCCATCAAGGCATTGTGTTAACTGAAGCTGGATGATGACCTGTGTGGTGTGCCGGTGTGAAGATGATGTGCAAGGGTGTTCTCTTGCGTTTCTGAGGTGTGCGTTTTTACATTTCCCTATTGTTATGCCGTTGTTGGCGTGTTGTGTGTAATTATCAGCATTTTTGATTGACTGTATCGATCGTTGATATATTTTTGTAAATGTACAAATATTTATAGGAAAAAAGGAAAAAAAGAGAAAAAAAGGAAAAAAATTCTAAATAAAGGCCATTGCCGAGCCACCGTGCTCTCAGCACTTCGCCATTGCCGAGCCACCGTGCTCTCAGCAGGAGACTTCTGTGTGTTGGTGTTGTGAGAGTGTACCACAAAGACCTCTTTGGCCGTTGGAAAGCGTACCGTACATGTAGCAGAAGATGCGAGTGAATCAGTCTTTATCAGGTATCCTGGGGCGAACGAGATACTACCACCGACTAGTACTAGTGACGGGTAGTCCGCAGAACTCCGCGCACATGTACATAATCATTATGCATGTTACGAAGTCATGACCTCTGGATTTCAGCAGCCAATACTGTGCAGGCTATGGATATTGCTGATAGGTAGAGTTGATGTCCGGTCATGATGGAAGCAGAGGTGCAGCTACTGGAGAGATGAGCTGATTATTTGCAGGGTGAGGCCAGGAAGGGTGACATCGGCTGGACGAGTAGGACTACTTGATTACGAAGACAGCTGAACATGATAATTTTTTCAAAGGTAACTCAACTTAAATTTGGCAATAAAAAAATCTTTTTACAGAAGTCAACTAATGAATAGAAGAAGTAATGTTTTCTCTTTTCCATGTTCATCTCTAGCAAGCATGGACACCTTGGCGTTGGGTACTCATGCAACATTAGGTTGTACTTATGGCCACTTGCACATGAGTACGAAAATGGCACAATTTTCCGAACTTTGAGGCTCCATAAGTACAACAAAGTGAATATGTATCTCCGCATGCCAAGGCATAATAGGAGGATTCTGCGAGCATAATGCGAGAATCCATGAAAGCATGATTTCGCGAGCATAATCCGCCGGAGCCCTAAGTACATGACATTGTACTTAGGACAGAAAAATCGAAAAGCTGCAACCAAGTAATTACTAAAATAGTTCATTATACCACACAGCTTGCATACTAATGCCGTCGCACGCAAGAAGGCTGCTTTCAGCCGACTTGTCACGCGATTGAATTCCCTACTCTGAGTTTTCACGCGTGTTTGGAAAACACACATTAGGAAGTGTTGCATACGTGTGGAGATGGGCACGGGGCTGGGAGCAGGTCAAGAAAAGCTAGTTACAACAGAAGCATAACCAAGACTACCATTTACATTTACCAGGCACATACCGGTACATTATACCAAAGAGTTCTGAGAAAAGGGGCGCAACATTTCAATGTTGCAATAAAGCAAACTTCGGAAACCGTGTGTGATCACTATTGAAATCGATGTGATAGGGTGGTACATGTATAATTTGGCACCATTTGTGCTACGGAAATTCTGCTTGATTAGGGAGGTTGATGGACTATAAAAGTCTGATTTATTGCTGTAATGTGCACGATAAGGACGTACTGAAAATTATGATGGTTTATAGAGAGTGCTGGTTTATAAAGTGCTGGATTAAAGAGGGACGACTGTATCTAGATGGGTGCAACGAGTAATCTCGTTTTAGCGGCATTGCAGTGCATGTAACACATGTTGCATAGGATGGATATCAATGTGATGCAACGAGAGAGCTTGGAAGCTCAGGGCCCTGCGCTATGCTTTGTTGCCTAGCTCATCGTGCATGTTGTTAGAACTGATGGAAATGCTTTTTCCTTTGATTAGCTAAATCATTGTTTTGCAAAAACGTTTCAATGAGATACTGAAGTACAAGTAACGTCTTCTGCATAGCTATGGGACCGGCGCTGACTCTGCCGATGACGGGCGTTCTGGAGTCGACGGGATGTCTGTCCTGACGTTTCCTGGGACCAGCGCTGACTCTGCCGATCACGGGCCTTCTTCTTCTTCTTCTTATTATTATTATTATTATACTGACGGCAACTAACATCCATTCTGATTGCATTTACTCGTCTCCCTACTTCGTATTTCTTTCCAGAAAATCTCCCCATACAGCAGGGAGTCGTTTACATAATATGACTCCCTGCTATACATCTACATGACTGTATATACGTTATAATTATTATGCTATCGGCCTACATGCGATTTCCGGGCTGGTCGACAGGCGGCCCAGCCAGCCTGCTAGTGGGATCTCGGCCTCGCACACAAATCCACACAAAATTTAATGTTACTGCACTGAATGCATTCCCCCCATACACTTCGCATATATACTCATTCTCTTGATGGTACCGTACTCTTGATGATACGGGACAGGTACGGGATAGCGCCAGGCATGTCGATGGCACAAACAAACAAAAATATTGTGGCCAGCTGTCTTTGCTGGTACGGTACAGTACGGGATAGATACAAAATAGCGCCAGGCGTGACACAAACAAACAAACACACAAACAAACACCAAATTAAAGCTGTGTGGACCCTGGCTAGCGCCAGACGTTACTGAAGTAACGTCTTCTGCATAGCTACGGGAATAACACTAATGTTATGCGTGTATGGATGTGGATGTGCCTACATAGACTGGTTCCTTCAGTGAGTTGCAAGTCACCTGGGTTTCAACCGATGTATCCAATCAGGGCCCTTCTCTCTGGGTAAGGAAATCAGCAGGTCTCTACTACTGAGTAGTCCTCTGCCTAGCTGTCCTCCGTTGTCTGTTCTTGTTCAATGTTATCTGTCTCCCATCTTTCTTTGTAATGGCCTCCCAATAGGTTAGTATTATTATTATTATTAAAAGCATGTCCGCGTAGGTGGCGGGGGTGCCACTTTCGCTTATGCCATTCAGGATTGATGTCTGAAGAGTAATACGATACAATGAAATGACAGAAGTGACGTCAACAAAAGCCGTTAGCAACAACACCAATATGACTAATGGAAAACTTCATCCAAAGTATAAAATAAAATAGAATAATTATGCATACAACATGTCTGGTCAGTCCTGTTAGGTGGGGCGGGCTCCACGCCATGCCTGTCGGTCCGCTGCCATTGTGCGCACTGCGTCAACATCTAGCGGCTGGTGGAGGGTAAGTCCATGCCATGATAACAGTTCCGTCTGCAAGACCGTTACCAAAGTCGTCCGAGGTCGACCCCTGAAGCGTTCAGTGCCCTCGTCGTTGGCCAGGCGAAGATACATATCCACTGCCAACTGTGGAGGAGCAGTTGGGGCCAAACGAAAGATATGGCCAGCGAGACTGTAGCGCTGCCTTGTGATCATCTCGCTGATGGGGACAGCTCCGCAGCGCTTATACAGAGTGTCATTGCTAATTCGTTTAGGGTACCGCATGTCGATGATGCTCCTTAGCTGGGTCCTGTGGAACGAATCCATTCGCGCGAGCTCCGACATCGGTAGGCCCCAAGTGCCGCAGTTGTAGGTAAGGACTGGGATGACGTAGGCGTTGTAGAGCCTCAGCCGAAGACCTTCACTGATCTGGCGCCTCCGGGTCCAGATCTTGAGGAGTGAGTTGAAGGCGGCGGCGGCCAGTTGATGCCTCCGAGCAGCATCTTCGGCGTCACCCAGGAGGGAGCCTAGTTTGCGGACAGTACGCCACGTTTCTTGGTTCCTATCGGGAAATCGGGCGACGGTGGTATGCTCTGTCTTGGAGGGATTAACGTTCAGGTTCCATCTCGCAAGAACTGCTGGAGCTTGTTGTTCAACTTCACTGAGAAACGTCTCATCCCGGCTCACAAAATCAACATCGTCCGCGTATGCGATATCCAGCGGCAGGTCATTGTCCACAGCGGGGCGAGATGGCAGCTCCTGTCGTAGGTCCCGGAGAGCAGCCTCCAGGTAAATGGTGAAAAGCACTGGAGAGAGACTGTCCCCTTGAGGGACTCCGATATTTGTCTTGAAAGAGCTTTTCGATGCACCTTTCACATGAGGTTCAAGCCAGGTTTCAGTCAACAGTATACGGATCATTCGGAGCTCACTTTCTTGGAGGAAGGATTCAAGGATCCTCATCAGGACATCGCGGCGGACAGTGTCGAATGCTTTACTCATGTCAATAGGTGGGAATAACAGCTGTGAAATGCTATTGGTTGAGGTAAAGCTTCCTGGTAGACCTCTGTTTGTATCTGTTTGGTACAGACCTCCACGACAACCAATTGCTGCAATTACGAATTTATTTAACGAGCTCTCTCATGTATTCGATGACCACAACTGTGTAATGTTAGGTGACTTCAATGCAAGAAATTGTGCATGGAAGGACTCTGACGTCACTGACAGTAGTGGTAGAGCACTGCAACTGGCATTTGTGCAATATGGATTCACAGTTATCAATAAGGATGGTACACGCCCCAATATGCGCAGTGGTTGCACTCCTCTACTTGACATCGTAGCAACCAATATTCCAGATATCATCTGGTCTACCACCACTCTCCCACCCCTGTCAGACCACTGCCCCGTTATCGTTTCTCTTACACTACGTGCACCAACACCACAACGGACAACTCTACTGCATCAAACAATTGATTTTAATAGGCTTCGTTTCCTGATGGAAAGGGAACCATTCCTTGAGCGCCTCTATGGATGTGAAACTGTTGATGCTTCTTGGAAAGCATGGGAATCCCATTTCCTAGATTTAGTTGAAAGGTCATCAACCTGGGTGCGTAAGCGTGATCAGCGAAATCAGACATGGTACACACCTGACCTGCGTCAATTTCAGCGGCGACAGAATAGACTGTACCATGCTTATTTGCGAAATCCACAATCAACTGAAGCAAAGGCAGCGTACTGTGTATCCAGGAATATTTATCGTAAGAAAATCCGTGCTGCCAGATCTGCCTTTCTTGATCGCAACGCTGCCAGTATCTCGAAGGGTTGCACGAAAGGTGGATATGTGTGGTGGAGGAGAGTTAATTAAGGACTTTTGCAACATTTCAACTCGTAAACCATTGATACCAGATTCGCAAGATGGCTATCGTCGGACTAACACGCAATTGGAAAAGGTGAACCTTCTTGCACAGCATTTCGCCAATCAGTGTACGTTACCACAAGAAGCAAATCAATTCCCTTGTTTAGATTCCTCCCTTGACACTACTACTCCTCGGTTCCAGATGCCAACATTTTCACCAGGTCAAGTCCACTATGACCTTACACATCTTTCGTCTCGAAAATCGACTTCAAGTAATTATATTATTCCAGTACTCCGGTCCATGGCTGATTTAGTATGCGAGTCCTTGTCTTACTTGTTCAACTCCAGTCTATCCACATCACAATTTCCCACTGCATGGAAATCAGCAACGGTTATTCCTCTTTTTAAGGGTAAAGGAAGTGCTCCTTTGCCCACGAACTACCGTCCAATTTCACTGCTCAATCCCATCAGCCGCCTCTTAGAATCCCGCATAGCCCATCAGCTGAACAGCTTTCTTTACCGTAATTGCATAATTTCGCCCAGTCAATTTGCTTACGTTCCACAACGATCAGCTACGGATCAACTCATTCTTTTGACCCATCAGATTGCCCGTCTCTCTGATAGAGGCCAGAGATTTGACTGTGCATTTCTCGACTTCCAGAAAGCGTTTGATAAAGTACATCATCCTACGCTCCTGCGCCACATGAATGCATTCATGGCACCAGAGGCACACGCCTGGTTTGGGTCCTACTTGCTTGACCGTAGTCTAAATGTGAAGCTGGATGGAACTCACTCTTCTCAATATATGCTAAACTGTGGTGTTCCCCAGGGTTCGTACCTTGCCCCTCCGCTTTTTCTTTTGTATATCAATTCCCTTCCTGACATAGTAAACCACACCTCACCCTTTCTCTTTGCTGATGATGTCACTCTTCTAAATGCTCATAATGTATCCCTCTCCTTAGATGAGAACATGTCCCACCTCCAGCAGGATCTGGCCAGCTGCCAGAATTGGGCTCAGAATATCCATGGGAAATTTTCTCCAGAAAAAACTTTCATCTTTTCGAATCATGACATTCCTGACTCCTCCTCTGTTTTAATGGACGGCGTTCCTATTGCCTTTGGACGTTCTGCTAAGCATCTCGGCGTACAGCTCAGTGATGGTTTGAAGTTCCATGACCACTTCCACACCATCTTCAGGAAGTTTCAGCAACGAGTCAACCTGTTATGTTTCATGGGCAGACATTTACCATCGTCCCATATTCTCCTCTTGTATAAGTCTTATGTGCGTCCGGCAATTGAATATGCCATTCCTGTCTGGTCATTTAGGATCACATCCGCTCAGTTAGAGTCCCTTGATGTACTCCAGGCTAAGGTTTGCCGGCGACTCCTGAAGTCTGCAAAAATAACCTTTGATATCTATGAATCAAAATCCAATTTGAATAGATTGTGTCACTTAGAATCTCTGCAATTTCGCCGTATCTTTATTTCTCTTGTGGTTTTATTTAAGTACATCAATTTTCACCCAGAATATCTCTCTCGCTTTGCGATAACCATATCACGTAGTGCCCGTAGGCCCAAAAAGCTCATTTTTAACTCACATGGTCGTATTTTTTCATCCCCTTTCCTACAGAAAACTGGTTCTCTTTGGAATTGTCTTCCACCCCGATTGACAACTTTAGATTCCCTATCTGAATTCAAGCGTCATTTACGTATTCACATTGCTAAGTATCAGTTCGACTGCACTGGTACACCTTTGATGTGCAATCATTGATTTACATGCTTGTTCTTTTCTTTTCTGTCTTACTTTCTTTCCTTGTGTTTCTTATTATTCCTTTTTAAAACCAACATTTCACACTCACTTTGCGCACTTTCTCTCGCATCCATAACTATGTTACTAGTACATACACAAATAGGAGATCCCCAGATAGGCGTTAGCCTTTGGGTAATCCTGAAATAAAGATTATTATTATTATTATGGTTAGTGCAACCTGTAAAACACAAGACAGTAAGGGACCATCGCAAAAGTTCGCAGAAGCCCCTGAAACGAAGAGCATACGTTTGGGGGGGGAGGGAGTCGGTGCGAAAATCGCAAATCGGGCTTCAAAAAGTATTGACGACATAATTATAGGAGCTGTAGGATTAGCATGCCATCACAGCCGGCGTAGATCGCTTGTCAGGACACGTATGGGGAATGTGAAAGCAATATACACCAATCAACGTTCATTGTAATGCTCAAAGGATACAACTGCATAGCTCTAGCTGTTCTCGTTCTTAGTAATCTTACTATAATACTAAATCTTAGATCACCCACTGCAAGGTGATAATCATCGTTGCATTTATAAAGTGCTGTACATTGTTACACACTGATACAACAATGCTTGTGTAGTATTATAATAATTATTATGTGTGAGCATCCAAGTGAAAAAATGAAGCCCATATTGTGACTGTCGTTTCGTTTGAGGGGGGAGGGAGGGGGGTCAGGCCCGAAACTCACGGTCTTCGTTTCGGGGGCTTCTGCGAACTTTTGCGATGGTCCCTAACTTGCTTTCACTTACTCATTGCCAAACGCTGGTCACATGGGTCTTCCCCGGGACTTGGCCAGGAGAGGGGAGAGAGAGAGAGAGAGAGAGATTCGAAAAATGACGTGACCTTAAAAAATTACCTGATCAAACACCCAACGACTTCACACACCCACAAATTCCGGGACTCTGGGTGGATTTGGAAATAATCCCACTTGTGAGCTCACCGCATTGCATTTTAGGTGGGCGAGAACAAGTAAAGGGCAGAAAAAGGATCGACTGCAGCAGGGTTATTTTGTTTCCTGTTCGACCCTCTTTGAAGTTGCACATTGTACTGTTGAGGCAACGAACTAAATAAATCAAAAACAAAACAAACAAAAAAGGTATTCCTCCTGGGATCCAACTACTTCGAAATATATTTTTAATTTTTCCCTCGCGTAGACTGCTCCCATATCTGGGTACTGGAATGTAGAACGTTCTCGTGGGAATGCACGCTGGGGAAATCCTGGGCAGTGGCCCGCGAGTGTTTCTGAGATGATGCTCGCTACAAACACTTACCACACGTCCACAGTGTTGCAACAGTCTTGTCAGAAATGACGTCATTTGCAATTTTCTCTTGCAATTATATTGTTAGTGCTCCTTCGAGGGTATCTCGATTTTCCACAGGAATGAAGACACAAAAAATTATAATGTCCTTTTCCGTGCAGTATCGCAAGCAAACTGATCCTGATAGCAAGGCAGTGAAAAAGCAGGCAGCAGCCACCACGTACGCAGCTGGTGATATGTGTGGAGGAGGAGCAGCCATTGTTTATCCGAATGCATTCCGCAGCCCGGGAATCATTTACAGTGCTGTTATGACGGGTCTTACACCAAACACTGCGTACACGTGAGTACCCGTCAAACATTTTAGGTATATTCGTTGATGCATGGTAGGGTTTGGAACATGTCATTGTGTGTGTGCGTGTTTGTGTGTGTACATGGTGTGTGTATGTGTGTGCGTGTGTGTTGTTGTTGTTGTTGTTGGGGATCGGACCGCCAAGTCTCGGGTGGCCTCTATCGACATCATGAAGTCCTAATTTGCCTGAATGATGCGGCTCTCTACACCACCTCTTTGAGCCACCTGGAAACGATGACAAACGAGTTTGTGTATTGTGCTTTGGGTTGGGGTCTAACTTTGAGTGTCCAGAAGACCAAGGCCATGGCGGAGAACTGCTGTGACCCGCCACCTTCCATTGGTTTTCAGGATGGAGGAAGCGTGGAGGTTGTGGACAGCTTCACCTATCTTGGCAGCGTCCTGAGTGAAGACCGCGCTCTTCACAAGGAGCTCACCTCCCGCCTTGCCAAGGCCTCTCGTGCTTTTGGCGCTCTCCAGAAATCTATCTCCAAGTGTAGTGGTCTATCAACCAAGTCAAAGCGTCTAGTGTACAAGGTCATTGTCCTCCCTACACTATTCTATGGAGTAGAGACTTGGCCCGTGAAGGCCCGGCAGATGAATCGCCTGAATCTATTCCAGCGCTCATGCATCCGTTCCATCCTAGGAGCATCAAGGAGCGATCGGCACTGCCGTCATCTCACTACTGCTTATTTAGCCCAGAGAGCCCGCCTTCCTGAAGACATTGGCACTCTCCTGTGTGAGTAACATCTGCGTTGGCTGGGTCAAGTCGCACGTATGGACATGGCTGGATTCTGCAGCAAGTGTTGTTTGGGGAGCATGAGGCAACCAGACCACGCCATGGGCCAAAGAAGCATTGGCACGACACGGTTGTCGGTGATTTGCGTTCACTGGATATTCCGGAGTCCAAGTGGTACCAGCTCGCACAGGATCGGCCAGAAAGGCGCAGGCGGGTCCATCAGCATCATCTTCCTCTCCCAGCACGGAAGGACTTCCACTGCGCATGCGGCAGAGCGTTCAGGAGAAATGGCGATTTGAAACATCACCTCAAGTACTGCCTAACTCAGTAGCCTATCATCTCCTCTGGAGATGGGACAACAAAGGTGTGTGTGTGTGTGTGAGTGTGTGTGTGCGTGTGCGTGCGTGTGTTTCTGTGTGTGTCTGCTCATGTGCTCGTGTGCGGGGGGGGGGGGGGTGACTTCGTCCCACGAGCCTGATGATAATCTCCTGTATGGACAATACTCATCGTATTAGTGATGTTCTGCTGTACATGTACGCGAAACGTAAGAGATATCGCATAGAGGGCAGGTGTCAGGGTTAGAGTCTACGGCTTCGCGTGTTTTGGGTCCAGATTTCTACACGTAGATGAGATTCTCTGCGTTGTGGCACATGCAAAGAAAATGCGTGCAGATCTGCTGGGTATCACTCAAATGCAGGCAGAAAGCTACCAAATTTGGAAGGGGAATTCCCAGTACATATTCCACGTGATTTCTCTACGTGAACGTCGAGGAGAACAGGTTCCTTTTAAGTTACGGGAGCGTGAAGAGAGTTTCCGGGATTCTTCGCTTCCCATTCCTGTTAAAAGTAGAGTTAGAATATCACTAATAATCACCCGCGCACAAAGAGCCATTTGAGAGCACCAGAAGCCAATGTCGCAACGAAAGGATCGCTGTCATCGTCCTGATTTTCACATCATGAAAATTATTATGGTGTTGTCGTCGTCGGCGTTGCTGTCTTTATCTTGCAGCGAGTAGGGAATCACGAAGACCCTTTTACGAATCCCTGCTTGCCAGCACTGCCAATGCCAATCATTATATTGTCCCGACATTGGAGTATTGTGTCGAACCGACCACAAGATCATTTTCACTATAATTATGACTGTAGTCTGTGGTTTGTTCAGTCCTTACAGAAGTAGATCTGCGTGACCGTAGACGTCTACACATAGAGCAAAGTACATGACATTGTACTGTACTACAGTAGGGTTTTTTTCTTTTTCTGTTTTTCATACGATTATCTATTTTGTACACATAGATCTACAAAAAAAAGAAAAGAAAAATGGTGGCACCTATGTACAGGGGATGGCCCACGCCTGGTATCAAGTAAACGTAAAAGAGAAAAAAGAAAAAGAAAAAGTAGTACAGCACACGGGGTCGCCGTGGTAAACAAAGAGAGAGAAGAAGGAAAAGAAAAAGATAAGAAAGAAAGAGAGGTAATGGGGTATTCACACGACAGGCAAATCTAGGTGTTGGCGGATAATGCCGGCATTATATCGAGCATTATACCCTACCCGGAGCATTACGAGCATTATAAAGCATTACGAGGCCAAAAATGGCATTATACGACGTTCTACATGACTGCATTATGCATAGAAGATCTACACACATCGTCACTTCGTCATGTACAGATTCGTATCGGCTATAGCGTTGGCCTTTGATTGGCAACATACGCGATGTATTACTACTACTACAAGCGATGGACCACCGACTGTAGAATCATCATGCATGGTACCAAACAGATCGTGGCATGAAGTGCCAGGCCCAGTATACTGCATGCAGTGTAGTGCTAGCTAGCTGTGGTCTAGCACAGTGTGGAAACTCTCGCAGAAACTTCCGGTCCCGGAAGTCTATCTTCGGCCAGCAGCTAGTACAGTTACTTTTTGAAGATCCAGGTAACAACGCCGAACCAACGAAACAAATGTGAGCCAGCATTGTTCCGGTGGAGGTGCGCACAGCGCCGCACACGCACACATTCCAGACCTTACCCGGTTACCGTCCACAATGTTACAAAAAACATTCTTCGTCGAAGCAAGAGTCCATGTCTTTGTCGAAGAGTAACGCTGGACTTTCACCGGACATTGACCATTGTGTAAGACCAGCTAACTAGCAGCTAACTAGCAGCCAGCGCTGATGGCTGACTCGCGCGATGCCGCTCTTGGGATTGGGAGGAAGCTGGGCTTTCCCCAGATGAGCTTTTGGCGGAGTCCTCTGATGATAGTGACGTCGTCGAGTTGGAAACAGCAGATCCTGCCGCGATAGCGAGGAAGCGGTCTTTTCAGAAAACAGCTATTACCAAGTCTGAAAATGTTTCCAAAAGGACGCGAGTAGCTCATGGACAGAGCACTGAAGTGGCCACCAGTGCCGAAACACGGGTGCGGGAGTTCCCAGATGAGCCGCTCAAAAGCGACTGTGGCAAGTTAGTGTGCCTGGCATGCCATACAACATTGTCAGGGAAGAAGAGTATAATCATGTCCCATATTGCTACCGCGAGACATAAGCGAGGAAAGTCCCGTTTGGAGAGGGAAACTCAGAGGCAGAAGCTGGTCAAGGAGTCCTTCTTGGCGTATCCTCTTTGTGCCGCCTCAATATGACTGTATGTGTTTGTACCTAGCGTACATGTTTACCTGATATTGTATTATGTGTTTATCATAGCATGGGTGCAATATTATAGCGTTTTTCTTAGCCCAATACCGCAAGGTTCAGGTGTTCATATTTCATCCGGCGGAGCATTATCAGCATTATTTGGAGCATTATATGGCCTTTTTTGGAGCATTACTGAGAGCATTATATCCCATATTACGGAGCATTATCCGCCAACACCTAGGCAAATCCACGTGCACCGGAAAGTTGCAGGGAGTGAGATACGAGAAAAGTGACTGTGTGGATTCACACAGCTGCACTTGACGACAGGCACGTTTGCATTTTTGAATGCTTCACCGACCAGTAGCCATGGGTATTTCAAATTTTCAAAACACGCATACAATAGGGCTTGAAAGTGATGACGTCAAAACGGCCAGGGAGTAGTAAGTTGACATCAGATTTCTATTTTTGGATCCACTAAGGTGTGACTTTGCTATTGCCTAAGTATGTGGGTGCATAGCAACCCACTCATGTCGCATGCAGGTGTGACTTTTATTTCGCCACCAGTTGTAACCCCACCCCCAGTAGCCAAATCAGTCAGTTTCACTGGCTACATCACCATGCTGTGAGTAAGACCGCTTGAAATGTGCTTGGATCCATACAAAAACTGGATCCAAGGAGATCCAGTTTTTGAATTTTTGAAATAATTGTTGCTATGCTGTGACGTAGCACTTTCAAGCCCTATTTATCATGTTCTAAAGAGCCACGTAAAAAATCAAGTCTTGTTTCGCGCTTTTTGGTGTAAATGTACTCGTGTACGATTATCGTGAAAGTGGGCCCCCAGCTCGCTTGCACTTTTCAGCCACTTTCAGCCACTTTTCTCGTTCACAGGTAAAATACCATAGCAACTTTCCGGTGCACGTGGATTTGCCTGTCGTGTGAATACGCTATGCATAAGCAACTCCATGGACAACAGTACTAGAGTAGGTGCTCTTCTACGTCATCGATTGTGTACTCATCCCTGCACTGTGGAGGGCCGTGAGTTTCTTGTTTCTATAGACTGTTATACCATGGTACGGTACGGAGGGCCTGTTTTCAGCTAATCAGCGCTCGTCTAGCCATGGTGATATTGGCCAGTATAATCCCGGTGTACGGTACGTTCGCTAGGGCACTGCCACCGTACATGTTCACTGCCTGAAAGGCAGTGAACTTGTGCGGCGCAGTACTCCAGCGCACGGACCATTCACAGCAGACACAACAGACAGCACATGCACGTGTACACTCCACACAGAACGGCATTACTGACGAGGAACAGCACACAATGGAAAAGAAGAATGACCTACCGAGTATTCTATTATACTGAATCTGAGGATAAAGAACGTCGAATAACCACGAAGTATCCTGAATGGGTCGGCAATGTACAATTGTGCTTTGAAGAGTTGAAGATCATCAACAGACTGTCTCCTGCATAATTAAGTTTATGATACAGAGTGTACTTCAAATCGCTAAACTGATTGGAAAATGCTAGATTGGATTGAAATGTGATACAGTGATACAAAACAGTGTATGCAAATGCATCTACTTGCAAGGAAGCAAAACTGATTATAAGATGCCGCATGTGAAAATCAGCACTGTACCATAATTATAGTGACACTTACTCCCAAAGAGTCCAAACTGTAGTCAAACTAGTGACGGGGGGGGGGGGGGGTAGTTTGATTCAACGACAGCTCCAGCACCCCAGCAATTCAGTTGACTTCCGCACCGCTCACGAGACATGATAAGACCATGAAGATGCTACAATATGCACTGGAACTGAAAGTCAATCTTATGCCAAACATCCACGGATAGGAGGAATCTCCTTCTGATCTTGCTCGACCATTCTTTCAATTGACAACTGATAACCATCAGAAGATGTTCATGTACTGCATGATGTAGGAGATCTCCAAATAGGTTCGTTGTTCTGGAAATGCGTAGGGGTGCCTGGCATAAGTAGGATATGACCCTCGTAGTCGGGTTATACCGTACCCTCATATAAATCCCTCCTGCTATCACAGTCGGGATTTATATTCAGCCGGTATAACCCTCTAACTCGGGTTATATCCTCTACGTGTGGTTTTCTCTTCATCAGCCTAGAATCTGGAGACAGCACCTCGATACGCTTGCAACTTCGTAGAAGATTCAAGATGTACGCACTCAGCACTATGCTCCATCCTCCATGTTTTTTGTGTGCTCCTTTGCCATCTCTACACAATAGTTCTTCGAAGTAATACATAATCTACACACATTTTATCTGGTGCAACACGCCTGGTGCTGGTGCTAGCTATCATGTTACTACTAGTAGTGACAGTCCTCCGCAGGTAAACCCACCGATGCATAGTGTTTGTGGAGTACTGCATGGAAATGGTAGAAGTCGATGTGGTTGAGTGGAGCTTCTGATAAAAATGTTTTTCATCTCCTCATAAATCATTGCTCACCTATGGTTTTTAACCCTGGACAGTGTACTGTATTCTTATTTCTTGTATGCGTATGTAGGTACTGGTATGGCACTGACTGCAGCTCCACACGTATCCTATCACCAAAACGAACAATAACATCTCCCCAGCCTGTAACAAACACAGGGGAACAAACAACATGTAAGTTAGTATCTACCTGGTGTGATAGGACTCTCTGAAGACTGACTAGAATGCCACTGGAGCATGCACTAAACCTGTGAAACTAGCTCCACAGGAAGACCAGTGGTTTACAATCTACAGGACTGAATTATCATGGTTGCTGTTAACTTCAGAATAATACCTCCCGATTTTGAAATTCGCCCAGGGAAAGAGCATGTGTGCTCGCCATTAATTTTCTCCTCGATTTGAAAGCCCTAAAAATAAACGATCAAAAATGACCTCAATGCCCACTCTGGAGGAACTCTAAACAAATGAGAGAAGCAGAGGGCAAAGCTGCAGGCAGCTGGGCTTCGAGGATGCTCAAACTGCATGACTGTTGAAGAAAGACGTGACATGATTGCCTCTCTACTACTGGTTCAACTATTGTACTTTTGGAGGGAGACTAACTATAACGGGCCTGACAGACAGCCAATTGCCAATTACATCCCGTACAATTAGTGTGATATCCCATGTGAGCTAGGCTTTAGACATGTGTCCAGTTTTTGTATCAGCTGGGCCTGACACTAGCAGTGCATAACCATTATGGTGTTTTCATGCTATTTTATTTCACTGTTGTAGGTCGTATGATTGCCTTTGCTGACATGGGTGTGTGGGGTGGCAGCCACAGTTTGCCCACTGACAGCACAGCCAAGTCTGTTGTGGACTTAATCCAGCGCATGTGGATCAACACCGGCAAGAAAATCGATATGATCGCCCATGTTGGCGGCATCTCCTGTAAGCCCAGTAGTTTGAGTTGCATTTAGACTGTAGACAGGGTGAAATTCAACAGTGATGCTTATTATGACGATCTGTGGTATGAACTAAGTAGTGGTTGCGACTTCGGCGATGATTTGTAAGAAAGGGTTTGCTCCCCACACCGAAGCTCGCGCTATTCCGCCGACTTTACTTGACACTTGACTGACTCACGACTGCCATCCAGAGCACACGAGAAGTCCATCGAACCTTCGACTCGGCAAACCTGCAAGAAAGCACCACTCCCTGCTCAAAACACAGTGTTTCGGGGAATTCACCCCTCATCAGTTGAGCTTGAGTAGGCTGAGGAAGATTGTGCCTGAAGAGCACCACTTATATAGTGCTCTCCAGGCACAAACATCACCAGGGATACAAACTTACAGAGACGCTCCGTTTCCAGTGCGAACCACCAGAACGATTCAAGTGCCCAAGACCGCCACCAAGTGTTTAGTATAAAAGGTGTGTTTGAGCAACATAGGATCACAAGCCAGTGGCACAACCGAAGAATTGTTGTAAATGTCCAGCTTGTTTTTTCATATACATAATTATGTACAAGTAAAGTGGTGTTGTTGTCGTTGTTGTTGTTGTTGTTGTTGTTGTTGTTGTTGTTGTTGTTGTTGTTGTTGTTGTTGTTGTTGTTGTTGTTGTTGTTGTTGTTGTTGTTGTTGTTGTTGTTGTTGTTGTTGTTGTTGTTGTTGTTGTTATCATTGTTTAAATTCAACGCTTTCTTCAGACTTCCAAACTCATACTTCCTGTGAATCTACAATATACTTGCTCTTTCTGATGTTGTGCAGCTGCAGCTGGCAGGGGATATGTCTGGGAGAGGTTCTTTTATCTCATTGAACCCATAGCAACACTAGTTCCATACCATGTTGGCATAGGAAGCCCTGGTAAGTTGAGGGGATTAATCACTAGCATAGACCACTGGATAAGGAAATAGCTTGAACCAATGCCAGGAGACGGGTTTTCAAACCGTGCTGCGAGCCACAAAAAAAATGGGAACTCATGAGTCGTGACCGAATTAGCTGAAGATTGTATGGATCCAACAAATCCATCTTTTTACTACTTTGTGGTGGGTCTGATATTCTTTTCGAAATCAAAGTTGACGGGCGAATCCCAGTATGTTTTCTTTCAATAATGAATTGCACCGACACTTTCTTTTAGATTGTATTATAAAACATGTCCTGTGCCTTCCCTCTGAAGAGATAAAATGCCTGCTCGCACCAAAATATCTCATGGTCAAAATCTTCAGTGGCTAACCCCCCTTCCAAAACAAATTCCAATGAAACCGTTGAGAAACTCTCCATTTTGATGCCAAAAATTGCAGGACATACTGTACCCATATGGCCCCTATGTATCAGCCGGTATTTGATCCGAGGCTTTTCTTACAATAAATAGGGCATGCATTCCGTCTTCCCAAAGTTTTATCAGAGTGTAATTAACCATTCCAAAGACACAGCATTGCCCAATACATGTACAATAGGGCTTGAAAGTGGTACGTCACAGCATAGCAACATTTTCAAAAATTCAAAAACTGAATCCACTTGGGTCCAGTTTTTGTATGGATCCAAGCACATTTCAAGCCGTCTTACTCACAGCAAGGTGATATAGCCATTGAAATTGACTGGGTTGGCTAATAGGGGCGGGGTGACAACTGGCGGCGAAAAAAAGTCACCTGGGTTGTTATGCACCCACACACTGAGGCAATAACAAAGTCACACCTTAGTGGATCCAAAATAGAAATCTGATGTGGACTTACTATTCCCTGGCCATTTTTGACGTCATCACTTTCAAGCCCTATTGCGAAAATCAACATTGACTGCACACACTTCCTGAGGAACGAGAGACCCAGTAGCCCATATTCAATTGTACATTCAGATTCTACAGATATTATGTTGGCTGTGATTAGCGACAACATACATCACTATGTCCAATTTGAATGTCAGTCTGACTGACTCTGACATGAACACCTTTAAAATTAATGTAGTCTTTGTTTGGCATGACAGCTGTCCTGAGATAGTGCCAAGCAGTGCAAATGGCTGACTGAGCAAGCTATCTAGCTGGTGGCAACTTTCTCCATGCTAATTATCAGTCAACCGGCTGTGGTTTGTAAATATACGGCAATGCAGGAATGAGGATATCCCAATGTTTTAATCACAGATATACTTCGAAGTACACGTACCGGTATTGTTCAGTATATGATCTGTGGCTGGTTCTCTAATCGTGAACCATGCTATCCTTCAACATTTCATAAATCTTCACATACAATCATGTATTTTCACCCTTGAGATTCCCCCATTCATGTCCCGGCCAGGCCTCAACAGTCTCTCATTTCTTGGTGCTGACCGCTTCAATGCACTACCCACTACCATACGATCCCAGCGTACCTTGGCTGCTTTTCGCGCTAGCTGCTTACAATTTCTTCTTGGGCACCCTGTAGGCTGGCCGTAGGCCTGTTGGGTATACCCAAGTAAAATAATAAATACTACTACTAGGCATCTATTTGCCTTTGGAAAATCAATCAAATAAAATGAAAATAAAAATGAAATTCTACTTCGTACATACAGTACCCAAATATATGGTCTGTAGGTGGTGGTCTGCAGATGATGTAGATTCTAATTTTGCACAATGAGATTTTTCATTTTCGATCTCTTTGTCTGTCACCAGTTAATCCTATAATATATAGGATTAGACTTCAAGACGCATTTGCAGCCTCGAAAATGGTCGAAGTGGAAGCAATGTTATTGAAGATGCATTTCGATCTTTCCCACAATGCATCTCTTTCTTGTTAAAATAAATGAATAAAGGTTACCCAATCGCTAAGACCCCCAGGAAAGGTCTCTGTGCGCAATTATTGCCGATGAATTGCAATTACAAGTGGTAGAAATAGACTAGGAGTGGAAAAGATGAATATTAGCACCATTCTAGCATTGAAGTCGTGTTGTAAAGTGCTCGCCGATCAATATGAACTAAAGACACTACATGTATGGGGCATTTACTAGATCAGTTGTGTTCAAGTATGTACACAATCATATTAAGAGTGGAATACTCTTTTGATACTAGCCTAGGAGGTGCTTCCTCTTTAGCCATAGATGCATAGAATTGTTTTGTTCGCTCCATATGGGCTATATCTAGACTTGCATATTGCATACTAGGATTTTTATTGGCAGGGAAAACTGGGAAGTACAAAACCAATTTTTGAAGAGGCCAAATCCTATATGTAGGATTTTGAAAAATCTGGACACCTTTGCACGAGAGGGCCTGTTACAGAAAAAGTAAAGCCATTGTGCTAGTGAAACTTGGCAGACATCATCTCTGATAAGCATGGAATGCAGACTCCAACAGGTTTTTGAAGAAAGAACTTTACTTTGTAAGGTATGATACACTCTTTCCCAAAAATTCGGAAAAATCCTATATATAGGATTTGACAGACAAAGAGATAGGCTCTCATATTGGCTTTGGAAAGTCTGCATGTTTTTTTCTGTTTTGTCATGTGTGATTTGTGTGCCATGGCTGCCATGCTTCCCAACAACATCTGCACCTGGTGTGACTACACAGAATATGGCCACAGAAGGTAGGTGGATAGATTCCTCATTAGACACTGAACGTAACTAGTGACTTCATGCTAGCTTGCATGCCGTCCTGAGCTTTTAGGACCTCAGAAAACGTGGTGCAAAATGAGTTTCAAGATTTTGAGGGCGATGCAGCAGCAGCTATGTCCCGGCCTCACTTTTGATAAGGTCTTGTGGTCTTTTTCCCCTTGCTATTGTTGGGTACCTCCTCCCGTACAATCTTACCTACAACCTTTCCTAAGCTGGCCGGCCTGCATGCACCCGTCCTACGGCATACTCACCTTTCGTTCCGTTGGCCTGGGTAGCTACTTGCGCGCCCATGTTTGCCATAGCTACCCAGGCCCTTTATATTGCGTTGTTTCTCAGCCTAGAGTCGATCTCTCTCTCTTCAATAATCTCGCTGTCTTCAATAATCTCGCTCTCGTCAATAATCAAAATGTAGTCGTAGTAGTGCGTCTTTGTCTCCGCCTCTTCGTCTACCCTAATAAATGTCGTTCCACCTACCTGTCCCGTTGTGAATTGTGTCTGGAGCAGATGTCGTCAGTTGTCCTAATTCATACTCAACACTATGACAATTGAGTGCACACTTCTGAAGTCAAACTCCACTTTTCCGATGTGTTATGGCCATGCAATTTTGTAGTATCCTTGTGGGATCACATCTAAAATTTGTTGACTTCATCAGTAGTAGATTGGACGGTGAGGTTATACCAGTTACCGGGTAGTTGAATGTCAGATCGCAGGTCGTGTACCATATACAACTGTGTATGATGCTCCTATCGGTAGGACCGGCCCGGGGTTTACCAATACAAGCATAGTGATAAATTTCACCCCCGTTGATGTGTCATGTTCTTCCGATAATTTTGTTCTTTCTTCTTTTTCTTTTTTCTTTCTTTCTTTCTTTCTTTTTCCTTCTCTTGCCATGGCTGGCTAGCACCCCCTCCTTTGCATTGGCTTCTGCCATGAGACGGTGAAATAAAAAAATATAGGAAAGCTATCAATAGGGAAGGTCAAATGATCTTCAAGAATGAGAAAAAACACCAGCAGCACAGTGGGTGAAGAACTGTGAAACAGCCGTTACTCTCTTGGGTAATGCAAGTGCGCGGAAGTACGGTGTTTACGACAATAATTGAAGAAGACAAAACTGCTATTGGGTTTTCATTTTGTTGTGTTGTATTCTCTACCCTTCTGGAACAGTACACCATCACATAGAGATCCCAGTGGAGCAAGGGTCAGCTACAACCCAGGCTGGGGTAACTATGGCGACGATTACTCTGACGGAGAATGCGGCGTTCCCGTGTCGAAGAGATTCCACATGTGAGCTACAGTACTGTCTGGTGCTGAAGAACTGGCTATGGCCAGTATGGGGGTCCAGAGTACTAACATAGGACGTGTTAGTACTATAACTTAGAACCTTCCAGGGAAGGCAGTTGGAGTGCGCATCCCAGCTGGTGACGTGCTAGAGCTGCTAGCCACTTAGTTGTAGTACGTCTGTGCTGTTGATCAGTGTCGTGCAATGCTATCGCATGAGCTGATTGTAACGTAACTAGTGGTGTTAGTGGACTGCATTGTTTTTCTTCTACAAAATCCACATATCTCCAGACACTGGGGTGAATAATGGAGTGTGGTGGTGGGGCCCATTAAGCTCCGCCGACCAGACTTCTCGGCTTCGTAGCTCCATGGACGCACCAAAGCATAGCATAACGTGTAGTTCCTTGGTCATTTTTCTTTCCTGTAAACTGTCACCCTCTTGAACAGGCGGTTGCCTTCCCAGACTGGTCACCTCTGCAGGCTCCTTGTATTGTTATCTATGTGGTCAGGGCAGTTGAGGAGTTGTTGTTCAATTGTCAATATGTGTGTGAACAGTACAGCACAGCAATTGAATGTGTAGGTGTGCACATCATGTAGATGACATTCAGGCTGAAACACAAAGGTCATGCATCTGTCCCTTGTCAATTTGCATCCCAACTGCCATCATGTGTTACATCCTACCCAAATCTAAACTTGAACCCGACTTTTCGAATCCACCATGGATCACATGGCACATTTTTCTCTCTCTTTTCCTTCCTTTTGGCAATTTTGGCAGCAATATTTCTCTTTTGAGCAGTCAGGATACAATTACGTGTGCACATTGGATTCTGTGTTCTCCAGGCCCCAATCTCCAGGAAGCAATGGTGTGTTCTGGTACAGTGTGAATGTAGCTAATGTACACTTTGTCATGATCAGCACGGAACATGACCTCAGCCCTGGATCTGTGCAGTACAACTGGTTGAAATCTGATCTCGGAGCTATCAACCGGGCTACCCAACCATGGGTCGTTGTTGCTGGTCATCGACCACTCTACAACAATGAGAAACGTCAAAAAGATGATGATCTGTGAGTTAGAGTGAACAGTCCTACACTGCTACATTTCATTCGGAAATATTTTAAAAGATGTCGTCTGTGACCTGGAGGCAAGTAGGCATAACAGGATAGTCAGACCAAATAGGGAGTACAACGGTTGAGTCTTGCTCTGAATCCGAACCGTCCTAAACTGACCTCGTAAGCTCGTGACCTGGAAAGCGTTTCGCCTCTACCTGTACCCAGTGAGAGTGATACGTGGACTGCCTACATGTATATTCACATGTCAGCTTAGTTGACAGCTGAATAGAAGTGCTTAGGCCAAAACAAACTGTAACCCTGCTTCGGATCGGCTGACCAGGTCATTTTTCCCAAATTCTGAAACATTCTGGTACGCATGTGTGCACGATAGGTGCATGTATGCGACTGATGCTAGCCAAAGAAAGAGCTTACTTGCATCGTGCTTGCACGAGTGCAGTAAATACAGTCATTAGACTTCCACACTGTCAGTAGTACTAGTACACGGTCTGTGCGAGTACAGTCTATCAACTGTGGCATTGGTCCATACAATGTGCATAGTATACATCAAGTGTGTACCTTCATTGCTTTTGTCAAACAGAGAGGTTCCACGCTGTCCAAGAGAGTACTCAATACCGAGAGGCAGAGCTAGTTCAAACATTGCTTTTGTCTGTCAATAGCAGATGTTAGAACCGAAAAATGTTCCAAAAAGGTTTTTCCGGCCGACTGATTCTATTTTTGATCTTGTACAGTATCACTGTGCCAAACGTGGCCGAAATCAGGTTGAGGAGAGTCCAGATTCTGTTCAAGATTAGATCGTGGCATCCTGAGCAGTTTATGTGTAAAATACTGTTGAAGACAACAGGCTAATGCAAGAGGCAGTGGGATTTCTGTACTCGCATGACTAGAGACCTATCTCGAATAGTGCCCCTATCTCCGAGAGCCAGTGAAAAAATAACACCCTGTCTTGAATAATGCCCCGCCTCTGGGGCTTGCAATCAAGCATATGTGCAAGTTTGGTGTTGTTTTGCTAATAGTCTTGTCCATGCCATTGCATTGGTGGTTTCAGAGTCAAGATCTCAGTTATTGTTGCTGCTTCTGTTGGGTCGTGAGAGTTTACACTTTACGGTAAACTTTAGGCTCTGCTTTTCTTTGCCTTCTTTGAATTTATGCTGGATGATGTAAATGTACCAGCATTGAAAAACTAGTTCCCTCTCTAGAATAGTATCTTCTCTTGAATAGTGTCCCATCTGTGATAGACTTTGAAAATATTGTGCCCCAGGGTCACTAATCGCGCGGGTATGGTAGTTTGAAGTAGGTCTCTGCTAAGCATAGGCAATCATTATGCTTCTCCGAATCTCCAATGTACAGACCAGTGCAGCTGAAACTGAGGGAGATCCTGAATCCGGTCTTTGCAGAGTTTGATGTCAACCTCTATGTGTGTGGTCACTACCACAACTGTGAGTATCGGTATGCATACACATAATCAGTATGTATATACAAATCAATATACTTATAGTGCATGCGTATACATATCAGTATGCATATACAAATCAATATACTTATAGTGCATGCGTATACATATCAATATAGAACAATAGAAGTATTTCTTGCGTCGGCAAAAAGTGCTCAATGTCCTAAGACAGAGCGGGGTTATACACTCAGACACAAAGGATCTCCAAGTTTCTCAGTGTTGCTACTCTGAGTTTCGTGCAAAAGCACTCTTCAGGCAATGTTGCCTGAAGAGTGCTTTTGCACGAAACTCAGAGTAGCAACACTGAGAAACTTGGAGATCCTTTGTGTCTGAGTGTGTACATATCAATATATATATATATATTTCGCTCCTGCTCTTGTAGCAGTTGAGCACTCTTGCGTGGGGTAGTGCCTTTGCTGTTTGCGTTATGCAGAGCTCACTGACTTGTCAGTTTGAGCACTCTGGCAAGGTACGTTCGGGCCTGATTGGAAATTTTTATTTCCATTGCTATCGGGTTCGGCCTCATTTTCTCTGTGCTGCGCTGATGAGTTCAAAAAGAACGAAACAGCATGCTGTCCGCAGATTGAGTGTCAATATATATATATGTATAAGATCAATTTGTTGCGTAATTTGGTGGATCGTGCACGTCGCCTTTGTTCGTCTTCAAGGTTGGAGCAGGAGTTGGAGAAGTTACGTGCGCTTTTTCGTCTCAATGGATACCCCGAGTCTGTTATTGTGAAGTATGTAACTGAGACCAGTCCAAAGAAGAATGCTGAAGTTTCCACTAATCCAGTATACCTATGTTTACCGTGGAAGGGCGAGTCAGTATCACGTATGGTTCAGCGTCGGGTTAAGTCTGCCGTGGAGTCCAATTACCATAATGTTCATATTCGCTTCATCTACTCCACGGTGCGTGCGTTCACGGTGAGGAAGGACGTCCTACCTACAGGCCAATTATCCAAGTTGATTTATCACTTCGAGTGTCGGCAATGTGAGAGCCGATATGTAGGTAGGACTCTTCAACATCTGGACGCACGCATCCGACAACACGCACCGCTACACCTTATTCCACAACACGCACGATCCACTCGACCACGGAGGGGACGTCCAGCAAAGAATCATCCTGGTACAAGATGGTCCAACGCAGCGGCATCAACACCAAGCAACGTCACCTCACAATTAACTAGACCACCAGAAAAACAACCGGACAAGACACCTACGTGCGTGGCAGTGACAGGAACCGCATCAACCAGAAGAATGACTAAAGCACAGACAGAGGCAACGGCTAGGGTCCACTCGACTAGCCATGTGAAATCGGATGTGTCCACCGCACATGCTGATTGTTCTGATGTTAGTTCTGATAAGTATGAGTCGTCCATTGCTAGTCATTTGTTTGAGCATCCTGATTGTCGTGCTGTGTATTCGGATGATTGTTTTTCGATTGTGTCACGTGTACGCAGTGCTAGATTGCTGAATGTTTTGGAAGCTGTATACATCCACACAAGGAAACCCAACCTTTGCAAGCAGAAACAAATCAAATTCACACTTAGGCTTTTTTAGGTAGGTCGTCAAAACCTCGTTAGTTACATGTATGTCCAGTGGTTGTCTCTTGTTGTCGCACTACATGTCGCGCTTATTGAGTTTTCTCGCATTTGCACCTTTGTGTCATTATTGCAATTTTCGCTGTTTACTTTAGCTATCTTCTTTCTTTCTTTCTTTCTTTTTGCGCTGTTTTACCACCTTCTTACTGTATTTAATCCACTGTTCCTGTTCCTTTTCCCTTGCCTGTATTTCACCTGATGAGAAGGCTTGAAAGTATACTTGTGAAGACAAAAACTTTCAAGATGTTTGTAATGAGCCTGAAGTGTGTCCTTTTTATGAGTATTATCGCATTTTTGTCTCAGAGGAAACTGTATACATATCAGTATGCATTACAAATCCGTGGATCCCCGAGCTATAAAAGCAGACTCAGCGGAGGATGTTCAGGTTCCATTATACATGTACATGTACATAATTATCAGTATCCATATACATTGGTGAACTATACTGTAAACGGCAGAAAATCTAGAGTACAGATCAGGGAGTCGTCAAATACCATTTGACGACTCCCTGGTACAGATGCACTTGTTTCGATACATAATTATATTATTAGGCCAAAACAAATAATGACCTTGTTTCCGGTCGGCCGACCGGGCCACTTTTTCCCAAATTCTGAAACTTGGTTTGGTCCCAAATGTATACAAACGGTGGCAATGCCATGTGTGCAAGTGCACTCAACGAGTCATAATTCAGTCAAATCTCAACCGAATTCCACAATCGAAACACCTACAAGGTAGCAACGATTCTCAGCTGTCAGCTAGAAACCTCCGGGGTCGATACGAGCTAGAATAACGGAGCTGGAAGGACTCGAACTGTTTGCATGATTTCTCAGGATGTACGAAAACAGGAATACACCACATGCTGCACAAGAACAGTGAGTCAGTCAACTTTGACATTGATCCTTGCCATGATATATTTGTACAATGCACATGTGTAGGTGCTCTTGTCCATCAATACCACAACGATTGAGGAACCAAAAAAAGTATCCAAAAAAAGTTTCATTCCGGCCGACCAAGTCTTCTTTTTGAGGGGTTGCCGACCGGAAACAAGCCTATTTTTAGTTTTGGCCTTATGATTATTATTTCTTATTTTGTTAGGGATTTCCCAAGAGGCAATATAAGTATACATGTTTTCGTGCACCAGCACACCTCCAGGCGTCAGGGGCCCAGCCTCCCCGCCCATCCAACTCGCCACACACAACAGCGCAACTGAACTTAAAGTCCTACATATTATCTTGACAAGACGAAGACGGACAGACAAGAAGACCGGACACGACGAGGCAAAACTGATAACTAAAGAAAAGGACAAACGTTGCGGCAGCATATATGAGTATGCGCGCGCGAAATAATGTTGCACGCGCGACGATGACGTAAGCGTTCCATGGTGTAAACATGTACAGAAGACTGCACATGCAACCAAAACAATGCAACAAAGTCAAGACTAAACCACTACACAATAAAACTAAAGAACAACATAAATAAGCCATGAAAAGTCTTTCACTCTAGACCCGTTGCGCAACACATGTAATGACTATGTATGGGCACATCCTACATGTACATGTACATACATGTACAATCGACAGCACCGACAAAGACATTGACAGGAAAAGCGACAACAACGATGATGACGACAAAAACAAGAACAACAACAACGACGACGACGACTACGACGACGACGACAACAACAACAACAACAACAAAAACAACAACAACAACAACAACAATAACAACAGCAACAACAACAACAACAACAACAACAACAACAACAACAACAACAACAACAACAACAACAACAACAACAACAACAACAACAACAACAACAACAACAACAACAACAACAACAACAACAACAGCAAGAACAACTCACTGCTGATTAACTCAATCTGCTCCTGCAGTGCTCACCCTCTCCCATACTTGTAAAATTCAACCCCACAGCATCTCACCTTCTCATAAACTTATCTCTTGTTGGCGATGGTGCCATCGTGAGAATAAAGAATTCAACCAACAACAACAACAACAACAACAACAACAACAACAACAACAACAACAACAACAACAACAACAACAACAACAACAAAAACAACAACAACAACAACAACACCAGCAGCAGCAGCAGCAGCAGCAGCAGCAGCAACAACAACAACAACAACAACAACAACAGCATTTATTATTGGTCACAGGCCATCGTGAGGATGAGGATTTGAAACTACAACAACAAAGGACGTAATGGACAACAAAGGGCATGTATATTCTACATGTATATGAGATGTGTAGGTGATGTGAGATGTGTTCCCCCAACCACTGGTCTCGGCATGTATACATTTATATCTATATGGACAAACCTCTGCATAATATTCTTACCCAGTGTTGTGCTCTTTTACCATTTTCTCGTGCAATTTCCTGTGAAATCCACCAACACGTTGTGTCTGGTGTTTTCCTGCAGATGTTCGCACCACACCGATATCAAGGAATGGCAGTGTGACGTCTGTGGGTACTGTACACGTCACTGTCGGTACTGGTGGTGCTGATCTTGGTTCAGGCCAGGTTAGTGAACATGGATATGTATCTACACACGTATTTGGGGGTTACTTTCCCTTGGCAGAATATGTTATTATGATCTCGGTCACCCGGCTCAAGATATACCCCTGAAAAGGAAGAGATCTGCCCTCTCCTCTAAGGAAGCGTGTACTACTGTACAGTGTTGAAGGTGCTGATCATTTCCTGTAGGATCATCATACCCACTGCATGAGAGTCTCGGGGTCAACAACAGGAAATGACAGGGTGTTACTGTTTGAATATCGCCTGTTCTTTTCCGACCAAGGTACAACAAGAGGTGCCATTCTTTATAGGAAATTGTCCACTATTATGTCATTCTGCCGGACTATAGAGGGCTGGCTGAGGCAGCTCGAATACACAGTACTCAACTGTGCAGAGCAATCTACATGCACAGCAGAGGCAGAGAGCTGTAACTTTAAGTTTCACACACTGGAACGATCATCAGACTATGGCATTCACGCTTCCATGCGTAACCTTTTAAAAAGTGTCAGCTCAACGCCTTTCGTCTCCGGTTGTGTGTGTGTGTGTGTGTGTGTGTGTGTGTGTGTGTGTGTGTGTGTGTGTGTGTGTGTGTGTGTGTGTGTGTGTGTGTTATTATGGACCTGTTGAGTTCTCGAAGTTCCATAGCACCGCGATCACAAAAGCTAAATGACGAGTTTAGCTAGGGAAGACATTTATACGGAAACGATGAGGTGCGCGCGCGCGCGCGAGACAGAGAGAGAGAGAGAGAGAGAGAGAGAGAGAGAGAGAGAGAGAGAGAGAGAGAGAGAGAGAGAGAGAAAGTGAGAGAGAGAGAGAGATGAACAGCTACATGATGATGAGGGAGCGATTGAGTGCTAGGTAAAGGGCTTGGGCAGCAATGGCAAATATGGCGGCGCAAGTAGCTACCCAGGCCAACGGAACAAAAGGTGCCATACGCGGTGCAAGCCAGCTGGTGCAAGAATGTACGGGGAATGGTGACAGTCAGACCTCCAACCCTAATTGTGTGCTTGTGTATTCTTTTCTATGCCCATGTCGGATACACACCATCCTGCATGTACATGAATGCCATCCTTATCATCTCAGTATCATCCTGTTCCCTGGGTTGCAAAGAACTTGACGACATTTGGAGTGATTTCTATTGAAACAGTGGGAATAGAGAGGATGATTGTACAGTTTGTGAGCAGCAGTGGAACAGTGCTGGATTCCATCGTCATGAACCCGCTGTCATATGGCACTAGCAAACCCTCAACGACACAGCCACCTGCCACTATGAAGCAACTGCCCCAATGCACATGTCATGTCACTGGCATATCAGCAGGTAGCAGTGATTCCCTGCCTAGTACTTACACTGTAGTGCTAGTACACACTCTCTGCCTCACCTACATGATCATGATCATGACTTGAAGCCGAAGGAAGTCTGTTAGTCCAAACAATAATACAAATGCTTTGCTGCATGTACAGCAGATTGTGCACACGGGATTTCGAGCAAAAACCTGGCGAAATGTCCTAGCATTGACCATATGCATGTAGACACTGAACAATATTCTCAATACTCACTGAGTTATACTGATGTTCCTTTATGATATTGAAGACAAGGGCATAGTGGATACTCATAGTGCCAGAAGAATGTTTTGAGTAGAATTGACGAATATTCAAACTAGAGCTGAAAGTCTGTATAGTGCAAGGGAGCATGCTCCACACTTGCCTGCTGAGTGACACATTGTCTGTGCTTCTTTATTATAGTTACAGAGGCTGTGCGCCTTAATCTGCAATAGTGCTCAAATGTTGAGCAACAACAAAAAACAGCCCTATTTACTTCCTTTTGTGTACCTCTTGTGTAATATTATAACTATTATGTTTGTGCAACATGACACGTGCTGCTACATGACTTATATGTATGTAGATGCATGTATATAAAATTTGCCTGATGATCGTAGCAATACGTGAAACTCAGAGTTGTAACAAAGCTTCCAAACTCTCTCTTGTATAAATTCTGAAAGCATTCCGAGAGTCTGTGTATAATAAACTTCAAAAAGTAATAAAACAAGTCACTGATTTTGTCTTCACTGTTATTGGCACACAAAGAGACCAAGCAAATTGTGAACCTGATAATGCCTTTTGTACTATTATTTCTCAAGCCAATACATGGTTATACATTGTAGCTTTAATATAGTGTGACGAAGCACAACAATGTCGATTTATACAGCTCATTGGCAGTGAAATGATGATGAAACGTACATTACTTGTGTACGTTTCATCGCTTCTTTGTCATATTATTACCATATCTGGACTGATTTGGTATGAAAGGCCTCTTCAGGTTCACACCGGCATTTCTTCTTCTAATCGTGCAATGTAGTTTCTTCCAACTAAGTCTCTATTCTTCATCATTAGCTTCAGCCGCTCTGAACCTACCCAGAGCTACGTCTCGTTACGCCTGAATGCTATTTCATTTTTGGCAGCAGACAGATGGAACATGCTTCCATCTGGATGTCGTCAAGCTAAGCCCCTTTCTGCATTTGTCACAAGCACCAAATCAGTCCTAGGGTTCCCAGTAAAAAGGCAACGCCTGTTGGGAGTTCCCTAGTAAAATAATAAATTCTACTACTTGTACTACTACTACCACTAGCCGCGATGATTTTGCAGCAGAATTCGAGCACACTCAATGCTGTTTTGGAGTACTAGTACTGTCCCCGGGGGAAATCGCGATTCCGCGCCCAAGTTTTTCCGCGTTTTTTAAAAGACTGCGTTTTCCGCGATTTTCCCGCGTTTTTTGAACTTTTTTGTTGCACTACACGTACACACAGTGCACTGTTCGGTCAGCAACATCTCATCGTGGCGACTTTGTACTCAAAAAGGTCAAATATGACGAGTGCTTACACCAGAGACTTGTAACTGATTGATTTCACTACCGGTACATACTCACTGAAAATTGCCTCATATCAACTGCAAACTTGCCGCATCATAAAATATTCACCGCATATTTACCGCAAAGTCACCGCAAATTATGCCATATTATGCCGGGTTTTTCCCGCGTTTTTTTGCGATTTTTTCCGCGATTTTCTCCGGGGACAGACTAGTACCGTATTATCTCTAATATAAGCACGGTCCTTTATTTTTTCAATGTACATGTACCTCCGCCCCGTGCTATTAATGGAGACGTTCCTTTATTGGAGACTGTTCCATTATTATTTCAACCTCATTTCAGATGCATGTTGCCATGCCAAATTCATGTCAAACACACACATTTCAGGGTTTTTTCGCCGGTACAGATAATGAATAATTATTTACACAGTGTGCTTATAATGGAGACTGAGCACTTTATTTTTTGAATGCCGCCCCAAGGTGTTCTATTATTGGAGACTGTGCTTATATTAGAGATAATACGGTATACTGAGAAGCAGAATCTACTAATTTTTCGAGCGTTTATACGCCACGGCATAATGACAGGCGATAATGTCACTTTAGATTTACCCATCTGCCTATACTCTTGTGAACCCTTATTTTGAATGTACATGTACTTGTAGTTCCAGTTCTTAATTATGTCAAAATCTTTTGATAGTCCTCATATCATACAATCATGTAACTCTGCACCTGCATGCTTTCTTGTGAGAGGAAATCTAAGGAGCTTGCGCATTTGCAGTATGGCCTAGACCTGTCTATTCATGCATACATGTACATCTGGCTTGGTGAGGTGAAACAGTCATTGTGTTTCTGTGAGAAAAAAGTGGAACCACTTGCCTAAGCCGACCATCCTAGGGATCTTATGATTACCGTATTTGTCGGAGTATAGTGCGCACCTTTGTATAATGGGCACCCCCAATCTTCATTGGGGGGGTGCGCACTTCAATCTTCATTGAAGTACATGCATTTCATATTCGGAGCATACTAGTAGTGCGCACCTGCGATTTAGGGCCTAAAATAGCACATCTAAAGTGCGCACTATACTCCGGAAAATACGGTACGATTGTGGTCCCCGTGTACAGGTGGTCTTCTTCTTGAGGGTCATCATACTTCATAGTTGCCTGGGTTACTTGCATGCACATGTATGCCTTAGTATTTGTGTGTCATGTAGCATCCCTTGGTCCTAGTTGTTAGAGGTCTTCTTTGAGGAGGTCTTCTTTGACAGGTGGTTTCCCTATCAGAGTGGTCGCCTTGACAGGTTAGTGCTAAGATTCGCGCAAGAGAGAGAGGGGAAGCTGTGCACATGTGAGTGTGTTGCAACTCCGAGTTTCACGTACTGAGTAGTCACGATCTTCTGTACATTATACTTCATGGTTTCCGATTATGGCTCTGTGAACAAACCTGTTACAGTGTGTGCTACTAAACTACTTTTTAGTAGCCTCGGTCAATCTGAGGATTACTGTACAGACAGACAGTGTCCGCCAACCGCAGCCCAGACTAGACAAAACATGACAGAGCGCCAACCACGCGATAGACAGAGATAATAATAAATGTTTATGTACGTAATAATGAACTACTTGTATTGTACAGTCATTGTACATGTAAAGTAAAAAAAAAGTAACAGTATAAGTACAATCAAGTACTAGTACTACTAGTATATCTGTCAATCAGTTATCAGACAGGCAGCCGCAGTACTAGTACTAGGCCTAGGGTGACATGACGTCGACGAGCTCTAGCTCTACGTACCAGTATCTATCACTAGATCTACCTTGTCACCTAAGTTTAACAGTTACTACAACAGTACAAGTACAACACTTGATCTACGCGCGCGCGGTAGTGCCACATCATGGTAGATCTACATGGACATGGTGTAGGCCCACAGCCACAGGCCGCGCTAGGCACAGGCTCTAGCATATATTATAGCCTAGGCCCTAGCCTGGCCAGCTAAACTGTGTGCGGTAGCTGTGATCATGCCTACTGTCTGATGATATGACAGATAAAGGCTTCTTTGATACATCCTACCTGAGTTTTCTCCCAGCACCTGCTGTCCGATACTAGTTTTAGGTCAGGATCCATGTACATGTCCCTCTCGGCTCTCTGAGTGGAGCTATCAACAATAATAATATTATATAAATAATTATTAACTGGTTTGAGGGAAAGAGACAAACGGGAAAATTCTGAAGAAAAAATTGACTGTCACCACCAGGACTCGAACCAGGGACCCTCGCTTGTAGCCAGCGATGCTCTAACCACTGAGCTATGGTGTAGTCGTCATCCCAGCAGAGGCCGTTCAACGTTTTCTTCAGACTTCGTAACTCACACTTCCTGTGAATCCACACAGGCGGGTGGGACGCAGCCCTCACTGTAACCCACACACTTCACGTACAAACTAGCACGCGGGGAGCCCCAAGTCATAAAATATTAACTGGTTTGAGGATAAATAATTATTATTATTATTAGTTGTAAAATCAGGTTTCATATTCGTGTTTCAGCACACATGGATATTAGCCTCTGATTGCCTTTTCTATTGCCTATAGGGTAGCTCTCAGTCGCTTTGAACGCGATCCCATCCAATTTTTATTTGACCCTCTGGCTCTGGTTGGGGCCCATGTGAGGGTCCGTCACAAAATTAATATTAATTTGTAGCCACGAAAAGGAGAGATATCGCTGAATCGCTGTGTCTGTGAGGGCGTAGTCTACGACTCTCAAGCCCACTGTGCACGGTACGCTATCCAAGATGGAACGGGTGACAATGTCACGCATGATGCTGTTGATAGCGGGTGTTATTTTGGTCGTGACTGCTCCAGTGATAGATGGACAGCTGTTTTATTCCTACAATCCAGAGATACAGAATGGTGGAAATATTACTGTGCAGTGGAGAAATCAGGGCCGCGGTGAAACTGTGGGATCCAGTGACAAAGACGAAGTCCGCCTGTACTGTCCACCGGTACCCGTGAACAACAGTCTATATGATAATGCGTTCATTGACAGATGGAGCATTTTGGAGGCCTCGACTAGTCGAAATCCGACAGGTACCACTGGCAACATTAGTGTGGGACCTATCATCAACATGAGAGATACATGCCAGCTAATATTCTTCAGATGGGTACCTCAGTTTGGATTTCATCTACCATTCACTACAGGATTCGGTGAGAACATTCTTGTGAGGTTTCCTCACCGAGGATCTGAACCTCTGCAAGGCCATATTGCCATGGTAAGCTGGAAAAGGAACAATACACACCTGACTTGCATTGAATATTCATTAGTTGAGGGAATGAAAATGGGAAAAGTCTGAAGAAAAAATTGGCTGTCACCACCAGAACTCAAACCAGGGACCTTCGCTGAAGGCCAGTGATGCTCTAACCACTCAATGAGCCATGGTGTACAGTCAGACCTCGCTTAACCGCACAAGGGATCATGTGCAGAAGAGGTGTGTTCACGAGTGTGTGAGGGTATGGCGATGACAAGGAGCATGCGAGTAGAGCCATGCACTGCCTTTTGCGCCAAGTCGTTAGCGCCTTTTCCTCCATTGACCGGCTTCGTCACCTGCATTCGCATTCCCGCTCACCTTACCCGCCTTTTCTCCTGATTATAGCCCTGCAGTTTGCTTCTCCTTGGTTAGAGTAGTTTAGAGTAGTTATTGAGTTAGTTTGAGAATGTCTCAAGAGTTGAGTTTGTGTTCTCCATGTTTATCAATTGTATTTCTCCGTTGCTGTTTCCATGAGGCTGTTTCTAAATTATTAGTAAAGATTTCGAACCACTCGTGTGTTCAGATCATTTCCACTCAGAGTTTTCAGACTCAGAGTGTCTGCCAGTATCGGTTCAATAACCTGATGAGTCAGCTTTCCAAGATTTCCTTTGAGTCTCTCTCTCTTCTCCCAAGGGGAGAGAGAGCCTTGTAAAGCAGTGGGCAACTAAAATTTCGATTGTGTGTGTGTTTTGTGTTTTGTGTGTGCTCCCGTGTCTGTGTGCATATAGACTGGTAACCCGAGTGAGCTGCGGGTCACCTGGGTCTCAACAGATGTATCAGATCAAGATCCTGCAGTTTGGGTAAGCACAGCATGCCTATAGGAGAGTATTACAACAGGAGTGTTGCGCTCGCACTGCGCCAACACAGCACGCTACTACACCAGCATCGAATCATGGGCAACACATGCGTATCTGAACTGCTGTTCTGTACTCATGCCGTATCTTGCACTTACACCAGAAACACTGGGAAGGTCCACAGTATAATGGTTCGCAAGTACACAGCCAGGGGCAAAGCTAGAAAATGAGTACCCAAATGTGATCTTGACACTTTGTTGGCATGCCAGGCACATGTACTCTACCCGCTACAATTTGATTTAGCTCCGCAGCAGTGGTGGTTGATGGAGGAAAATATCTGCAACGGCCGTCTTATGTGAAGCTCCTGGTGTCGGATTTCAGTTGCCACTTCTGTATATTATGATCCTCACTGTTTGCATCTAACTTCATTTACTTTGCCCAACAACCTGGATGACGGAAAATGTTCCAAACCAATAGTTGATATCAACACGTTGTTTTGCCTGTGAGTATCCACACTAGTCTATCCTATGTACACTTTCTAACAAACTGAGGGAGTACCTGGTAGCGACATTGAAGAAATTATAATACAGTGAAACCTGTCTAAGACGACCGCTCAAGGGACCTGAAAACGTAGTCTCTGTTACCAGGTGGTCTCCTTATCCAGGGTCATTTGACTCCGGGACTGAGTAGCATCCCTTGGCCCTGGTTTCAGTGGTCTTTGAGGACAGGTGGTCGCCTTATCCAAGTGGTCGCCTTGACAGTTTTTACTGTATATACTCATCAAAAAGCGAGCAATGAATTTGACCGTGAAGGGTGCTGATTGAAAATATCTTCGTCGACAGTACTTCGTAGTACTCTGTACTAGTATGGGTAAATTATAACTGAATCTTCCACTTCGTATCAAAGCAGGGGCAGACTTTGGTAAAAATTGGCTGAGGACAGCTAGCTGACTAATGCATAGAAGCACTGTATTACTATGCAGTAAAACTTGGAAAGGGAAAGCCCTGTACACAATTGAAAAGGAGTGAAATCAGCTGTGGCAATAAACGCTATAGCTAGCATTGAGGTTACCCTACGCTTAGCTCTCCACCGTTGAAATAATGCATCAGGGAAAATTACTATGCAAACAGGCTCCCTACACAATGCATTGCAACGCACATGAGGAAGAAGTTCATACGCTGTAAGGCCATCATTTTTTATATCTATGTTTCGCTTCGTCCGCACGCATATGTGTTGATTTTTTCAGAAAAAAAGCACGAACATGCACAGTGAGTGTACGATCGCGCAAGTCAACACTCAGTGTGGACTGGTTGCATACGGCAAAGCTGGAATTCAGAAATGGCCTCGATGCCAGCGTTGTAAATCGTTTGTTCGGCATCTTCGAGCAATATTCTATGAGCTTACACCAGACCGCATCGATCGCCTCAAGCTGGGAGGATGCGTCGTTCCGGAGCTCTTTGCACCGCCGCTGAAGTCTGAGTACATGTACCAATAATCCAGGAAGCATGGGCACGAACGGTTGCCTCCTCTGTCCAAAGTGAATACTTACTCATGCTGATAACCCAGATTTTGTGCTTCGATGTACGGTTTTTCTTTCGAATGCACACCACGCACGAGATATTGTGCTATGTACAGTGCTATACACCTCTGATGAGCCTTTTTCTTATTTTGCAACTTTTTATTTTTTCCACCTCTCGCATATGATTCTGGAAGTTGAACTGACGCGAAACATAGATATAAAAAATGATGGCCTAATAAGTCAGCAACCAAAATGTCATACTGGAAAGAAAGTAGCTCGTATGATCGCAACGGGATCCATGCAGGATTGAGTTTTACTCACTCACCCGGGCACGTAGCTACTACTAAGTAGTAGTGCAGAACGAGCCTTGGCACGAACGCCATATAGGTCACGTGGGTGGTCACGGCCATTTTAAGACACATCCACGGCCTCACTCTCTTGCTGGTTATTGAGCAGTGTGCATCGTGCAGTTGTGAAGTCTTCTCCGTCGCTTCCCTTCCTCGTTGAATAACATTATGCTGTCATTGTGAACTATCCTACGCACTGGCTCATAGTACTCCTGCCGTCCTCTCTGATGGTTCCATGTCTCTGATCATCTTTTTGCGGATTTTTTCAATGTTGGTGAAAAGCCGGTGGCCGGCGGAGGCTTGTAATTATTATTATTACACGCATGCCCGCGTTGAAGTGTAGCAGCAGTATGCTGCGTTTTTTTGTATTTATAATTTTATATCATTATCTCATGGCACATCATGATGATCGGTACCAACGCATTCGTAACTCCGATTAGTAGCTTCGGCTCTGTTTTTCTTTTCTTTCTTTCTTGTTTTGAATTGTATGTTTAACTCATTGGATTTCTTTGTATTCTGTATCTCGTTATCGTTATCTTTTCCTCTAGCCCTCTTGCTTAGGATGAGCTTTCTTTTTTATGGCAGCTTAAGTGAAGGCTATATACCTGCTTTATGCAGGTTGATGCCAACGCGAACAAGCAAAATAATAATAATAATAATAATAATAACATCATGATGACGGCCAGTAAAACTGAGACAAGGGTGAAAGCCAACCACAGCAGTAAAACATATAAAAGAATAGAAATAAAAGGCAAAGAAGGCAAAGGAGGAGACAAACCAGCAGGAGTCATGCAAGTACATGAAACCTATAATTGAGCAGAGATTTTAGCAACAAAATTATCCATCGACGTGCTGGTCTTGGCCTGCGTTGGTAATGTTGCCCAAAACACATAGCCAGCAAAGACCAGGGATCTAGTGAATAGGGTGGAGGCAGCGCGTGGGAGACTGAATGAGTTCCGGGTATTCCGTGTTTCGGAGAACCAATTATAAGCCTGCATATGCAAGGGTATTTTATGTATGGGAACACAGAGGTGGTACTTATGTCGAGTTGAAAGGGGACTGATCTTGGCAATTTCGTAAAGGCTAGCGGAGGGAAAGCGACGATCTTTGCTAAATAAGATTTTCAGGAGCATGCGGTTATGGGTTTCTAGCTTGTTCAATACAGTAGTAGTTATGCCAGACCAAGCAGTATCACAGTAGTCAAGTATGGGCAATATATAGCAACGATAAAACAAGTGTTTGCAAGAAAGAGGAAGATGTCTACAGTGGGCTTGAAGAGCCCCAAGGATGGAGCTTGTGCGCTTGCAGACATACTGCACATGGGGTGACCACGGCAATTTAAAGTCAATAACAACGCCAAGATGCTTATGCTCTTCAACAATACGAATAGAAACACTTGAAGAAGGAAAACAAAGTGGCAGGGAAGGGGGAGAAGGGGTAATGTACATTGCTGCCGTTTTATCAACGTTTGGCTGCAACTTCCAATCATGCATCCAGGTTATAACCTTGCCATTGCTATCTTGCATGGTTTCATGCAGTCGTATAGGGCAAGCATTGGAGCAAAGCAGAGCTGTGTCGTCAGCGAAAAGGCTGACACCAGGGGCAATATCGGGGAGGTCATTAATATACAGGAGAAATAGCAGTGGCCCAAGGATTGAACCCTGGGAGACTCCAGAAGTAACGGCTAAAGGCTCCGACAACAGTTGAGAGGCGTACAAGCTGATTTTGGTTATAGAGATACGATGAGAGCCAGCCGACAGCCTTGCCATCAATGCGATACACTGTTCGCAGCTTAGCTAAGAGACCCCTGTGCCAAACAGTGTCGAAGGCCTTTGCAAGATTGAAGAAGACTAAACCAACATAGTTATGGGCGTTCCGGGCTGTCTTGTGGATGTCTTGCACAAGGCGAGTAACCTGGTACCTGGTGGAGTCACCCCGACAAAATCCCGACTGTGCTGGCGAAAGTGAAGCGCGAACATGATTATAAATGATGTCATATGCAACAAGTTCGTACACTTTTGATAAAGTAGAGAGCAATGAGATAGGGCGATAGTTGCTGGGGGTGGTACGTGATCCTCTATTTTTGTAGGTCCACAGCTTTGCTTATGCAGAATGGCTTGGGTGAGAGGAGAGGAGAGAGAAAGCAGCAAGGAAACCAATATCTAAAAAATATGAAATATGTCACAATAACATAAAGAGAACCAACCTACATATGTATGATTGCACAAGAATGGAGAAGACAAATGGCTATAATCATTGTGCAACTAAACCGGTACACATGAAATCTGTCGACAATGTAAGGAAACAAAACAAATTATACTCAGTTAGTCCGTAAATATCGAACTTTTTTCACCAAACGAATTATTTTAGTTTAGACCCAACCCCTCCCTCCCTCCCCCTCAGAACGTAAAACATGTTGACATACGCGCATATACAATGGCCATGTACATGAATCAATGTTTTCTGAAACGAAATTGGTCAACCCCTCCCCTCCCACCCCATAACGAAATCATTTCGTTCTGTGAAAAAAGTTCGATATTTATGGACGACCCCTTACTGGTTCTGCTAAAATATGAGAGAACAATGCTACAACATTAGAATTACCACTTGTACATACGTAAATTGTCACAAGTGTAGAGAGCGAGTCCCATACAAAAGCATGAACGACTGTCCCGAAGTTATTTTGGAAACAAAAGGTACTACCTACTGACGTTGACGGAACATGAATTTGAGTCGAATACGCACGAAGTCTTGTACATCATTATGCGCCGGTGTCATGAAGTAAACGGCATGTACGACAGTCACCAATCCAGCTTCAGCCCCGCGCTCGCTTGAGCAGAATGTTCCCCGCGTTTGCTTTGCCTCCACACGGATAGACGACCAGCGCAGAGTCCCGAAGCTCCGTGGCCGTAAGGTCTTGATGTTCGCCGTTAGTGTCGTTAAGTCTCCGTCCACCTCTCACAGCAAGCCGCTCAATGAAAATCTTTCTCGCTCCATTGGAGAGAGAGGAGAGTTGCTACTTCTCCATCCAAACACTTGGTTTGTAAAGCAGCTTGAATTGTCCAAGGTTGTTATGGCAACAATAGTGGGACACAGGACCGCATAACTCGCATGCATTGCGCTCAGATCAGCTAGAAAATCGTTGCTAGGCAGCCACAGCAAAAAAATGCAATGTCAACTAGGCAACGGTAACAGTGCCATTTAGCGAAGGACATCACTTTGCCCGTGTACTGCGGGGTACCACGTGGAGTGCTCTCTGGAATCAGACCCTCGCCTCGGATACCTTGAACTTGTCTCCTGAGGGCCCAATCCGAATACCGTATTTTCCGGAGTATAGTACGCACTTACGATATGCTATTTTAGGCCCTAAATCGCAGGTGCGCACTATGCTCCGAATATGAAATGCATGTACTGTATTTTTCGGAGTATAGTGCGCACCTTTGTATAACGCGCACCCCAATCTTCATTGGGGGTGCGCACTTCAATCTTCATTGAAGTACATGCATTTCATATTCGGAGCATAGTGCGCACCTGCGATTTAGGGGCTAAAATAGCACATCTAAAGTGCGCACTATACTCCGGAAAATACGGTACTTCAATCAAAATTGAAGTGCGCACCCCCAATGAAGATTGGGGGTGCGCGTTATACAAAGGTGCGCACTATACTCCGAAAAATACGGTAACTTGCGCTCTTTGACCGGGTTGGGGTTGTTTAGTGTAGCAGCTTGTTGCTATTGTGTGCTGCTTCTCGATGCACCACTCTAGCAAGGGGTAAACCAGGATCCATGATCATTGTTCAGAACACCCACCGTTCCTGCAGCAGTGTGATGAAATGCTTGTCAACCATTGTAGGTTTACAGCAATATTATTTAGGTAGTGCTGCTTTTCATTGTGTTGCCACAGTCGCAAACATGTTGTCCTTTCGATTTGTTTTGCAGTATCGCAAGCAAACTGATCCCGATAGCAAGGCTGTGAAAAAGCAGGCAGCAGCCACCACGTACGCAGCTGGTGATATGTGTGGAGGAGAAGCAGCCATTGTTTATCCGACTAAATTCCGTGATCCCGGAATCATTTACAGTGCTGTTATGACAGGTCTTACACCAAACACTGCATACACGTGAGTACCCGTCAAACATTTGATGTATATTGTTCACGTACAGTATGGAAATGGCCACGTGCGGGTATATTTGTGTGTGCGTGAGTTCGAGCCGGGACGCATACACGAATGTGTGAGTGTGTGTGTGGGGGGGGGGGGGTAACAGAGGGAAACCTTCGAACATGAGGGCCAGCTCTGCAGCAAACGTGTTTCGGCTTCCACCAGATCTAAACCGGGATGTAGCTCGCCAGCATTTACTCTCTTACCCTGATTCTGGCTCCCTGTCACAAGGGAGTGATGTAGCCCTATGGGGCAGTCATGCTATAGTAGTAGTAGTGGTAGTAGTAGAGTGTGTGGGGGGGGGGGGGGGTGTACGTGTGTGTGTCTGTGTGTGTATGGGTGTGAGTGTTCACTGCACGCCATTCTTCACCGCTGCTACCTCAAAAAAATTCTAACGCCTTCATTTCTCCCAGCACTCTTTCCCTCCTGCAAGACAGGGTGAACCGAGGGAAGGAACTCTGTCATTCGCATTTAAACCGGTCCACTTCAGAATAGAATGACAAGTCTAGCAGAATTATCTGGACTGGGAGCTCTGGGGTTGATCAGGGTGGATCCGTATTATTGACTTTTGATATAATGCTGGCCAAGCGCGACGAGACAAGCGAGAAATGATTTCTCGTGCAGCATTTTTTTCTGTTGAAAACATAGCATTTGATATTATTCTTTGATGTTTACTCTCTCTTGCTTCCCATGTCAGTTTTCGAGTCTCACCAGTGTCCCTTCCTTCCCAGTCTTCTTTTCTATACATCTTGATCCTTCCTTTTCTAACTTTGCTATGATGTGCTTTGCAATGCTTCCATGATGCCAAACCACCACTGGCGGTATACACCTGGGTTCTTTCTCTCACCACTGCATCCATCGGAGGAAAGGGCTTACTGATCTGACGGTCACAAGTGGCTCTGCATCATGGCCTGTTTCTGGAATCCGCGTGGATTCTGTACTTCTTTGGGACATTCTGTACTCAGTCCTTGCTTCTAGACTTCTCTTGTCATCTTGTTCATATCTGGCTGCAGCCCACTACCCCTCAATGTGTGTGTTGTTGGCCTTTTCTTCTATGTCTCTGTATGCCAGTATGTGTGGAGCGAGAAGCCATCATTTTCTCTTGTCTAGAGCCTGACTGTGACCTGCATTGTATCTCGTATCTATATGTAGGTACTGGTATGGCTCCGGAGTCAACTCCACGCGTACGCGTATCCTGTCACCAAAGCAAATCCTAACATCTCCACAGGCAATAACAAACACAGGGCAACAAACAACATGTAAGCGAACAAAATATAGGAATATGTCAATAGAGCATTGGAATTATTACTCCTTGATCCGCAGGAAGAGAAATGTTATACTGTAGTCAATTCTTATTGCTCCTGATTTCCCAGAATCGGTCATTTTCCTATCTAAGGTGATACTTTTGAGATTTTTATCCTTAAAAAGCTTCCGTGGAGATAAGAATGTTATTAGCGCAATGAATAGAGCGTGCTGCGTGCTCAGTACAAACATAATATTAAAAGCAAATTTTGTTGTCATGTATAATTATTCCTTTAAAAAGTCGGCGTGGAGACAAGAAACCTACTTCGAAGTAATATCGATGAAAGTAAAGTGAGCGGCGCACTCATACCACGAGACAGTGGAACAATCATCACTCCCCCCTCACATGACCGCGGACTCCTGCATGTACCCTCACACAATAACCACACAACTGTTTGGGAATATCATGCTTCTTGTAATATGCCAAACTTGATACGCTGAGTCCAGCTTGACTTAGCTGTGTCCCTAACTGCTATTTACTGCTCTAACATGAAGCCGTGCCTGGCCGAAGGGAAAAGAAGAAAGAAAAAATTCTGACCTTCTGCAAGCTATAACAAGTAGGAAGGGTCGGCTGTGTAAAGCTACACAAACATCAGGTTGGCCGGATGACAGTGAGCTTCCGGCACATATCTTGCCCTGCTGCACCGCCTGAGCCTACCTGATGTGGTGGTGCACTTATGGGCTGCTTGAGCCCCAGGAGCCTCCCTGATGTACCACGGGGTGCCGTCGAAGCCCCTGTGTCAATTCGGTGATCCAAATGTGTGTGTGTGTGTGTGTTTGTGTGTGCACATATGTGTGTGTGTGTGCGTGCGCGCGCGCTTGTGAGTATGTTTGCATGTCATGTGATGTCATCACGGGTGTGTTCTGCATGAGTTGACATGCATACCAGTTATACTAGTCGATGACAATTGATATGAGATGCTAACGGTTATAGTCATGCAAAAGTCCTAGAATGTTAGAACCTTTGTTTGGTTAGATTTTACATATCATCCATCATCCAGGCATTTAGAAGATTGGTGGCATCCCTACCGAAAAAAACATTGATATTTTGTGATGCTGTTCTATTTCACTGTTGTAGGTCGTATGATTGCCTTTGCTGACATGGGTGCATGGGGTGGCAGCCACTTCATGAGTTTGCCCACTGACAGCACAGCCAAGTCTGTTGTGGACTTAATCCAGCGCATGTGGATCAACACCGGCAAGAAAATCGATATGATCGGCCATGTTGGTGACATCTCCTGTAAGCTAGCTTTGCCTAAGTCCTGTGTTTAGTGGGGCTATTTGTTCGCATTGCTGCATAGCATGCAATCCAGCAGTGACCGTGATGATGATGATCATCATCCATAGCCAGCAATCGCATGTCATCACGTACATTGAAAATCAACATAAATTTGCGAATCGACCGTTTTTCAGCATAACTTTTCAACGAGGACAAAGCAAAGTCGGCCGAACGAAGCCTAGAGGAAGAGAATCATCCTGTCCACTTCACCATCACGATACTCACATAAGTACGAGACGAAACAACTAAAAAATCCACAAGAAAACGGTACACCCACCGCCGCGCTGACTTTGGTCTGAGAATTTTCTATTACCATCAAAATGTACGAGGAGTACTCAAAAATCAGCTACAGACGTACCTTTGTCACTCTCTGGTCCTTTTTCGAGGCACGAAAGTCGTCTGTCCACTTTCTAACCGGGAACAAGACATACTAGTGGTCCTTTTCAGCTGCTCCACGAGCACAGGTAATGTTCACCGAGGGTCGCAGAGCAGCATCCATTCCAGCCAAACAGCTAAAATACGAGTAAACCTGCATTGCTGAGTGCATGAGTACATCAGTACAGTCATGCAGTACAATAGTCAATTTCAGCGTGTCTGCTCCAAACAGGAACTAACTTTGACTAGCTACAAAGATTACATCAAAAGATCAAACAGCAACCATTTTCTTCAGTATTTTTCGGCAGAAGGTTTCTCCTTGTGCTTGGCCCAGGCCAAAAATCAAACCTCGGAGGAGTACGAAAAATACAACTCCCAGATGTTCTCGATTGCTGGCCATGAGTGCTAAAATCAAAGTTGGGTTTATTCAATTCACTGCCCTGTGTCAGCCGTATGTAAGAGAAGCTGCAATATTTTGCCATGCTTGACAAGAAAATGTGACTACGGTACTGTCGGGCGCCGAAGAACGGCCAGGCTAGCCAATGTATACACGGTGACTCAACTGCGCATAGACTTTAATACATGAAAATAGGAATGGTGTAGGCTAGGAGGCTGCCCCCCCCCCCCCCCCCCCGGTCTTTGGCACCCGACGTTACGAGTATGCTCTTCATTTCCAGGGACATTGGAGCATTACGATTGCATTTTCCCACGAGATTATTCCAGCCATGCTCAATGAAATCCAATGGCGTGAGTCATGTACGCACCGGTTGCTGTACAGTCCTAGACCTGCAAACACTCAAACACTGGGATTTTACTGGTTTTGCTGGGCGCCTAGCTGACTCACTCAATCGGATTTCATTGAGCAACATTATCAGTATAATGAGAGCGCATAACTTGGTTACTGCTACTAATCCGGGGGCACTGAAGCAGTTACTTTTACATTTATGCAAGGCCTGGTGGCAAATCATGGACACCGAATAGCTTGCAAAGCCTTTAGCCATATCAGGCAACCACTGAAGCAGCAACGTGTGGTGTCTGAATTCTAACAAAAGTGAATCCTAAATAATACAAGAGGGATGTGTGCGAAACAACGAATGCAACAGTGATGAAGGTAACTGAAATCTGTGAAATCTTTGCGAATGATTAAATTCCTTGACATTACCTTGTGAGTCATGTCATTTGCTCTACTTCATTTTATGCAGATGCCATTGGCAAGGGATATGTCTGGGAGAGGTTCTTCTATCGTGTTGAGCCCATAGCAACACAAGTTCCGTATCATGTTGGCATAGGAAATCATGGTAAGCAAGGAATAAGCAACATGACTTTAAAAACAGTGTCAGGTAATTAAAGTGCTTCCTCTCCCGAAGTCCATAGAAACCCGCAGCCATATGCTAGAAAAACAGCATAAAGCGATCAAGCAAGCACGAGCAGGCATGAGAACGTTTACTCAAATGCAGAAAACACAGAGAAGTTGGTGGCACGCATGGGCGAGTGGGCAGCAAGGACCTGAAAAAGTACCATATATTTTATAATAATGGTACGCATTGGCATGAACACAGCCATCCTCCCTGGGCGTAGGCCGACTGGTTTATGGATGCCAGGGAGCCAGGTAACTTTACCATTGTTGTAACAAAACACTGCTTTACTATTGTAAAGTGGCAGCCAGCATGCAGAATCGAGTTAGCCAGGAATCACTTTGAGTGGATCATGCATAGCACCGGCCCAAGGAGGGGTGAGGGGGGGGGGGGGCATGACGAGAGAAACAAGGTCACAATGGCAGATTCTAGGGATTTGCACAGTAGAAGAGCAACAGCTTGAAATGATGGGTGAAAATGCTCTCTCAAGTACCCTTTCGTTCAGCTCCTCTATACCAATATCACACACATTGAGCCAAGTCTTAGTTTACGGAAGAAATAAAATCTCTTTGTTACGATACGTGTAGATGGTGATGGAATGCTGAGCAGCGAACTGAACTGGGCAACTTTAAGGGCATGGCAAGTTTGGCAAGTAGACTGTCTAGTTTGTTTTTGACCAGAATGAGTTTCCACCAGTCAGAATTGCTGTGCACCAATGTGCATACAAGTCATGTACAGTCAGACCTCGCTTAGCCGCACACCGGCATCCGTTTTCCACAAAAGTAACCGGGGTAGGCGAGGGAACCGGATAATCGAGCACACATACTGTGTGTATGCATGGCATACGCTGTAAATCGGTAACCAACAACTTTCTTCCGGATGGTGAGGGATCCGGATAAAAGAGGACCGGATAAGCGAGGTCTGACTGTACTTCAACGTACGTAGACAGGTGTCAAAAACCTACAGTCCGTGTATAGTGCTTAACGTAGATATATGCCAGCCGAGAAAGGTTGGCAATGATTTCCTTATATGTGTAGATCGGTAGGATCTTCTTTAGCCAGGCCACCTAGATTCATGCCGCATGCTTGATCTTGTCCTACACGTGCTTATTATTGTTTAGGCCTTGGTAAAAAATAAAGTTGATTCTCAGGTCATGAGCCTGTGAAAATCGGTGCGAGCGAGCGATTTTTTTATTTTATTTCCCACAATTTTTTTATTTCCAAAGATAGGCTCACAAAATATGTACGTCACAGGTTCATATAATTATTCAGGCCAGAGAGTAGAAAAGTACCGGTATTTTACTACTCCCTGATTCATGCCTTTCGCATTGACCGTTTTCATGTGCGCATATGTATGCATAGAAATTAAAAAAATCGTCGGTGCGCCGCCAAAAATCGGTGCGCGCGTACTTGAGAATCAAAGATAATTTTTACCATGGCCTTAGCGTTAATTTTCTACTTTTCAACAGTGCCTCGTAATGTATTTTCCTGTTATATTTCTGCATAATTTGTTTTCCATTGTTCATGCTTTCCAACAACGTCTGATGTCATGGCAAAGAATACGACCATACAAGGTAGGTGGGATTGGGGGTCGGTAGGGGGGGGGGGGGGGCATTGTTTGTGTGCTTGTGTTGGGACAGGCGTATACATGGCACATACATGGTGTGTGTACTGATGTGGGTGGGTGTGGGTATGGGTTGGTGTGTGTGTGGGTGTGGGTGTGTGTGTGTGTGGGTGTGGGTGTTTGTGTATGTATTTGTGTTTAAGAGTGGACTCGAATGGAGATGGTGTTAGTGAACATTATAGCGTAACTTGTAGTTCCGTGGCTTTATTATTCATGGATGCAGCTAATGGGACATTCGGTCTTAGACCACTTGGTGGTGGGTCTGATCTACTCACCACCCACCGCTTCATGAGCTGCATCTGTGCCTTGATCCTCGATTGTCATGGTGTTCTGTGCCTTGATCCTTGATTGTCATGGTGTTCTTACAGATGGGGAAACTCAGTCAAACTGAGTGTAACCCAAACTGTGAAAACAAAATTTTGGAAAACAGTGATGTTAGATGCTATATTGTGAAAAGAAGAAGACAAAATGTTAGGAGTTATGACTAACTGTCCACCAACGTAACCAGATCTTATACAGTCAGCGAGTTACGTTACGTTGGTGGACGGTTAGTCATAACTCGTAACATTTTGTCCTTCTTTTCACAATAACTTAATTGGCTCACCTTCAGAGTTAAATATTGCACACCTGATGAGCCGTCGTGACCTATACGGCGAAACGTACGTCGTGTGGAACTACTTGTTATTGTACATAACTAGTCCATCATACATGATAGTGGAGTGCAGTAGGAAGTTGACGTTTCGGTTTGTCACAATTCGTCTTCGCTTAGCTTCCCCTCTCTACGTTTATTACATAAACTTGAGCCTCCCAAGTTGGGTGGTCTTTTGCTTTGCGTCATCGAGGTGTAGTAAGGCCGGTATGTCCAATAGTCTTACTAGTTTCGTCATCATCCAGTAACTTTCGGCATTCTTTGTTGCCGTGATGCGTAGCTCCTGCTCTTCTTCGTTGCGCTTTCCTTCCCCTCTTGGACCTTTCCGAACCTGAGCCTTCCAAGTTGGAACGTTGTTGGTTTGCGCCTTGGAGAAGTGTTGGAGCTAGGTGTCAGGTCGCCGAATGTCTCAGTACTCCTTGTCAGTTTTATGCCATTTTGTCGCACTCGCTGACTGTATAAGATCTGGTTACGTTGGTGGACAGTTAGTCATAACTCGTAACACCAATGGAGATGTTGAATCTGTCCCCGGGGAAAATTGCAATTCCGCGGCCGCGTTTTTTTCCGCGTTTTTTGCGATTTTTTAAAAGACCGCGTTTTCCGCGATTTTCCCGCGTTTTTTGAACTTTTTTGTTGCACTACACGTACACACAGTGCACTGTTCGGTCAGCGCCGTCTCATCGTGGCGGCTTTTTACTCAAATATGACGAGTGCGTCACCAGAGACTTGTAACTGATTGATTTCACTACATACTCACTGAAAATTGCCGCACATCAATATTATTCACCGCATATTTACCGCATATTTACCGCAAATTCACCGCAAATTATGCCATATTATGCCGCGTTTTTCCCCGCGTTTTTTGCGATTTTTTTCCGCAATTTTCCCCGGGGACAGTTGAATGCTGCACCATTTCTTTTTTTCCCGGAAAAGATGAATGTGCTTAGGTTACTCAATCTGCAGACAGAACTCTTTCACGGTCCTGTGTGGACTCAGGTTATGTACTCCATGTTATTTTTTACTCAATCTGCAGACAGAACTCTTTCACAGTCCTGTGTGGACTCAGGTTATGTACTCCATGTTATTTGTTCGTGTGCAGCACAACCTCACCGAATGATCCCAGTGGAGTAGAGATCAGCTACAACCCAAGTTGGGGTAACTATGGAGATGACTCCGGCGGCGAATGTGGCGTTCCCATGGCTAAGAGATTCCACATGTGAGCTATACAGAATTGCCATTAAATATTCGTATGTTTTTAGCGAGTCTCGTTATATGGCCACTGATCTCGTTACATCTTGAATGAAATGTGTTGGACTCAGGAGACGGTCGATGAGATGTAACCGGAAGTCCAGTAGGGAGTCGGACTCATGATCTAGTCATTGTTTTATGACTCTCTGTCAAACCCGTACAGCTTTCCCTGTACAAAGTCGAAACATTGCCAGTATGCAGTTTGAGGGTTTTCTTCACTTGATACTTAGTAAGACCACGCGTCCGCTTCATCCCACGCCATTCTGAAAAGTAGTGTGGAAACGATCTCACCGGGTACTCGTTAGCTCGCTCGCCAGAAACTCGGCTCGTTTGTGCGGCCAGCTCGTTTGCACTAATGAACATCGTACACCGTAATCCGTACACATGGCAGTACAAGTCGAGCGGGGAGTCGGAAATTTGTTTTACGACTCCCTGGTCGATCGAGAGTCCAGTATCGGCAGTTTTTTTTTTACCTTGTGCGAGATGCCTCTTGTACGGGCAAAACAAAGACAATCAATGATTAGATCGAGCGCACACGGTGATGATCATGTACAATGTCATTAAAGGGGAAGTATACCCTAAAATCAAATTTTCACCAGTTGTAGTCTTCTGGGTGCTGAGTCGAATGGTCTTGGTCCGAGGAAGCTGCGACGCTCCCTTCCTACTTGAATCCCAATCGAACTCGCGCACTTCCACCGAAACTGGGTGACTGCGCCCTACTAGATGGGGATTTGTATGCAAAATGTCACTAAAAGCGCCATTTCGTTCTTATAAAAGCACGGATGACCGCGATTGGCCCATATGTTGTAGTCTTTTGGACGCTGAGTCGACTGGTATTGGTCCGAAAAGGCTGCGATGCAGCGTTCCTCCTTTATTCCCAATCGAACATGGTTGAACAAGCGGTCATGTGCTCCTGCGTACACCAGTCACCTGGTCACCGTGCCTGCAGGGTACAACTTACTAGCCTGTTTGACCTTTTTTGGGTGCAGTCCTGTCACTCGAGTTGAACTCGAGTTGAACCTTGGTGTGAAAGTTGTCGCCTGCTGGCGCGGTGACCAGGTGATTTGGGCACCCAGGAGCACGTGACCGCTTGTTCAACCATGTTCGATTGGGAATAAAGGAGGAACGCTGCATCGCAGCCTTTTCGGACCAAAACCAGTCGACTCAGCGTCCAAAAGACTACAACATATGGGCCAATCGCGGTCATCCGTGCTTTTATAAGAACGAAATGGCGCTTTTAGTGACATTTTGCATACAAATCCCCATCTAGTAGGGCGCAGTCACCCAGTTTCGGTGGAAGTGCGCGAGTTCAATTGGGATTCAAGTAGGAAGGGAGCGTCGCAGCTTCCTCGGACCAAGACCATTCGACTCAGCACCCAGAAGACTACAACTGGTGAAAATTTGATTTTAGGGTATACTTCCCCTTTAATGACACTTGACAGATAATAATAATAATAATAATAATGTTTGAAAGTAGGACGGAGGCAGAAAATATTACAAAAAATGTATTATCTACGCATGCATCTACGCAAGAGTCACCACCAGCCAATTAGGACATGTGTCACAGTATTGAACGTTTTCGTTCCCTTCTTGTCAAAATACTACAGGGAATGATGGAAATAAGCTAAAAGACTACAACTATAAGGAAAAGAAGTTCAGAAATATATCACTCCAATTATGTGTAGAAGTGACACGAAAAAAATATATAATGAATCAAGAAAACAGCATGCAAATCCAGTAAGTGACAAAAACGTAGTGACAAGAAAAAGAGAGAAATATCAAGAGATCTATTTCGCACCTTCACCTTTGCCGTGTTGGAAGCTTTGTACATACGTAAGTTAGACCCTGAGCTTTGTGTTAAGAAGGAGAATGTGTTGTCTTTGCAGTTGTTTGGCACTGTTCGTCGTGAAGGTGCGAAATAGATCTCTTGATATTTCTCTCTTTTTCTTGTCACTACGTTTTTGTCACTTACTGGATTTGCATGCTGTTTTCTTGATTCATTATTTTTTTTCCGTGTCACTTCTACACATAATTGGAGTGATATGTTTCTGAACTTCTTTTCCTTATAGTTGTAGTCTTTTAGCTTATTTCCATCATTCCCTGTAGTATTTTGACAAGAAGGGAACGAAAACGTTCAATACTGTGACACATGTCCTAATTGGCTGGTGGTGACTCTTGCGTAGATGCATGCGTAGATAATACATTTTTTGTAATAATAATGTTGCCGTCATTATTTATGACGCAATGCTCCTTGCACCAGTGATTGACAACATGTGTACGGGCGACAACGCATCACACGTTTTTCTTTGCAATAATTTGTACAGGATCGATCGGCTTCGGTCAACCACAGGTTCCGGATTCGTCTGATAATCCGTGTACAGTGCGCATTGCATCATCAAAATGACGTCAACTTGAAATTCTGTCGGGACAGCACCCATAGTGGAGTTGCACACTCTGGGGGGTTATGTACTCTTGGTTACAGTGACTGCATGCCGCCTGCACGACACTGAGTTGTTTCAGTTGTCGTTGCAGCTTTGGTGGACTCCACTGATGTCTTGTTCCGCATCTGCTGACCTGCTGCAGGGCAAACTTCTGTCAACTCTCCTTTCGAGTGAAAGTTACGCTCAGTCGTTTGGAAGTTTTCTCCCGCGATGCAGCGAAGAACAGGGCTACAGTCTTTGCAAAACGGTCTATTGTTACAAAGGCTGCTCAACGACGGCGCTGAAAAGACATCTCGACACCAAACAGCAGTCCGAAGTGAAGCAGCAGCATCCCCAAACGCCGGCGGTGATAATTTGGACCAGCTGAATCGGAAAAAATCGAACTTAGGAAAAAATAATTAAAAAATAATTATTTGCCACATCAAAGAAACTCGTTATCTCGCTCGGTAGCTTGCTCGTTAGTGGAACTGATCGCTCGTTTGTTATAGATACGTTCGTTTCAACACTACTGAAAAGCGGTGACAATGAAAAGGTTTCTGCATTGGAGTCTTTCATGTGTCTTTCGCTCGTGAAGCTGTAGCTAATGGAAATGATCCCACCTGGTGTTAGTGGATGGACATTTTGGTACGCTCAGGCAAAACCTGACGGAGTGTGGAGGCTAGCTTGCTCTCAGCGGGGAAAAATGTGCATGGTGATTGACGTTCGGTACAACTACAAGACACAGTTGTAGCACCCCTGTGCAGTAAGAGCTACAAGTTTAACTTCTCGATGTTATATTCTGCTTCAAGGCAAGTAAGTATAGACGCTGCTGCGGTGGCCTCATCACAGGAGACCAGAACATTTTCGATAAAGCTCAAAGACGAAGCTTTTTGCAGCAACGATAGTACCAGTACTGGAAAATACCAGTAAGCTTTGGAATGTATCGCTTGTAACTTCAAGTGAGCCCTGCACGTTCATTGACTTTTTGGCGCTACGCCGAAGATGGAAATAATTATTATGCCTTGTCATTCGGACTCCACCAGTATAACATTGGAATCATGAAAGAAAAAAACCCAAACTGTCCACCTTGTGCTTTGTTCTCTGCCGTGTCTTCATTCTCTCTCTCTCTCTCTCTCTCTCTCTCTTTCTCTCTCTCTCTCTCTCTCTCTCTCTCTTTCTCTCTCTCTCTCTCTCTCTCTCTCTCTCTTCCTCCCTCTCTCTTTCTCTCTCTCTTCTCTCTCTCTCCTCTCTCTCTCTCTCTCTCTCTCTCTCTCTCTCTCTCTCTCTCTCTCTCTCTCTCTTTCTTTCTCTCTCTCTCTCTCTCTCTCTCTCCTCTCTCTCTCTCTCTCTCTCTCTCTCTCTTCCTCCCTCTCTCTCTCTCTCTCTCTCTCTCTCTCTCTCTCTCTCTTTCTTTCTCTCTCTCTCTCTCTCTCTCTCTCTCTCTCTCTCCCCCTTTCTCTTTCTCCCTCCCTCCCCCCCCTCTCTCTCTCCCTCTCCCTCTCTCCCTCTTTTCTCTCTCTCTCTCTCTCTCTCTCTCTCTCTCTCTCTCTCTCTCTCTCTCTCTCTCTCTCTCTCTCTCTCTCTCTCTCTCTCTCTCTCTCTCTCTCTCTCTCTCTCTCTCTCTCTCTCTCTCTCTCTCTCTCTGTGACCCTCCCTCCCTCACCTGTAATTTGTGAGAAAACTGTTTAGCTTATCCTGACATTCACACCCATACAGTCACTGGCCTGCACCGTGCAGCAGTGCATGTATTGCAGGAAGTGCTGTGCATGTAGTGCATGTATTGCAGGAGGTGCTGTGCATTTTGTGTAAAGAGACTACTAGCTCTCAGTTGCCTCCTTGAAGTAAGTTACTTGCCCCATTGGCATGCACCCTTTCGAACCCGGACAATCTTCTCAGGATTGGTAGATTATCTAATCTAAATGTAGGTGGTTGCCGTTCCGACATTGGGAAGACTGCATACTGGGAACCCGACTACTTACAGATGCCCAATTGGTCAACCCCCCCCCCCCCCTCAAATCTGAAAATGGGGGTGCAACTTAAATTCGAGTTTAACTTATAATCGGGGAAATATGGTACTTTCCTGATTTTCTCCCTATATCCTACCGCCGCAATGCCACTCCGTTGTAGTACATTGTTTTGTGTATGTCGTTAGTGCATGCGCGTGTTGCTGTGCTGTGAAAAGCAGTCTTCGTCTTGAGTTCGTCATGTCTACAAGTAGTTGTGCTTCGTCGTCGTGTCAATAAACGGTCTTCTAAATGTAGTTGTTGTCGTCTATTGTATGAGTGTGGAGATGGCACGGGGCTGGGAGCAAGTGAAGAACTTGAGTAGACTTACAACAATTCTAGCAGTCGTGTTTTTTGTTTTTCTTTGTTATGTTCTCCAGGCCCCAGTCTCCAGGAAGCAATGGTGTGTTCTGGTACAGTGTAGATGTAGCTAATGTACACTTTGTCATGATCAGCACTGAACATGACCTCAGCCCTGGATCTGTGCAGTACAACTGGTTGAGATATGATCTCAATGCTGTCAATCGGGCTACCCAACCTTGGGTCATTGTTGCTGGCCATCGACCACTCTACAACAATGAGCAGCGCCAGCAAGATGCTGATCTGTGAGTTTGTGTCAGCATTGCCATTATGATTACAGCTGGGTAAACAAGGATAATTGAATAATATATTATTAAAAAAATTATAAATAAACGTGTCATGGTCTATGGTAAAGCAATTGACTAATAGGCTCAGTAGTGGAGTTAGCGGGGTGTCATTACTATCCCATGCGTAATACCACCCATAAACAATTGTAAAAGTCTGTTTTTCCAGAAATTGACCTGTATGGTGGTAGAGAGTTTATCCGTACACCAGACAGTTTTAAAGGGGAAGTTAAACCTAAAATCAAGTTTTCACCAGTTGTAGTCTTCGGGGTGCTGAGTCGAATGGTCTTGGTCCCAGGAAGCTGAGATGCTCCCTTCCTCCTTTATTCCCAATCGAACTCGCGCACTTCCACCTGGTCACCGCGCCAGCAGGCAACAACTTTCACACCAAGGTTCAACTCAAAGGTTCAAAGGTTCAACTCGAGTGATAGAAACTCGCTCAAACATGCTGTAAGTTGTAGCCTGAAGGCACACTGACCAGGTGACTGGTGGACCGCGCACGAGCACGTGACCGCTTGTTCAGCCATGTTCGATTGGGAATAAGGGCAGAACGCTACATCGCAGCCTTTTCGGACCAAAACCAGTCGACTCAGCGTCCAAACGACTACAACATATGGGCCAATCGCGGTCATCCGTGCTTTTATAAGAACGAAATGGCGCTTTTAGTGACATTTTGCATACAAATCCCCATCTAGTAGGGCGCAGTCACCCAGTTTCGGTGGAAGTGCGCAAGTTCGATTGGGAATAAAGGAGGAAGGGAGCGTCTCAGCTTCCTCGGACCAAGACCATTCGACTCAGCACCCCGAAGACTACAACCGGTGAAATTTTGATTTTAGGCTTAACTTCCCCTTTAATAGCATTGATTAGTCTGCAAGGCATGTGCACGGCATTTCTGAGCACATAATTATATTCAATTTTTGATCCTAAATCAGTCCAGCTCTGAAAAGCCCAGATATCAGTGAATATTTGGGCCACAACCAGCTTAAACATGTCTTAGGGTGAAATTTTTCAAATTTTGTTTTCTTCCTGAAAACAGTTCTTGGGACCTTACTTGACCTCTTGAAGGTGATACAGGGCAGAAAAGTAGTCTACAAGTGCCCCAAACCCCGCTTTCAAAATATGTACTTTGAAATAGAAAATGACAGTTTTCGCACAGTCTGACACAAAGAGACAAACTATTACTTAGTGGCTTTTGTGGCGGAGCACAATACAACAGAACTAAAGATGTTGACACCGACTTGAGCATGTCAACGACATCAGTTCAAAGGCATGGCCCAAGTTTTTCCTGGAAAGCAACACGATGCGCTGGGCGGCGTTGCACTTGCATACTCTTTCGATTCTTGCAGTGACACTTTCGATCGTCGCCTGCGTTTCCGAGACTGCGTCAGACGCCTCATGAGAGCTGAACGCAAGTAACGTCGTAAGGCAGCCGGTTCGCCGCCTAAATGATTATGTACTAGCCCACAACTTGTGCCTCTTCGCTACTGGAGACGACGGGGACGATTCAGCTTCGCTGTCGACATCAACATCAATGAGATCCCAACAAATTGTCAGCGTCGCTCTGCAGACCCGCCGACATGGACTTGGAGACACCTGAACAAACCTGGGCCATGCACAGCGATCGTCTGGCCGTGCGAGCTGCTCTAGTATCACTAGATGCGGACATTGTCAGTCTTTGCTCGCCAGCTACTTGAAGTAGAACGCCAAACAAGTGTTTGAACAAAATTTGAGAAGATGATCGCCACATCATGAATCATTAATTTTGAATGAACTGCAGAGCGAACGCGCTCCAAAAAACATTTTTTTTCATTTCGTCATTTCCCAACTTTTTTACGAAACCCCAAAGACATGTTTTAGCTGATCGCGGCCCATTTTGTGAATGGTATGCAGACCATGTAACTCATCCAGTTCTGAATTTACCAGTACCTCCTGCGCTGTTTCAAGTGCTTGCAAGCGTGTATGGTTGTGGACAGGGTAAATAGATCTCGTTGAACTTTTTTGAAATGAAGCTGCAGTTTCGGTGATGTGGAGGAAGTATGTGCGACTAATCAGAAACCATGCTCTGTTGTGGAATAGTCAGTGGTCCTGATCTCCTTTGCAAGGCTAGGTCTGTTTTGTCTGTCAAGTCCGGCATTGTAACAGTATAATGCTCCTGCCTGTCATGTACAGGCCAGTGCAACGCAAGCTGAGAGAGTTTCTGAATCCGGTGTTTGCAGAGTTTGGTGTCAACCTCTATGTGTGTGGTCATTACCACAACTGTGAGTACAGTATACCCTCGCTGCTGGAATTGTGCTAAGCCAAAGGTGACGTAGTGCTCTGAGTGCGCGTCGGGTGACTACTTCCTAGCAAGGTTGTCGCCTGCACAGTTTGTGGCCTGGCAACATTTTACGAATAATCATAGAATGCGAAAAGCCAGAAAGGGACGTATGGACACAAGTTAAGAGTAACTGTCCATCACTGTAACTAAAATGAATGCTATACAAAGTTACAGGCAGAGAGTGCAACAACAAGGCACAAAACTGACAGAGTACTAAGACATGGCGGTGGACAGTTACTCTTAACTTGTAGCCATATGTCCCTTTCCTTTTTACATTAAATTTTATTATTGGCTCAACATCCGAGTATCAAAATCATAGAATGATTGATGAAGCCTGTTGAGAGGCTAGTGCTACTTCCTAGAGATCCTACTGGGCGTTATCTTCCTAGCACTGTGGCAGTGGACTGTACACAGCATACCCCGGCGATGCAAGAGTTGTGTGTCTGGTGTTTTCCTGCAGATGTTCGCACCACACCGATATCAAGGGATGGCAGTGTGACGTCTGTAGGGACTGTACACATCACCGTCGGTACCGGTGGTGCTGATCTTGGTGCAGGCCAGGTTAGTGAAGAACTAGCGTCAGCACTTGAATCTACTTGTGCACAAGCTACGTACATTATAGGGTACTCAATCGAATCTTGGCTGTACGAGCCTTATCAGTTGTCTGATGATGCCTATCCTACTTACACAATAGGGATGCAATCAATGCTCGATTATTCAAATTTATATGATCGTTATAACATTGCTCCAAAAATAACTTAGGAATAGGAAATTTCAAGTTTGAGGGATCCATGGCAATCATGACACATTCTAGAGCTGCAGTGAAGAAACTGCTGCCTGGATCAGCAGCATCTGAGGAGAGTTGGCTGGGTCAGCAGTGTCTGTGGAGATATAGCATCTTGGAGAATTCAGGCAGCTTTGCAAAGCGCGAAATGACGCTTCTAAGTGCATGACTGGTGATAGTAGATAATTCGTTCAGTTGTTGAATTGATATTCGAGCAAAAAATCGTGTATGGAAATCATGAGTTGGTACATATACGGTCCTTTTGGTCCGCTTTGCCTTGTTTTTGATTTTTGACCTTCCGTGACAACCCTTTCTCTTTTTTCTACTGTCGCAAAGAGAACACAAACATCCACTTCGAGGCCAAGCGCTGTCATTTATTGTAGCAAGCGCATGACTACTTCGAAGTAGTAGTCCTAGCTCTTTGACTAGGTGTGTCCGAAGTTGCACGCTGAGGATACTCCTGCAGTCCATTCATTGGAAACTGGCACCCTAACTTTTTGGTGTCTCTGTCGTATAGTTGTAGATATCATGAAAACTACAGTACATCCTGCATTGTGTGACCCGTGCGATTACTCCTTGCCACATTCGAGGCCAGAAAAGTCCAAGAACAGGGAAATATAAATTCAGCCAGGTTTTACAAAATTAGGACAGGATGCCATGGCAAAATGTATGGAGAACCAGATCCAAAACCCAGATTTTTGAGATTTAAAGTGGGTTTTTGATCCGCAATTCGGCCCAAATCCGACTTTCAAAAGCCAGCGGGCCAGTTTCCGATGAATGGACTGTAGGCTACTTTATGACTGCAAGGAGCTTATGATTAGACTGCAACTGGCAATTTTCCGTTGATGCTGGATAAGTTTGAACTAAGTGAGATTTAGTCAGTGGAACTGGAAAGCAGCATTGATCATGGGGAGAATCCGAACCTTTACATCATTTTTATGTCAATGGAGACACTGGAACGGAACCGTGGACACAAGAGACCAATCGGTCAACGACAGTGAAAACATTTCGAAGACAGTGACCCAACATCTCTCAAGGACATTCGGTGGAGAAGATGGCCGGAAAGAGTTTAGAGAAGTGGGTTGGTGGACAGGAAGGTTTCTGAGATATAGCTCTTTGTGTGCCTTTGTTTATATTTTTGCACTTGAAACGTGCATTATTGTGATTCGTTGCTGTTATGAATAGGCAAGGTTTTCTCTTGAAAATCCTGTTATGAATAGGCCAGGTTTTCTCTTGAAAATCCTTCTAACGGAAGGCAACTGGAGCAGAACTTCCTAAGGCATCGATTTTCTGTTCATTTCAAAGCAGTACTTTTGAAAATGGAAAGTTTCAGTGTGTACGAGTCAAAGCTGTAAAGCATCGAAATGAAGTTGTTTTTAGTTGGCAAACTGCCCATTCTATTTTATGCACTTGTATATCCATTTTCCTATTGTTTCAGTATCGTTCAGTTCCCTGGGCTGTCAAGAGCTTGACGACGTTTGGAGTGATATCTATTGAAACCGCCGGAACACAGATAATGACCGTACAGTTTGTAAACAGTAGTGGCTCAGTGCTGGACTCTGTCACCATGAACCAGCTGCCGCATATCACCGTGAAACCCTCAACACAGGCAACACAGGCCTCGACCACGCCCTCGACCAACAAGCCCGCAGCAGAAAGCTCCAATAAAGGTAAGGCATTAATTACATTTGTGTGACATGTGCAGTGAAAATGGAGGACACATTGGGCTGAGGGGGACATGGAAACATAGATCATATGCCACACAGGTCACATGCAAACCTGTGTTTTGCAAAAGAGAAAAGTAAACTGTTAATACAGTAGCAGTCTGTCCTGGGATTGAATGCTGGGATTGAATGCTGGGATTGAATGCTGGGATTGAATGCTGGGATTGAATGCTGGGATTGAATGCTGGGATTGAATGCTGGGATTGAATGCTGGGATTGAATGCTGGGATTGAATGCTGGGATTGAATGCTGGGATTGAATGCTGGGATTGAATGCTGGGATTGAATGCTGATTTATACTTGATCCGACTTATTAAAATGTGCGTTTCGCTTCGAACGTCAACCAAACAAATTCAAATAATCTCAGGACGGAATAAACTATCCAGCTACCTAACACTATCCTTCAGTTGTCGACTTGTGATGTTGCAGAAGAAATGGCTCCAACTCCAAAGGAGGCAGCGCCTCAGGATCCTAGTCGACTCGAGCATTTTGCGTCCAAATTTTGTCATCAGAGGACTCCTGTTGCTTCTCGCGCAACACAGAGAAGGCCTGGTGCTGAAATCAACACCCCACTGCTATGGGGAATTGTCACGGAGCACGAGAAACTCCTGGGCGATCGTTCTCGAGTGCCTCCTGGCGGATTGAATTCGCTGCAGTCGCTGTTTTCTTGGCAGAATTTCAGCAAACGCGTCATCCAGAAGCTCGTGCAGAAAGCACCAGCATTGCTCCGTCCAGTTTACTGATCTCTTTCGCAGTCGTTCACGATGTGGCGGCCGACGAATCAAGATCACAGAAGAGATCGTCGAGAAGTTGATCGGAATAAATAACCGCCCTTGAGGTCGACTTTCAGGCGACAACCTGGCTGGAAAACTGAAGCGCAATAAAGGTGAATTATCCTGCGGATACGGTGCATGACTGGTGCGGAGTCATTGGAGCCGCGATCGCGATGCGTCACAAGATGGCCAATCTCCGGGGTCAGTGGATTCGTGAAACAGGCAGGGAAGAGCACGCATGGTCTGACTGCATGAGAGTCATGTCGACGCAGATATACCGTATTAGACTCAGTACGCGCGGCACACGGTGTTGAGAAGTGATTTTTTTATGCATGGTGGTTTACTTGTTCGCCTCTTTTGAACGTGTCGTGGGATTGTCAGGCGAAAACACCTATAGCCACCATTCTGGCAGTTGTACTGCACGAGGAGGAGGCGAAGTCGATCGTCTAAATCGTGCCTATGGAGTGAAAAAATCAAGGAAGCACAGTGTAGCTTGGAGGAGATGAAAAAACTGTCGACGGTTTGCAGGTTGACGCACTTGCAGATGCGCGCTGAGACACCAGCAGCGATGAAAACTAGGTCAGGCCAAGAAACGATACAGTAGTTATCTATCTACCGTCTCTTTGTTGATTTTTTAGTACAGGTGTTCCTTTGTAGTACATATGCTTGAGTTTTGAAGCGAAGCGCACATTTTAATAAATCAAACCAAGTACAAATAGCCACCCCTACTACAAAGTAGACAGCGAATACTCCTTCTTCAAGAATGCAACAGCTACGGCAGTAGGCTGTGCAGATGTATCTAAATCCTTTCCAGCTAAGCTAAATATTTGTCAGATATCCTTAAAAAAAATGAAGAAGCTCCTCCCCTCTCAGTGTGTACTCTACAATGCCGCATGCTGCGTGCTGCGTGCTGCGTACTGAGTCTTTGTGAAGTGTTCAGTACTGAGTCTTTGTGAAGTGTTCAGTACTGAGTCTTTGTGAAGTGTTCAGTACTGAGTCTTTGTGAAGTGTTCAGTACTGAGTATTTGTGAAGTGTTCAGTGCTCAGTCTTTGTGAAGTGTTCAGTGCTGAGTCTTTGTGAAGTGTTCAGTACTGAGTCTTTGTGAAGTGTTCAGTACTGAGTCACACACACACACACAGTCTTTGTGAAGTGTTCAGTACTGAGTCTTTGTGAAGTGTTCAGTACTGAGTCTTTGTGAAGTGTTCAGTGCTGAGTCTTTGTGAAGTGTTCAGTACTGAGTGCTTTTGCAGAACCTCAGGTTTGTGAGAGGCAATTCCACGAGTGACATTGTACTAGACACCTGATGTGATCGGTGGGCTATGTCGTGTATGTTTGTGTGTGTGCGCGTGCCGTGTGTGTGCACGTGCCGTGTGTATGCATGTGTGTGTGTGTGTGTGTGTGTACGTGTGTGTGTGTGTTCATGTGTACAGCAGCCGTCACTGTAGGTGTGGTGATGGGACTCGTCGTTCTAGTCATGGCTGCGGTCATCATCTTCTTGCTGTGGAGGCGGAGTCGGAACAGTGGTCGGAACAGTGGTTCTCGGACAGATGGATTCCAGGATATGAGTGATGGGAGACCACTTGAGGAGGACTTTTGATGGTGAGAATAAAAGGGTGAGCTTTTAGTGATTCGGCTAAGAACGCATGGTGGTGATGGGTGTAGTGGTTCTACAAACGCACCAAAGACATCTTGTAACTAGCTTCGTTACTACAAATCACAAGTGTGTGGGAATACAGAGAACGACAGAGAGATCAAAGGAAAAGCCAGGCAGGCAAGTACAGCTAAAGTGCGTACGGTACAACTCGCATGTCGTACAGCGCGGCCGGATGAATACATACATGTTACATAAAAGGATACAATGACAAACAGTGGGATGTGCATCCACTACATCTCCCCTCTGAGATTAAACAGGCTATAGTAGAGAAGATGAGGAGTCCAAAGACTATTCGATAATGTAGGTATTGTTTGTAGAGCAAGTTGCAGTGAAAGAGTGATGTGCAGAGACGACGGCAGATACGTCTCGGCACGTTGCTGAATTAGCATGATTCAATGAGGCGGTTGACAGGCTGAGGAGCTCTAGCAGAGCGACGGACTGGATCAGCTGCTGTGCCACCGTACTCAACCTCGACTGTCGGCTTCTCTGCTTCTAGCAGTGGCAGTCGGATCAAGTGACGACGATTGCGGCGAACAGTAGAGTGACCAGACTCAACGAGGTAAGAACGATTGGACACTTGCTCTACTATCTTGCCCTCCCGTTCGAGATCGGTGATGAATACACGGTCATGAAGCTGTAGAGTCGCGAGAGGCTTAGCTGCATGCCGTTGGTCGTAGTGCAACTTCTGCTGTTCCTGGGACTGAGTTTCCGATTCCAGAATACTAGGGAGATCTGGCCATTTCGGTTCCAGCTGCTCAGTCGTTGCAGGTAGACCGGTACGGAGCTGGCGGCCATACAACAGCTGACATGGGGCATAGCCGTTGCTCAGCGGTGTCGTGCGGTAAGCCAAGAGTGCATCTTGCAGGCTTTCGGCCTTCCGCAGGAGATTCTTGGCGGTGCGAACTGCACGTTCCGCTTCGCCATTCGACTGAGGATACCGTGGACTGGAAGTGCGATGGGTGATGTCGTTTGCTGTGCAGAACTCAGTAAACGCTTCGCTGGCAAACTGAGGACCGTTGTCTGTAACCAAGGTGGACGGGAAACCATGCTCGGCACAGATGCGGTGCAGATGCTTGATGACAGCAATCGAGGTTGTGGCAGTCAGCGGTACGACATCGAGGTAACGCGAGCGATAGTCAACAATGACGAGGTAAGTCGTGCCGTTGAATTCCATCAGATCTGCACCAACCGTGTGCCACGGCAGTGTTGGGCGTTGGACGGGTTGCAGTGGTTCGGTCGACTGGACGCGGTGTTTGGTGCACACTTCACACGTAGCGACCATCGTGTCGATTTGCCTTGACAAGCCTGGCCACCAAATGGAATGGCGGGCGCGAGACTTGCACTTCGTTGCACCTTGATGTCCCTCGTGGAGCTTCTCGAGCATCTCAGGCTGCAGAGAGGGTGGCATGACAATGCGGAAACCATGGTACAGCACACCTTGCTCACAGGACAGTAACTGGCGTTCATGGAAGTATGGGCGCACTGTGTCGTCGACATCACGTGGGTTGCACGGCCATCCGTGTTGGACGAAATGGAGGACTTGCTTGAGCGTCTCATCTTGTGTGGTGGCGTCAGCAATGTCACGGGCTTTACCATCCGACACGATCTCACCGATGTAAGATGTGAGGTTGATGCTGATCTCGTCTTGGAGACTAGGCGTGTCGTCACAGGCGAGCGGAGCGCGAGACAGAGCATCGGCAACAACTAGCTCTTTGCCAGGGACATACATGGCGGCTGGATTGTACGTGAGCAGGCGCATCAGGAGGCGTTGACATCGCATCGGGACACGGTTCAAATCACGCGTATTGATCAGCGGGATGAGTGGTTTGTGATCCGTTTGGACAGTGAGGGACGAGTTGCCGTAAATGTAGCCGTGGAAGCGCTCACAAGCCCAGACAACAGCCAAGCACTCCTTCTCGATCTGCGCGTACTGTTGCTCAGTAGTGGTGAGGCTGCGTGAGGCAAATGCAATGGGGCGCATTCCGTCGTCATGCTCCTGCAATAGGACAGCTCCCAAGCCGTAACTGCTGGCATCAGCGCTGATGACCGTGGGCTTGGTTGGGTCGAAGAACGTGAGGCAGGGCGCATTGGTGGCAAACTGTTTGAGCTTGTCCAGGGCCTGTTGTTGTGTAGCAGACCACTCCCATGCGGTGTCATGCCCCAGTAGAAGACGCAGTGGAGCGCTGACTTCCGAGAGATTGGGAATGAAGCGTGACATGAACGCGAACATGCCGAGAATGCACTTCAGTTCCGTGACGTTCTTGGGCGGCTTCAGATTAGCGACGCTGGACACTCTCGCTGGGTCAGGGTGGAGACCTTTGGCGGAGAAGATGTGACCAAGGAACTTCACTTCGGCCTGACGCTTGTGACATTTCGTCATGTTCAGCGTGACGTTGGCTTTCTGCAGGATGTCTAGTACGGCAGCTAGGTTACGGTCGTGTTCTTCTCGCGTACGGCCAGAGACAATGATATCGTCCATGTAGACGAACACGCCGGGGAGCTGGTCCAGAAGGTTGGTGAGACGCTTCTGGAAAATCTCAGGTGCTGATGTGATGCCGAATGGCAGTCGCTTGAAGTAGAACCTGCCGAACGGCGTGATGAAGGTGGTCAAACGGGCAGAGTCGGGACTGAGTGGGACTTGCCAGAATCCGTTAGCAGTGTCCAATGTCGTGAACACAGTCGCTCCGGCCAGTGAAGACAGGGCATCTTCTAACGTTGGCAGCTGAAATGTCTCCCGCTTGACAGACGCATTAAGACGCTTCAGGTCGACACAGATGCGTACCTTGCCGTTAGGTTTGAGGACGGGCACCATAGGCGAACACCAGTCTGTGGGTTCGTCGACACGCGCAATGATGTCGCCATCTTCCATGCGGTGCAGTTCTTCACGTGCTTTCGAATACAGGTGATGAGGAACTCTGCGAGCTGTGAGGCAGTGATACGGTGTGGCGTCGGAAGTCAAGTGAATCTGCGCAGCAGGACCAACCATACACTGTACGAGTGGGACTGGACCTTGCACTTCAGCCAGACGCTGGACTAGACCCAGTGCTGTGCACGCAGATCGGCTGAGCAGGCTAGTGCTGGCACCATCTAGAACAAAGATGGGTATGGTAGTGGACTGGGATTGAAAGGAGCAGTGAGCCTCAAATACACCCAGGACCTGCATAGTCTGGTCATTCGCTCCTCTCAGCTGGGCACTAGTAGCAGATAAGGACGGCTTGGGCTGCAGTGTATTGTATGATTGCACGGACATGGTAGAGACATCAGCTCCAGTATCTAGCTTGAACTGGACTACACTCTTTCCGATAGCTAGATGTGCCAACCAGGGTGAATCACTTACACTTTGTGCGCACGTCGTGTGGCCAACAAATAGAGAGTCTGGAGAGTCGTTCGTGACGGCAGAGGTGGACGGTTTCGATCGGCAAACTCGCGCGAAGTGGTTGCGCTTGCCACAGGCTTTGCAGCACTGGCCTCTGGCTGGGCACTGATCGCGTTGCGAGTGGTGGCTTCCACCACAGTTCGGGCACTTCGATTCGGTCGCAGGCGGCGTTGCTGCAGATTTGTAGCTACCATGCGGTCTGCTCTTCGGCATAGATCGACCACCACGGTGCGACTGGACAGCTGAGGCTGAGGCATCATCGTCTGAAATCGAGCTGGCGGCGGCCAAGCCACTGCGCGATTGGGCTGCAACCTGTTGCTGGACAGTTTCGGCGTGCCGTGCGAACGCAACAACTTTGGCGAGAGTTTGCTCGCTCTTGTCTTTCATCTGCAGCTCCCGACTCACCCGCTTGTCCAGCATGTGGGCGACGAAGCGGTCTCTGATACGCTCATCCTTCGTGCCAGCAAACTCACAATACTCTGCAGCTTTGTACAGAGCACGGACAAACTCCTCTACGGTCTGGCCGGGTTGTTGTACAAGCTGTTCAAATTTAGCCCGTTCATGAACAACATTGGTAGAGGGGAGGAAGTACGTGTCGAAAGCACTGACGACCTCGTCATATTTCTTCTTGTCGTCCTCGGATAGTCCGAGTTGGTACTCGAACAAGGAGTCGGCGTTGGGTCCGAGAGCATACAACAAAGTGGCCACCTGAGTTTCTCCCGGGTCGGAACTCAGTTTGGTGGCGGCACGAAAACGGGTGAAACGGAGTTTCCACACGGGCCACTGGTCCGGTGAGCTGAAGTCGAAAGGCGCTGGAGGGTTGAAACGAGCCATCACCGCTCACGAGGCCAAAGACTACAGAAAAACCAATTCTGACACCATGTAGTGGTTCTACAAACGCACCAAAGACATCTTGTAACTAGCTTCGTTACTACAAATCACAAGTGTGTGGGAATACAGAGAACGACAGAGAGATCAAAGGAAAAGCCAGGCAGGCAAGTACAGCTAAAGTGCGTACGGTACAACTCGCATGTCGTACAGCGCGGCCGGATGAATGCATACATGTTACATAACCTTGAACCTTGAACCTTGAACGCCCATTGCCGTAGCAATGATAGCGATGGCTTCCTCACGCTGAGGCTCTAAACTCGAAATCTGCAGTATGGCGCATGCCGCTTGAGGTCACCAGGACGACGGAACACTCTGTCACAGCGGTAATTGGGGCACAGGATGTCTGGGGCTTCCTTCTCGACCCTCTGTCGACAACACTGAAACCAGGTGGATCTCTCCTGCGCTGTGTCATACCAGTCCGCTTCAGGTAAACCGATGACAGCAAAGTCCGAGGACACAACATCCCGCCAGCGCTTCTTGGGACCATGTTGCGGGCGTTTGCAGGGCAGTTCGCCGAACAGCATCTGCTTGGGCAGCCGGGTCTCCTTCATCCGTGCAACATGACCAAGCCACCGCAAGCGGTGCTTCCTGATCACATCGGCCATGTCGACGTCCACCCCTGCCAGCTCACTCAGCGATGCTGACGACAATCTCTCCTCCCATTGCTCACGACGAGAGATACCGAGAATTGTGCGAATACACTGATGGTGAAAGGTGTTGAGTCGGCGAATATGACCCGCTTTGATGGGCCATGTCTCCGCACCGTAGAGAAGAGCAGGAAGGACGATAGCACGATATACCAGCCGCTTGGTGTGGACCGAGAGATGTACGCACTGAAATATCGGAGACCTGAGCACGCCGAACAGCCGGGACGCCTGCGCCAAACGAGCAGCGAGGTCCGCATCCACCGTTCCGTCAGCAGAGAGCACGCTGCCAAGGTACCGGAACCCGTCCACCATGTCAATCCTGCTACCACCACCGAGTTGAACGGGATCAACTGATGTTGGTTGACCCACCGCCATGCCCTTCGTCTTCCTAATGCTGACGGTCAGTCCCCATCGCTGTGCACACAAGATGAACTCGGACGTCATGCACTCAAATCTCTCTCTGGTGGTTGCATACAACGCTGCATCATCGGCGAACTGGGACTCAGTCACCCTCGTCGCGGATAACCGGGACTTGGCCGTGCGGTCCCCAACCAGCTTGCGACCGTTTCTGAACAGCAGGTCAACTCCAGCGTCTGGACAACGTGCGCGCCAGTCCGCAACCACCACACTGAAATACAGGTTGAAGAGGGTGGGTGCTAGGGTACATCCTTGACGCAGCCCATTAGTCACAGAGATGTTGTCGGAAAGCTTACCGTTGACTCGCACCTTCGCAATCATACCCTCATGAAGAGACTTGATGAGTCCCAACATAACCGGCGGAACACCCAGCCTATCCAGCACACTCCAGAGCGCTGTACGGGGGATGGAGTCGTACGCCTTCTGAAGATCTACAAACAAGACGTAAAGAGACGTATCATGCTCAATAGTCTTCTCCACTAGTTGACGTGCACAGAAGATCATGTCCGTGCAACCTCGACCTCGCCGAAAACCGCACTGAGAATCCGGGAGAATTTCCTCAGCCACCACCTGCAAACGGTCCTGCATAACCCGGGCAAACACCTTTCCAGCGACATCCAGTAAGCTGATGCCCCTCCAGTTATCGCAGCAGCGAAGGTCACCTTTCTTGGGGACAGGGACCACCACCGCATTCCGCCAATCATCCACTACTGAACCCTTGGCCCAGATGTCACCCAAGAGTTGGTGGAAAGCAGCAAGAAAGTCTGCTCCAGCATGGACTAGCATATCCGGCAATATGCCCGATTCACCACCAGCTTTACCGAGGCTCAGCTTCTTGAGAGCACGGCTAATTTCTTGGTGCGTGGGCGGGTTATCTAACTCATGGCAGGTAGGACGGCGTTCCAGGGACTCCAGCGAACTGTCGGAAAACTGACTTGTGATGTTGAGGACACCATCAAAATGCCGCTGCCAGCGGTCACAAGTTGCAGCAGGGTCGGTCGTAAGGTTACCATTCTCGTCCAGCACAGACAAGGGACGTGCTGGCTTACGGCCAACATTCACTTCCTGTAATTGGCGGACACACTCCCACCGCATCCTGCTATGGCAATCCAAGTTGTCAGCATGGGTGGCGACCCGCTCGATCCACGCTTCCTTTGCAGCATTCACGGCACGCTGCACCGCCCTCTGCTGCGTACGAAACACCAGCTTGCTACCACGAGTGTCCTTCTGAAGAAACTCCTGGTGTGCTGCATTCTTCCGCTCAATCAGAGGCCTGAGGGTATCTGCGCCGTCACGGAACCAGTCCGGCTGTCGTCGTGTCTCGTATCCCAACACCTCGCTGGAAGCCGCCACCACGCATTTGCGCATTGCCGCCCACTCCTGCTCTGTGTCCACACCACCATCCACATCCACAGCCTCAGCAGGCAGGAGGTCAGACACTTTCTCTGAAAACGCCTTACTCACTTTGTCATCCCTCAGCCTAGCAACAGCAATTGGACGGGATCTTGCAGATGCCACGGGATAGAACTTCTTGTGACCGACCTCAAAACTAAACTTGCCACGCACCATGGAGTGATCCGACCAGTAGTTCGCACCACGCATCACCTGCACATCATGCCACTCACTCCTCTGATCCGCACGGACAACAACATAGTCAATCAGGTGTACCTCCTTCGTAGCTGGGTGCATCCATGTGCCATAAAACTTCTTCCTGAACCAGGTGTTCATAACAGAGAGACGGTTTACATTACAAATTACATAAAAGGATACAATGACAAACAGTGGGATGTGCATCCACTACAATGGGTTCAGTATGTAGTAAAGTGGAGTATGGCCGAAAGCGCTGTCGCAATATTTTATTGTGGAGCTTATTGATGCAATCAATTTCCTCTTAACCCTTTATGGTGTTCAGACGGTAGTACGTAATATTTCTCTGGCATGGCATCACTAAGACTAGAAGTAATGGTTCCTTTTATTATTGATAGCTGGAGCAGTCCTTTCTCTGTCTTGTGCCAATACTGCAATAGTGATTCATGTATCAAGGCCTGAGCTACACTGTAGGCTGTAGTCTTCCCTGTCTCTCTTGTGATTTTCTATTCATGAGGGCGATCTACAAAGTGGCGTCATAACTATTTCCAACTGGCCGTTCATGTATTACATGCATATACTTCTTAGCTGTGTGTTGTTGCTTGTTGCTGTGCATGGTCATACATTTGTATTGCATAGTATCATGGCTAGCTTTCGTGCCGTACAACAGCGCGTGTGCGGTGGCTACGCCTCTGCTGTTTTGCCAGCTGACAGTGCTGCATAAATTACTTCATCTTTGCCTTTTGTCTTCGGTTCTGTACCGACATGGAATGTTTTCGGTTTTAGTAGTTCCTTGGTTCGCGTTGTGTAGCTAGCTAGGCTGCTCTTTCAGGTGTAATTGTATTTGGAGTGAAAAGATAAGATAACGTGTTCCTTCGTGTGAACATTCTGGTAGCAGAGGATGGTTATCGCCTGAGTGAGCAGTTCAGTTTCGGAAATTTAAATTATTTAGATCATGTCGTCGCCGGAGCCTGAGAGTGAGAGCACAATCAGGGCTAGCAGTCAGAGAACTGAGCTCTTTTTAGGTGCCATGGCAGAGAGGGCAGGCGACGTGATCGAGGAGGACGAGGAAGTCGAAGAGGACGAACATGGTCAAAGTGACCAGCGATCGAATGAACTGATGTTCGTGAAAATGAAAGCTGAAAAAGCGAATCGCAAGAGAAAGTTCACCAGGTGTCGCAGAGCCGTGATCGTGGCCTTGCGTGACGGAGTTGAAGAGGAAGCTGCGAGGTCGTTGTTTGGCGAATTAGAAATGATCGAGGATGCCCTGAACGGTGTGTTCATGGACGTACTCGAGTGGGCTGGCGGCATGAACGATGCGCTCGCAGTGGCTAAAGTGACCGATGAGATGGAGGAAGCGGAGAAAGAGATGAAGGAGGTCACAAGGCTGTATCAGGAGTTCCTAGAACACCAGCCAGCGTGGACGGCTGCACGGAACAGCCACCCAGACAGGCCAGCGTATCATCAGTATGCCCAGGCACCAGTGGAAGAGCCAGGAAGTCCACTGAGCGTGATATCGCTGGGCAGAAGTGAAGGCTCCCAGGATCGGGATGAGCCTGGTGATGGCGTGGCGCTGGTTCAGGAGAACCAGGCAAGAGTAGAAGACAGTGATGAAGTGGTTGTGACCACAAGTGTCTCCGGCAGTAGTAACAGAGAGGCAGAGCTTGGGGCTAGAACAAGGCCACCAATGGAAGCTGGGAGTAGGAGGTCAGAGCGTGAAAGAAGCCCTGCCTTGCCTGTACTACAGCCTGCTGTGCCAACACGGAGTGCTGTATGTGTGTCCAGTGCATATACTAGAGTGAGTGAGACCAAGGCCCCTCAACTTCAAGTCGCGAAGAGTCCAGGCCAGCAGGGCAGTAGTACTCAGGCTCCTGTGTCAGGACTACACCCTACATCATCTCTGCCATATCAGTCCGCCAACTATCTGTACACCCAGGCCAGTGGGCCGCCACAGGTAGCCTCAAGTCATCAGGCCATGGGCATTGGTGCCTTTTCAGCATTGCCAGGAGCAGGTGTGTCCGCCAGCCACCAGCGTGCTGTGTCTCAGCCTCCACCTGTCAAGCAGCCATCAGATGAAATTTTCAAGCAACTGAAGGCTATACAGATCCCAGTCTTCGGCGGCGATAAGCAGGCGTATGCCTCATGGAAGGCTGCTTTCATGGCGTGTGTTGGTAGCTCGTCTGCAAGGGCAGACTTGAAACTGCTGCACCTCCGGCAGTATTTGAGTGGAGATGCCTTGGCTTCCATCGAGAGCTTGGGATACACCCCGTCTGCGTATGAGGCCGCAATGAGGCGGTTAGACCGCAAGTTTGGAGGCGACCAACGACAGCTGTCGCTGCAGTACGAGCAAGTCGAGGCCTGCCCAATCATTCGTTCCGGCCGAGCAGGAGATCTCCAGAAGTTTGCAGATCTCCTCGACGTACTCGTGGTCAACCTCCTCGACTCCGGAAAAGGCAATGAGCTGGGTGATGGGCTGTTGTACCGGAAGCTCCTGGCCAAGTTGCCGGCTGGGATGTTAACCCAATTCAATCGATGGTGTCATCAGAAGCCCTGCCAGCCAGGAATTCAAGCACTACTGGAGTGGGTGACGTTGGAAGCGGAGTTTGCCGTTGGAGCGTCCGAAGCACTAGATGGAGTTGGTGCGAAGGACAAGCCTCCGGCACCCCGAAATGCTCCTCAACGATCCTACTTCGGGGGAAAGGCTTCGCAGAATGCAGGGTGGTCAAGGCCTGCGGGCTCAGCGGCTGGACGATCTTCATGTCGGCAATGTGGCGGACCTCACGGTGTCTGGCAGTGTAAAGCATTTCAGCAGCTTTCCGTCGCCAATCGCTGGAGACAGGCTAAACAGCATGGTCTGTGCTACCGCTGCCTTGGAGGCGATCACCAAGGTCACCACTGTCCACGAACCAGACCCTGCTCAGTGAGCGGCTGCAACAACAATCACCACTACTTGCTACACCGGGACTTGCTACACGAGGACAGCAGGAACCCCGATGCCGCACAGTCAAACAAGAAAAAATCGGGGAACACGGCAGCTGGAGGAATGACGGCGGACAAGTCCCAACTCAGTCCTGCCGAACAATTCTGCAACTATGGAGACAATGGTTCAGGTCAGGAGACAGGGGACCAGGTATTGCCTCCCGCCATCGACTGTTTAGTAACGCCGCCATACGCCGGTAAAGACCAAGAGCAGCGCACCCCACAGTCGTTCACCGAGGGGGAGACGGAGTCCACGAAGAGTGATTCCACCATGATGGTCCAAGGCCCGGGCAAGATAGCTCTGCGAACGGTCTCAGTCGTCTTGGAGAACGGCCACAAGTCAGTGCAAGTGAATGCGTTGCTGGACGACGGTAGCACAACGAGCTACCTCAACGGCAGCATTGCCAACCAGCTCGGCGTCAGCGGGGAGCTGAGGACATTCACGGTCCACACCTTGAATGGCAAGCAGACCTCATTCACAACCAGACCAGTAAGCTTCACCATTGGCAGCATGGATGGCAGTGTTCGGCAATCTATGACGGCGCTGACGGCTGATTCGGTCACCGGGAATCTTCGTCCGGTAGAGTGGGTCAAGGAAGCAGTCAAGTATCCTCATCTGAGAGAGATTCCGTTCGCAAGACTGGCGGAGCCCGCCAGGGTCGATCTGCTGATTGGGAGCGACTATGCTGAGCTGCTTGTGTCACAGCAGGAAGTGGTCGGCCCGCCTGGTCAACCAGTGGCGCGTCATACTCCACTGGGTTGGACCTGTGTTGGCAGAGTGACGGGAACCCACTCGAGTCAAAGGACGTTCCACAGCCAAGCGTTTCAGAGTGAGGAGAGAGCAACACCAACCGGCTTAGAGACCGCGCTACAGCAGTTCTGGCAAATTGACAGCTGCGGCACGGAGGAGAGCTTCAGTGAGCCCGGCCCGCGCTCGCTGGAGGAAGAGACAGCCCTAGACATCGTCAAACACTCGCTGAAGAAGGTGGACGGTCGGTACCAGGTGTCTCTGCCGTGGAACAATCGCAAGAGAGAATTATGCAACAACTTGGGTGCGGCTACGAAACGTCTAGGCCACACCGAGCGCAAGCTCCTGAAAGACCCATTCGTTGCCCAGGCTTATGGCCAAGTCTTCCAGGCCTACCAGAGGAACGGCTATATCCGTGAGCTCGCGAAGGAAGAGCTAGGTCAAGAGGTATGCTGGTACTTATCCCACTTTCCCATCGTCCGACCGCAGAAGACGACAACCAAGGTGCGGATCGTCTTTGACGCTGCAGCATCCTGTCATGGCCTCAGCCTCAACGACGCCATCTACCCTGGTCCGAAGCTCCAACGTGAGTTGTTCGATGTGTTGACCAGGTTTCGGCAAAAGCCTATAGCAGTGGGCTGTGACGTGACCGAAATGTATTTGCAGGTGTCGGTTGCGCCAGCAGACAGGAAGTACCTCAGATTCGTGTGGCGGGACCTGGATCCAGCCAAGCCTTTACGGCACTTTGAGTTCAACCGCCTGGTCTTTGGCGTCAATGCTGCACCATTCATCGCCCAGTATGTTGCTCAGCAGACAGCCCGGGAACATTTGGCGTCTCATCCCCTGGCAGCAGAAGCTATCCTCGCGTCCACCTACATGGATGACACGATGGACAGCACCAAAGATGTCGAACAAGGTCAGATTCTTCATCGGGAGCTAATGGATCTGTGGGGTGAGGCCAAGATGACGCCGCGCAAGTGGGTGTCCAACTCGCCCGAGCTCCTGAGGGTAATTCCAGCCGAGGCTCGCGCTACCCAGCTGGACTTATCCCAAGGAGAGCTACCATCCGTGAAGACGCTAGGAGTGTCATGGGACGGTCAGGCAGACTGCTTCTTCTTCAGCGTTCAACCGCCAGACCTCACCAACCAACGCATCACCAAGCGATTCCTCCTAGCAAAAGTCGCGTCCGTATTCGACCCGTTGGGGTTTCTGGCACCGTTCGTGACCCAAGCCAAGATCCTCATGCAAGAGAGTTGGGTAGCTGGTATTGACTGGGATGAACCGGTTCCAGATGGCATCGACACCAGCGCTCGCCAGTGGTTCAATGACCTGGCGAAGCTCAGTTTAGTTCGAGTACCAAGATGTCTCATCCCGGACGTGGCCAGTGGAGTGACGCTGCATGTTTTCTGTGATGCGTCGAGTGTGGCGTATGGTGCCGTGGTCTACAGCTCCACCGTGCAGTGTGGCTCTGAGGGAAACGTTCGTCTCGCTGGAGCCAAGAGCAGAGTGGCGCCGACAAGAACACAAAGTATCCCCCGGCTGGAATTGCTGGCGGCTGTGCTTGGCCTTCAGCTGGCCCGGAAGTTCAGTCAGATCATGACCATTGCCATGTCAGAGGTGATTTTCTGGAGCGACAGTGCAACTGTGCTGCTCTGGATTCGCAGCTACAGCCGACGTTTCAAACCGTTTGTGGCGAATCGCATCAGCCACATCCAGACTGTTACGTCGCCCAGTCAATGGCGGTACGTTCCCTCCAGCGACAACCCAGCTGACTTGGCGTCACGGGGAGCTGGGGTAGAGCAACTGGTTGCAACTGAGCTGTGGTGGCAAGGACCGGCCTTCCTGCAGAAAGAAGAATCTGAATGGCCAGCCAAGATCGTGGGTGGCCAAGACCCAGCTGCTCGAGCGGAAGCTCGCAAGGCTGCACAGCCCGAGGTGATGTCATTTATGTCCGAGAAAGTACCCAGCTTGTGCTCTCGGCGCTTCTCAGACTGGACGCGCGTAGTCAGAGTACGGGCTTGGGCAATTCGCTTCATCACCAACTGCCGTGGAGGTGAGGAGTTGAGCGGAGAGCTAACCGGCGAGGAGATGGACGCTGCCAGCCTTTCCATCATCAAAGAGGCACAGCACGAGGCATTCGCGGAGGATCTGAAGCTAGTGAAGAATGGTCAACCACTTCCGCTGAAGTCACGTTTGGCGAGGTTATCGCCTCGACTGGACGACGACGGACTATTGCGCTGCGATGGTCGCACCAAGCTGGCTGACTGGTTGCCGTTTGATGTGCGCTTCCCGATTCTTCTCCCCCGGAAACATCCGACCACCCGGCTTATTGTCAAAGATTGCCATGAGCAACGTCATCATGGCGGGACGAATGAAACGTTGGCAGCTCTCTCTGATCACTATCTTGTCGAAGCAGCACGGGAGGAGATCCGTGACTGGGAGAAAGACTGCATGGTGTGTCGACGACTAAAAGCCCGTGCGGGAGAGCAAATCATGGCCCCGTTGCCAGCAAAGCGATTGTGTGAGCCACTGAGAGCCTTCAGCAGGGTAGCCGTTGACTACGGAGGGCCGTTCGAAACTATGCAGGGGAGAGGAAAGACTCGCCACAAACGCTATCTGTGCCTCTTCACGTGTTTCCTGACTCGTGCGGTCCATTTGGAGATGGCGTACGCATTGGATGCAAATTCTTTCCTGAACGCCTTTAACCGGATGGCCAACCGACGAGGTTGTCCAATGGAGGTTCTGTCGGACAATGGAGGCAACTTCGTGAATGCCGACCGCCAGCTACGTGAGCTTGTTGGCCAACTGAACAATACCACCGTCCGGAAAGCCATGGCCTGCAGACGCGTGAAATGGAGTTTCAACCCGCCATTAGCTCCTCATTTCGGGGGAGTTCACGAGGCAATGATTCGAGCCGCCAAACGAGCTCTACACGCCATCCTTGGAGACGCATCTGTGACGGACGAGGAGTTGGTCACCGCTCTCAGCGGAGCAGAGTCCCTCGTCAACTCCAGGCCCATCACCTACCAATCGGCTAGTCCGAAGGATCCAGGGCCGCTAACTCCGAACCATTTCCTTCATGGCATGGCCGAGGGCCAGCTGGTTATTGCAACAACGGACGAGAAGGGGTGTCAACTGCAGAGACGTTGGAGATATGTTCAAATGCTCATCGACCATTTCTGGCATCGCTGGCTGAAAGAGTTTGTCCCACGGTTGAATCAGCGGATGAAGTGGCGACACCAGCGACGCGATCTGGCCGTTGACGACGTTGTCCTGGTGATGGATTCAAGCTCCCCGCGTGGGCGTTGGCCGCTCGGCAGAGTCACGGAAGTTTTCCCTGGTCCGGACGGTCATGTGCGTGTGGTGGCCATGCAAGTGGGCGGGAAGACTCTGAAGAGATCCATCACTCGAGTCTGTCCACTGGAATGTTAGACGGCTCTCCCTACATGCCAGAATGGAGGTACTGCTCAGTGACGACCCCCATTAATGATTCATGCATTGTTTTTGTTTTTTTGTAGTTTCCTACCACTGAACTTGCCCTTTCGATTCACTTTTCTCTTAGCTTGGTACTGGTAGTTGTAAGGATAGGCATCATGCAACATCTGGGTGCATATTGCGAGGGGGAGGATGTTCAGACGGTAGTACGTAATATTTCTCTGGCATGGCATCACTAAGACTAGAAGTAATGGTTCCTTTTATTATTGATAGCTGGAGCAGTCCTTTCTCTGTCTTGTGCCAATACTGCAATAGTGATTCATGTATCAAGGCCTGAGCTACACTGTAGGCTGTAGTCTTCCCTGTCTCTCTTGTGATTTTCTATTCATGAGGGCGATCTACAAAGTGGCGTCATAACTATTTCCAACTGGCCGTTCATGTATTACATGCATATACTTCTTAGCTGTGTGTTGTTGCTTGTTGCTGTGCATGGTCATACATTTGTATTGCATAGTATCATGGCTAGCTTTCGTGCCGTACAACAGCGCGTGTGCGGTGGCTACGCCTCTGCTGTTTTGCCAGCTGACAGTGCTGCATAAATTACTTCATCTTTGCCTTTTGTCTTCGGTTCTGTACCGACATGGAATGTTTTCGGTTTTAGTAGTTCCTTGGTTCGCGTTGTGTAGCTAGCTAGGCTGCTCTTTCAGGTGTAATTGTATTTGGAGTGAAAAGATAAGATAACGTGTTCCTTCGTGTGAACATATGGACAATTCCACAACTTTCGATCATATATGATCGAAACTTCAAGCGGGGATTTCAGCGGTCGATCTTCATCGTTTTAAGATTTTTTTCGATAGATCCACAGCTGAATTGCATGCGGATCGAATGAGCATAAAATCTATGTACGTCACAAGTAAAAAAGTTCACGAAAAATCTCACTGAACATTGCACACTCAACAGTGCATTCGCTTTCAATGGAACTCCAAAAAAATTCAAAACTTCACTTTGGCAACTTTTATTCATCCGAATTCGGTCCGCAGTGGTCTTTGTTATGTGAAAGCTTTGTCCATCTAAACCGATCTGCAATACAACTTGTATATGTAACTCAAGAACGGTTATGATTTGTTATATAACAAATCATAACCGTTCTTGAGTTACGGCAGTCAATCGAATGCCGCATTTTCCACACTAATATAATTGGTCCGTAAAGGGTTAACACAAATGTTTGAGGACCGTTGAGTTTGGGACGCTGAGTTAAGATGGCCGTGGTCCAAAGCGGCTGTTGTAGCACAGTGCGGATGTGCAATACCGGTGTGTACAGTGCAGGTCAGCTTTACATGTGCGTGCCTGCGCTTTGGCTTTATGATTTGATGAAACAAATGTCATGGTCACACAGAAAAAATGGGTTCTGTATTTTGCGTTGGCGAATCTTCCATTACAAGTCGAATGTCGGCCTTTTGTCAATTTTGCAGAGAATTTTAACAGCAACTTGCATTTTTGGGCTCATGGGGGTAGGCTAGCGCAAGTCAATACCCAACTCCTAATATCTCCTATCCACTCTCTGTGTCTACAGTGTTTCCCACCATTGGCCTACTCCATTCTATGTAGCAATTTTACATGTGCCCCCATCCCCCATACACACACACACACACACACGCGCGCACACACACACACACACACACACACACACACTACTGCTCTTTGTCCGACCACTATCATCTCCACTGCTTCTGGTGCTCGGCAACATCATTGGAGCCGAGGCCTGAAGTCAGCTCTATTCACCAGACTCACTGTCATTACTGCTGGCTGCGGTAACCAGGTACTAAGGTAGTCACTCCTCCCATCTAGTGCCCTGTACTCCCTGGAATTTGTTACTGATTGTTAAAACGAGAGAGCTTGGAAGCTCAGGGCCCTACGCTATGCTTTGTTGCTTAGCTTATCGTGCATGTTGTGGGAACTGATGGAAATGTTTCCTGGGACGGCGCTGACTGTGCCGATCACGGGCGTTCTGGAGTCGACGGGATCTCTCTCCCGACGTTTCCTGTGACCGGCGCTGACTTGCCCGTTCCCGCCTATTTTGGGGACGACGGGATCTCTCTTCCAAAGTATGTTTTTGCTGACGCATCCTATCACCTATTCGGCAACTAACATCCATTCTAATATCACTTCATCCTCGTCTTCCTATTTCTTTCCAGAAAGTCTCCCTATACATCAGGGAGTCGTACTGTATTGACAGCTACCCTAACGGGTCACGCCGCGCTTCACCCAAGCATGGGTATGATGAGGGACAGTGGCAACAGAGACAAAAACAGCAAGCAGAGAGAGATAGCAAGAGAAAGACAGCGATAGTAGTACATCTGGTGTGCGACGTATAGAAAAGAGAGATGACAAGAGATGCGCACAAAAAAGGAAACAATAATTATTTTTGCAGTTCCGAAACAATCAACCATGTGATGGAGTGTGGGCACCCGAAGTCCCACCTGGACTCCACTGGAAGAACATCCCACGCAGGGATATCAGCGATAGGCCAAGCGTTGAAGAACAGCCATGAGGACACATCGTCTAGGAGTCCACCGCGCTCGAACTGCAATTGCAGGTTCAAACAATTTCCCACGCGTCGTCAGGCAGCTTACTCTTCTCCCTGCATCACCATCCATCTCCAGCAACCGTCTCCACTCACAGCTCATGCCTCTGCCACCACTGTACTCCTCCTAGCTTCGCAGTTTCAAACCATTCGGGGGTCCGCTACACCACCGCGAATGGAGAGACGAGGACGACAACGGTCGTGACTGAAAAGACACTGCCGTGGCGACCGCGTCGCGGAACCCTCGCCCCAGCAAATGCAGAAACACGCCAGGGGCGACTCTGGTGGACCTAGAGCCACCCCCTTGGCAAGACTAGTACATTTAAGAGGAACGACTGAAAACTCAGATAAACCGGAGCTACAAAAAGTGCAACCGTTCCCAGCAAGCACAGTTGCAACACACAGTGACTCAACTGTGCTTTCTTCTTCTTTCTTTTTCTTTTTTTCCCTTTCTCTTTTTCTTTTTGAGTATTTGCAGTCTGTGTTTTCTGTGTTTTTCTCTCTTTAGTGGAGGCTTGCTTGTTGTATCCTTGGCTCTCGGCCGTTACTTTATCGCCATCATAATATTGGGCACCATTGCCCGTTTGGTCTGCGATACAAAATAAAATTTCAGCAACAACAACAACAGGGAGTCGTATACATGTACATCACGACCAATATTGTGGCCAGCTGTGTTTGATGGTACGGTACGGTACGGGACCGATACGGGAGCCAGCAAATGGCCAGCTGTGTTTGATGGTGCGGTACGGGACAGATACGGGATAGCGTCAGGCGTGACACAAACAAACAAACAAACAAACACCAAACGAGAGAGCTTGGAAGCTCAGGGCCCTGCGCTATGCTTTGTTGCCTAGCTCATCGTGCATGTTGTTAGAACTGATGGAAATGCTTTTTCCTTTGATTAGCTAAATCATTGTTTTGCAAAAACGTTTCAATGAGATACTGAAGTACAAGTAACGTCTTCTGCATAGCTATGGGACCGGCGCTGACTCTGCCGATGACGGGCGTTCTGGAGTCGACGGGATGTCTGTCCTGACGTTTCCTGGGACCGGCGCTGACTCTGCCGATCACGGGCGTTCTTCTTCTTCTTCTTCTTATTATTATTATACTGACGGCAACTAACATCCATTCTGATTGCGTTTACTCGTCTCCCTACTTCGTATTTCTTTCCAGAAAATCTCCCCATACAGCAGGGAGTCGTTTACATAATATGACTCCCTGCTATACATCTACATGACTGTATATACGTTATAATTATTATGCTATCGGCCTACATGCCATTTCCGGGCTGGTCGACAGGCGGCCCAGCCAGCCTGTTAGTGGGATCTCGGCCTCGCACACAAATCCACACAAAATTTAATGTTACTGCACTGAATGCATTCCCCCATACACTTCGCATATATACTCATTCTCTTGATGGTACCGTACTCTTGATGATACGGGACAGGTACGGGTTAGCGCCAGGCATGTCGATGGCACAAACAAACAAAAATATTGTGGCCAGCTGTCTTTGCTGGTACGGTACAGTACGGGATAGATACAAAATAGCGCCAGGCGTGACACAAACAAACAAACACACAAACAAACACCAAATTAAAGCTGTGTGGACCCTGGCTAGCGCCAGACGTTACTGAAGTAACGTCTTCTGCATAGCTACGGGAATAAATTGAGATACACTGGAGCCGTTGTATTGCAAATCCCCTGTAATGATTGTGTTGGTTCTGCTTGTCTGTCCTGCTCAGGTCAGGAGAAACTCCCTGCGGAGTGTTTGTTAGGGAGCCTCCGTTCAAAGTGCTGGTATTTTCCCTGCTGGAAGGGATTTGTGATAATGCCAGCTCTCATGGGATCGATGAGAACATTATCTCAATTTAGGACGACATTCACTTTACCGCCACCGAACACGTGCGGGTTGTTTTCCATTTATCCTGCAGGGTTTTCCCGTGAAGACTTTCGCGGTTGGTCCTTTTAGAATTTAGAATTAGTTTTTTTCTTCTTCTCCAAATTGCGTTTATCTAAGTTTTATTCATAGGTTTGAGGGTATGTTGTAGTTTGCCAGATGAATATCTTGACTATGGCCACCAGATGACATGTCCATGTAACAAAGGGATTTCTGCATGGACTATGGAAGACGGGAATCTTTTTCCCATGCTTTGCTCAATTTGACCCCATATAATTATGCTCTCAGCATATCCAGCCCTATTCTCTACTTGTATAATTTGGAAGTGCTCTATGTAGCACACTAGTCGTATTTCCTTTAGTATACTATACATGCCCACATAGAGCCACAGTCATCACTTTTCTCTTCTGTGCCGCTTTCAGCGCGTCAATGCTGATGGGCGGAAACAAGCTTTATGCCACATTCCTGACTGGAGTGAACCTTATCGTGTGTATTTAATAAAAAGAGGAGGTGGTGGTGGTGTTGCTGCTGCTGCTGCATGCTACCGCCGCCACTGCAACCATTGTTGCCAAGCACCACAGCGTACAGGGCTGAAGTAGATCTTCTGCTAGTACTGCTACAGAGTACAGTCACGCTAGTACTACAGCGCTAACATCGGGTGTAGGGGAGGCGTTTTAAAAATAACCTTCAGGCTGGTGATAATCTTGTTCATTCCGGTGACTGTCTGTATGTGTATTTTGTTCTTGTTCGGTGCTCTGCCTTCACATACTTAGTAGTGTAATACATAGGTACGTAGACTGTGCATGCAGTCAGTGTATTGAAAAGCAGTCGCTGTGATCATGGTGATACCACTGACACTGTGCTGTGACACTGACAGACTCAGTGAGTGTTCCTCATCTTTGGGACTTTGCTTCCACCCAACCTAGGCTATAGCCTACTGTAGGGGCGCCTGCCAGGGCCCGATGTTAATGTTATACTAGTAAAATAATAAAATTTAAAAATAATAATTATTTTTAAATTCAAAACAACTGTTGTGTTTTAGTTTATACATGTAGTGAATAGTGTATTAGAGGGGGAGTCTACATGTAATTAAATTATTTAAACTATCTAGATATGACAGCAAGTCCTAGCCTACGCAAGTAATAGCTGCACGGCGTGATACCGGTATCCCTGGCTGCTATACTACATTACATAACACACAAGTAGGAGCTATTGTCGTATTGAGTTGTGACCGCCAACTAACTATTATAATTATACTGATGATTTGTGGTAAAATGTGCCGCTGAGGAGGTTGTCCGTATTTGGTGTGAATCTATGATACAGCTACAGCTGGGAACAATTAAAATTATTATTTTCCACATTGAGTCTGATGCTCCATTTTCTTAGCGCGACGCGTGGATCTACTACTCTTGTACGTGTGTAAAATAATAATTTGGCTTCATTCATTGCTCCCGTCCGTTGTGTTCCAGAAACAAGGAAATATTAATTTTGCCTCTGCCAATTGATTACAGTATGTTCGGTACTGTTGCACCGAGTTCCAGCCTGCGAGCAGGAGTCATGTAGCTAGAGTTAGAACGATAACGATGAAGTCCACAAAATGTCCATGGCGTTGTGGCGATGGTTATGTCTCAGTGTGGAGAGCCATGAGACTTCTGCCATTTCTGGTGATTCTTTCAGGCCTTTCGGGGCTTGCTAACTCAGTGAGATTAGTCGGCGAAAGCGAAATCGGCAATGGCAACAATGCGACTGTAACGTGGCTTACGGAGGAAAGCGACTCGGAGCCGTATATTGGCAGCAACGAGAAGGATGAAGTTCGTCTGTACTGCAGCGATGAGAATCCACTGGATAGTAGCACTCTCCGGGATGACCACATCGATCACTGGCATATACCGGACATTCTCATTCAATCAGAAAGCAATCTCCCATACAATGGAACGGTAGCTTTTGGACCACTTATCAACATGCGTGTTACGTGTCAGATTATTTTCTGGAAATACAACTCCACAGGGCAGGACCAACATTTACCGTTGTTTCCCTCCAACGCACACAAACTTACGGTTGGCAGGGGCCCTCTGCAGCCGATGCAAGCACATCTCTCATTGGTGAGCTCATGATCTGAGAATTTAGCAATGCACATAATGCGAATGATTGCATGAAACAAATCTTTTGGTGAATTTTCACATCAAATTCACCGGGTGAATTTATCTACTGAGCACTACGAAGCAGTACAGAAATTCGGACTTTGTTGATTCTGCTGTCAACAGCGCTCTATTCGGACATTGGTGAAAGTAGACATGTACATGGCGCTACCCGAAATGTAGGTTTGCGTAGTTTTAAAACATCCACGTGGAAAACATGCTCGTTGTCTCCCATGGAAATTGGAATTTCAAGTAAAACCAACTTCAACCAAAATTACGGACACATGCAGGTCTATTTTCTCGGCTGAGAAAGTAGCAAGCAAAACCTTGAGCATTAGATTAAAGGGGAAGTATACCCTAAAATCAAATTTTCACCAGTTGTAGTCTTCGGGGTGCTGAGTCGAATGGTCTTGGTCCGAGGAAGCTGCGACGCTCCCTTCCTACTTGAATCCCAATCGAACTCGCGCACTTCCACCGAAACTGGGTGACTGCGCCCTACTAGATGGGGATTTGTATGCAAAATCTCACTAAAAGCGCCATTTCGTTCTTAGCACGGATGACCGCCATTGGCCCATATGTTGTAGTCTTTTGGACGCTGAGTCGACTGGTTTTGGTCCGAAAAGGCTGCGATGCAGCGTTCCTCCTTTATTCCCAATCGAACATGGTTGAACAAGCGGTCACGTGGTCCTGGTTGCCCAAATCACCTGGTCACCACGCCAGCAGGCGACAACTTTCACACCAAGGTTCAACTCGAGTGACAGGACTGCACCCAAAAAAGGTCAAACAGGCTAGTAAGTTGTACCCTGCAGGCACGGTGACCAGGTGACTGGTGTACGCAGGAGCACGTGACCGCTTGTTCAACCATGTTCGATTGGGAATAAAGGAGGAACGCTGCATCGCAGCCTTTTCGGACCAAAACCAGTCGACTCAGCGTCCAAAAGACTACAAAATATAGGCCAATGGCGGTCATCCGTGCTTTTATAAGAACGAAATGGCGCTTTTAGTGACATTTTGCATACAAATCCCCATCTAGTAGGGCGCAGTCACCCAGTTTCGGTGGAAGTGCGCGAGTTCGATTGGGATTCAAGTAGGAAGGGAGCGTCTCAGCTTCCTCGGACCAAGACCATTCGACTCAGCACCCCGAAGACTACAACTGGTGAAAATTTGATTTTAGGGTATACTTCCCCTTTAAATTTATAGAAAAGAAAAAGGACCAAGGAACTACAGGTTATGCTATAATGTCCACTAGCACCACCAGTTACTAAACAATCAGCTCATGCGATAACATTGCACGACACTGACCGACGGTACTGACGTTCTACAACTAACTGGCTATCAGCTCTAGCACATCTTGGATGCTCCAACTGCCTTCCAACTTGGAAGGTTCTAAGTTATAATATTTATAATAACACAGGAGGGGAAGGTGAGCGCAGTGTTATCATATAACTTAGAACCTTCCAAGTTGAAGGGCTGTTGAAGTGCGCATCCTAGATGTGCTAGAGCTGATAGCCGGTTAGTTGTACATGTAGAACGTCAGTACCGTCCGTCAGTGTCGTGCAATGTTATCGCATGAGCTGATTGTTTAGTAACTGGTGGTGTTAGCAGACATTATAGCGTAACTTGTAGTTCCTTGGTCCCTTTTCTTTTCTATATATTTATCTTTGGCTCTCCATCCGAGTCCATCATTAGATTAACAAACAATCTTTTCCGACAACTACCGTATTTTCTGGAGTATGTGCCGCACATAGATTTTTTTGTGACGAAATACAGACATCTACCCTGTTTATCACAGTTAATTTGAACATCATAGTAAAAGACTTGTTTGGGTGAATTAGTGGTGTTTAAGTGTGGCTTGCACTCCCGAAAATACGGTATGTAAATGTTCACACTTGATTAGACCACCCGTGACTTGTCAAGCCGATGTTTCATGAAAATCCGCAATAGATTTGATACAGGCCCTTGTCCACTTCAAGCAGGGAGTTGTATTTTATGCATTGAGTTCTTTGTTCATTGTCGTTTTGATATTTCACATTTTGCTTATCCAATGTAATAGAAACTTTGTGTCGAGTATTTTACTACTCCCCGATTTCAAGTACATTCGAGTACATATTGCAGGTGTGTAGCTTGGTCCTGATGATATTACACTTCATGGCCTATATGAGAGTGAATCCGACTGACTTGGTCGCACCTGTAGGCGCAGGAGATGCCTCAGTCAAGGATTTGTAAAGCTGATCTGTGATGAAGCAGTCAATGAAATTTGATCCACCGACCAAGGGTTTGAAGTTTTTGAACTGGCTACTATTCAAGACGTAACACCTCAATAACAAGTTAAGGTGCCAGTTATTGCACAGCACAGGACAGTGTGCATTTTGATCATACTGCAGAAAGGATGTTGGCTAGTGATTTTATAGCAGCTCATACCCGAACCAATGTGGGCATTCTGAATTATTTCCTTTGCTTGTAGACAGCAGATCCATCGGTTGTGTACCTGACTTGGGTGTCGAGCTATGTGTCAAACTACAACCCTTCTGTGTGGGTAAGTACCCTATTCTTAGCTGTTTTCTGCTGCTGCTGTTGCTGTAGAGGACATTTGAGTATTCTTCTCAGTATGACCAATGCTAACTGTGCTCAGCCAGTCGGTTCTCCCAGTGGATACATTGAACGTCTGTGCAGAGCATCATTGTTGCTACAACTGTACAGTTCCTAGAACACGATGATGGGCTTGGTACTGCACACTTGCAGACTGGCGTATGCGCTTACAGTACTGTCGGGCGCCGAAGAACGACCAGTCTATAATGTTGCCAAGCACAGCATACTAATGTATACACGGTGGTTCAACTGTGCATACGAGCGTTGACTGTAAGTCTGTAATACATGAAAATAAGAACGGTCTAGGCTAGGAGGCGACCCGGCCCAGTTCTTCGGCGACCGACAGTACTGAAACTGCTCTACTTGTATAAGTACCCTCTGAGCTGCCTTTTCCGTCAGCTCCCACTATGGACAATACTACCGGGCAGTTTACTGCATGAACGTTACATCATGCCAGTGTGAATGCGTGTTCTGTGCTCTGTCTTCTGTGTTTCCATGCCGTGCAGTATCATGAGTCTGCTCAGCCAGGCGCTGTGTCCACAAGCCAGGCGGGAGCAACGACCTATGCCGCAGGGGACATGTGTGGTGCCAAGGCAGTGCGGGTGGAGGGACAGCATTTCCGCGATCCAGGAGCTATCTACTCGGCCGCCCTGGCCAATCTCAAACCAGCCACCAATTACAGGTACATTGGAAAGTTATCTGTCCTTGTGCTCAGTAGGCCGCATGCGCAGTGATGACACCTATACAAGCCCATGCAACAGAATCGATGTTTTCACTGTTTTTAAAAGATAATCAATTGTAACATGGAAAATGTGGGCCCAAGTTATGCGGTCAAGTCCACCAACTAAACCGGATTTTGAACAGTGAGACATGTGCACAAAACCGTGATCATCCCATGAAGCTTTAGAATGTTGGCAATGTTGCCAACGTAACCAGATCATAATTATACAGTCAGTGAGTGCAACAAAAAGGAACAAACTGACAAGGACAAGTTCTGTCATCATCCAGTAATTTAGGCATTCTTTGTTGCCGTGGGTCTTAGCTTGTGCTTTTCCTCATTGCGCTTTCCTTCTCCTCTTAGACCTTTCCTAACCTTAGCATACAAAGTTGGCAAGTTGTTGGGTTGCGCCTCAGAGAAGTGTTGGAGCTAGGTGTCAGGTCGTCGAATGTTCCAGTACCCCTTATCAGTTTGTGTCTTTTTGTCGCACTCGCTGACTGTATATGATCTGGTTACATTGCTGGACAGTTAGTCATAACTCGTGGTGACATTTTGTCCTTTCTTTTAATCTAGTCCATGTTTTGATTGCTTTTGCGGCTGTCGGCTTATCTTGCGGCAATCTGTGTTTCTCTTTGGAATTCTACCAACCTGTTTCATCCATCTCAGCTATTGGTTTGGCATCGATAAGGCCAACACAGGTGGCATGTCTCCCGTCCACTGGTTTCTGTCTCCCAAGTTGTCTGCTTCAAATGGTAGGTGACAGCAATAAGCGATTGACCTTGCATTGCAGTGCAGTCACTGTCGTGTTTCCACTCCATGATTCTTTGAAGTCTAGTGCTGGCAAGGGAAATTCTATTTCATGGAGAACGTGGAATCCATTTCCTGCCTTCAAGTCATAGTCTAGTAGTTTAAGTGCTAGAGCCTGGCCGCACAACCCTTGTGTAGTGCTAGAGCCAGGTCACACAACCCCTGTTCAGTGCTAGAGCCAGGCCACACAACCCCTGTTCAGTGGTAGAGCCAGGTCACACAACCCCTGTATTGCTGGAGCCAGGCCACACAACCCCTGTTTAGTGGTAGAGCCAGGCCACACAACCCCTGTGCAGTGTGAGAGTCAGGCCACACAACCCCTGTATTGCTGGAGCCAGGCCACACAACCCCTGTGCAGTGTGAGAGCCAGGCCACACAACCCCTGTATTGCTAGAGCCAGGTCATACAACCCCTGTGCAGTGTGAGAGCCAGGCCACACAACCCCTGTGTAGTGCAAGAGCCAGGCCATACAACCCCTGTATAGTGCTAGAGCCAGGTCATACAACCCCTGTGTAGTGCTAGAGCCAGGTCATTCAACCCCTATGCTAGGTAGTTCTGGAGGCGGGCAACACAGGCACCACAACCCCTGAGACTCTTCTGTTCAGAAGCGTGGTTTAACTAGCAGCTACAAACAATGATACTTGGTACAAAATCTAAGTTTGCTATGCTTATGTTGGCTTTCCGTATGATATTCCTGAGATGCATACTAAACTACCGGTGTCATGCTTATTGATGAGTCTCATCCTTTTTGAAAGCTTTCCGAATATTCTAATTTCACTTCATTGTATCATGTGAGCCATTGGTCTTCTTACAGGAGTAAAATACTTTGTGCATATGGATTGCAGTTGGGGCTCAAAGTATGCATTGTTGTTGCATACATACATGTATATATCTGCATGTACTGAAGGTTTGTAGGTTCCGGCTGTTCTCTGACTTGCCACTTCTCCTATGTCCCCGGCATACAGCGCACATTGTTGCCACGGCCGACATGGGTGCCTGGGGTGGTAGCAACCCCAAGGTTGACGAGTGGCAAAGTCCCATCCCTACCATCATGCAACGGATCCTGACAGTGTCCGACACCAAGCCTGTGGACCTCGTTGCCATATACGGAGATTTATCCTGTAAGGTACACGCCTGGGTTGATCTGTGCATTTCGGTTTTATTGTGTACATAGGTTTGCTCAACCCCTTTGTGACTAAGGCCAGTATGGGTGTGTCACGCGGCTGTGTATCTTCACGGTGTCCTATTCTATGTACGACCAATACATGCATATCTGCTGACAGAAATCCACAATCACCCATACGCACCATGGACACCATGGACACCATCCAGCTCCACGTCTGCCACACCAATATCCTGTTGCTGCTGCTGCTACTGCTGTACCATGTTTGTGTTCATCCTATTATCCTTACAACATGAGTATGTTTAGTACTGAGAAGTCAGCCTAAGCAATCACCCATGGGACTGTACAGTTTTGGTCTCGGATACAGCAACACCTTATGAATGGCAGCATAGTGTTTACACCGGCTGAATTGTATCGCACCCAGTTGTCTATGCATGGTACACTTGCCGGGGTCTTTGGAAAAACAAAATTACTAGCTAGTCACTACATCTCACACGTGGACGTGACCCAAGATGGATCCCATGTTCTCCACAATGTGATAAGCTATGGCATCATCTCTGTACCACTGTTGGTGCAAGGGAGCACATGGCTAGATGGGACTAGTGCTGTGCTCGCTATTCCCAATGTGTACAGTGTTAGTAGCTGCAGACAGTGCAGTAGTAGTACAGAGAACCAGTAGCCCTACTGGACTGTGTTTGTATCTACCCTGAACCGACAACTGACAGTGTCATTTGTCTTCCTGTCTTCGCTACACTATACCTGTTGCACTCTCGTAGATGCAAATGGCGAAGGGCATGTGTGGGAGCGCTATTTCTACCGCCTCGAGCCAGTAGCAACTCGGATACCGTTACACGTTGCTATCGGCAACCATGGTTAGTGATCTGAGGCATTGATTGCATTACTGGTACCAAGCTGTCAACTGCACAAGTGTAACACGACATGGGCATGACACTGCACAGGTGTAACACGACATCGGCATGACACATGCTCTACGAGTACAAATTGAAATTTGTTTAAGATGCACGCTTGGTATGTACATGTGCAGTTATCGTTTTCTTCAGTTTCCATGTCTTCTTGCCAGGCCATTGGTTCTCTCATCATTGCCTTGACATGTAGAATCCACCCGTTTGGAACCACCTCGACACACCGTCTGCCCATCGGTGTGAGCGACACAGTGTTCCTTCAATTTGTTGTTCTTTTTTTTTGTTCACGTCAAACACAGTCCTACCAATGAATTGGGAAGAGAAGGAAGCAGAAGACGAGCAGGGACAACTTGGGGGCCCACACAAATTGTTGTGCCACTGTGATAACCATGTGTGTTGTTTTCCTGTTGCTCTATGTGTGTGTGTCTTTTGTGGTGTCGCGGTTTGCCGTCTTTCGGCAATATCTATGCAACATGCCTGCTTGCCACTAAGAGTATGACTATGATAGGTAAGTGCAGCATGCTATTATTATGCTCTATTCGCGTTAGCATCAGTGAGCTTATAAAGCTCACATATAGCCTTCGCTTAAGCCGCAAGAAGGAGCAAGTGAGCGCGAGGAAGCGCAATGCACACAGAGCGTCAAAACAAAACAAAAAACAGAAAAAAGAGACAAGCTGCAAGAAGGAGCAAGTGAATGCGAGGAAGCACAGTGCACATCAAGCATCACAATCACAAAAAAAGACAAGATGGAAACGCAAAGTTATGTCCATTGTTGCATTAGCGGCTACATAACAACCTTCACCAGGTCCTGCCACTGAGGGCGATCCTGGGCGAGCTGCTGCAGCCTGTTGCAGTCATCTCCATTATCTATATATAAAGGTATAAATTATGTCCATTGTTTCAATAGCAGCTACATACAGCCTTCACCAGTTCCCGCCACTGTCGACGGTCTTGGGCAAGCTGCTGCAGCATGTTCAAGTCATCGCCAGTCTCTAGGGCAGTATTATTTTTCAGTTTTTTGAGATCATTATTGAGCGTTCGCGGGAGCGTTGTTCTTGGGCGTCCCCTAAAGCTGGGGCCGTTACCCCCTAAGAAGTAAGCTCCCATGGCACGTCTGGCTGGGGCTGCCTCTTCCAAACGCAGCACATGACCAAACAGCCTCCATCTAGCATCTCTGATGATTTGGCTCACGGGGCGAGATTCTGTGCGTTTATACAGGGAAGTGTTCTTTATTATGAGCGGGTATTTAATGCCTATCACTGTTCGCAGCTGCTGCCTGTGGAACGAGTCCAATTTCCGCTCCTGTGTCCCCGTGAGACTCCACGTGCCACAGTTATAAAGCAGGATTGGTAGAATGAAGCTATTATAGAGGCGCACTCGTAGAGACTCTCTGATGTGTTGCCCTCTCAGCCATATCACCCACATCCGGTGAAGTGCGCTTGTAGCCAACCGCTTTCGTCTGCCTATGTCCTCATCCACTCCAAGCATCGAGCCCAGCTTTATTGTGTGTCGCCACTGTTCCTCTATTCGATCCTTTTGTCTGCTTATCATGGTGTGTTCCGTCTTCCCCTCATTCATCTTCAAGTTCCACTCTGCTAACGAAGAGGATATTGTAGGAAGGCAATCTTTTAGATACTTTTGGTCGGTACTGATGAAGTCCACATCATCTGCATATTCCGACTCTCCGGGCAGAAGCAGCTGGACGTCTCGGTCTGGTCGCGGCGGTAGACGGTTTCGTACCTCTCTTAACGCAGCTTCCAGGTATATCGTAAACAATACCGGCGACAGAGAATCTCCCTGTGGAGTCCCATTGTATGTTTCAAGTGGCTGGCTCAGGATGTTGTTTAGCCGTACTTTAATGGTGGTATCCGTAAGTAAGCACTGAATAAGATGTAATTCGTCCGGGTTCACAATAGTCTCCAGCACGTTCATGAGCTTTGGTCTTGAAATAGTGTCAAAGGCTTTCGACATATCAATTCCCAAAATGGCGATATCTTCCTTTACTCTTTGGCATCTTGCTGCCAACCATCTGTAGGAGTACACAGCATCCGCTGTACTTCTCCCGCTGCGAAATCCGCTCTGGCAGGGCGAGAGGTATTGATCAACTGCCGGCTTAATAAAGCATGCTATAATGACATTAATTTTTACTACTTCCGAAGTAACTCAGTCGACAATAGCCAGGCTGCTGCTGCTATGGTGTCTGCTGCTGCTTCTACTGCGGTTGCTATTGAGAGCTCCCATGGTGTGTGCTTGCCATGGAGCTAGACCCACGTTGCTTGAGCGTGACAGTCAAATCGGAAAGCCTGCTTGTGTGCCAGCTGGCCTGTGTAATAGCCATGATTATGCAGATGTGGATGGTTCTGGTCAAATTCCCACATTTTCCAGCAGGCATGACATAGTGATTAACCTAGCACAGCTGTTCTTGTGGACAATTCTACACTCCCAGCAGGACTATGTGTGGTCATGGAGTACCAGAGATGCAGAAGGGGTTGAGGAGTAGAGATTGTAAAATGCTATCTATACACACTTCTCCACCTTTCTGCACAAATCCGCATTATAACTGTTTGCACACATATCCCCATACTGCATCCATAGTTGTAGTGCAGTGCGCTGTAGTGAATGCTGACTCGTAACTCCACCCTTCACTTGTTCATTGTTGTTTGATGTGGCCACTGTTAGGTTGCCTGTGTCGCGTCCCCGGCTCACAGTGACCGGACCCCGAAATCACTACGAGCGGCGACTGAATATAGACGTGTGGCCTCACGACAAGCCCAACACAACCCAGGGGCCAACCAATATAGCTGGCTTGGTCCAAGTTCAACCCCACACGATCAACAGACAGAGACTGTTAGTTTTACGTTGTGAGTAGTATCAAATCCGAGCTCAAAGTAAACGAAGACAGAGAGCTGAGACCGAGTCTCGACTGCTAGACTAGACTAGACTAGACTAGACTAGAACTGAACTGAAGTAAGAAAGAGAATGAGAGCTTCTTTTATAGGGTGCTTCAGAGATATATGGCGTGATCATTGCGAGGTAATTCCAGGAAATAGCAGAACAAGTCAAACCGGAATGTGCGCAGCCAGTCAGCAGAAATGCAGAATATACGTACGGTGATCATTCGAGAAGAAAGAGAAAGAAAGACATCGAGAGGAGAAAGACCAAATTGGGACGTGGGGAGCCCGCTCACCCACGTTAGAGTACAATGTGAGTATATGAGGGTCACGTTGGGGAGCCCGCTCACCCAACGTGCCATAGTTCAGCGGCTTCTTATGGTAAGTTCTGCTGCATTCTTGGTCTTGCTTGCGTGATACTCTGACGTCTTGCGCGGTGACGGTTTTGGTTCTTGCACATGTCTCCTGTCTTGCACTTAGCTCTTGTTATACAATGTCATATTAGTCCTGGCTCTTTGCACGAAGCGCCGAGGCATCGTGGAAACCTGTAGAACGTCGTAGTGACGTGGTTTTGCACAAAGCCTGGAGTCACATTTCCAGGAAGTGAAGAACTTCCAGGAAACGTACAACGCGAGAACCTACCTGACCAGGTTCCGGCCTTGGATCACATGACGTGTCATGCCAAGAAGGCATGTCACCTACGTGGGAAAGCGCGTGTCGCTCAACCTACATGCTAAGCACGTGGGACAAGACACTGGCCAAACCACGTTGTACTAAAAGGGCGTGACAGCTCAGCACAGAGCTGCTCACTATGTAGATCCTGCTGTCACAGGACTATCAGGCAGCAGTTGTCTTATCCTGGGACGTGACATTTCCCCCGCCGTTGAAGAATCACGTCCCGTGACTATCCTCGACCGATATGGTAGTCGGTGAGATACCGCGACGTTGCCAGTGTCATCCACCAGGCTCCGCGACGGATACAATAGGTAAGTCAACTGGAGATGCAGGATGCAAGTCCAATCCACCACAGGTTTTGGTGCGAACACCATGTCATCAGCCGAATATAGCATATCACTCGTATCGGGCTCATACGACTGAACAATATCACTGACTGCTCACGAGAAAATACAATTCCTCGCCAGGTGCCAGGCACATAAAGCATTCACTCAATCCGATGGTGCTACACAGTTGTGAAACCAGATCGGTAAAGAGCTCGTAGTAAAATCCATCCGGTAACGAGCAAATTGGGACCTCACTCGCAACAACTCATCATCCCCAGATGATTCTCGCCTACCAGGCTCCTCGACACAGGGCGTCCCCTGGTCAGCCAACACTGTGCCCGAGGGATCCAGATCCAAATCATCCTCTCCCACCACAGCCTTTCCACTTCAGTTCTAGGACCTCGTCCTATATGAAGCGCAGACCATAATTATTCGGCCCCAGGAATCCCATCCTGGCCTGTATGGTCACCACCGTCCCCTTCTCCGTTGCTCACTACGCAAGCTCATCACCACCAACCGAAATTGGCTACAACTGACCGATCCGGGCGCCTCATCCACAGAGACCAACTGACTCCTCTGAGCCGTACACAACCCGAACCGGTGCACAGTTCAGTCATTTGTTGAGGATGCAAAGGCACCCATCAACATCACACTTTCACAGGACACAGTTCCCTCTGCAGGAAACTGGTCAACTTTCACCAAGCACAAGGACCGCGAAGAGTAACGAGTATACACTCCAGCACATACTAGTAGGTCATGTACTGTCCGGCCATCCTCTCCACAAACTTTTTTTTCACAAACAGAACGTCTGGAGAATGAAGATCGACAACAAGGTCAGAACTCGCCATCCTCGCGACATGATCGTCAAGACTCGCGGCATTCGCAGATAAAACTGCTTCCGCCAGCACCAAAGCTGGGCGTCACAAATCTTCGTCTGGTGCATCGACACGCAGAACGAGATTTGAATTCGTCCACGACCAGCGACGTGGTCTGCATCCTCCCATCGTTCCAGCCATGAAACAACCGGGTCTTCAAACAGCACTCGCCATTGCGCGACTGAGAACAACTGAGTGCAAACGTCAGTAAGGCCTCATCGTTGAAGAGACGACCTGTCAAGCTTCAAGAGCTTCAAGCGGTCTCAACAAACACCATGTCCGAACAGTGGCGTTTTCTTGTCGAAACTTGAAAACTGCACTGCACTACTCCGTGATCCAGTCGTAGTGACTACTTTCACAACGCTCCGTAAAGAGGACCCAAGCCCTGTTTACGGCTCATGTGCGTACACATGGTACACGGGTTCACGAATCCTTCCATATCTGAACCTGACTGTGACAAACGCGCACTGCACTCGTACTTGAGAACTGCATGAATGCAAACAACTCCTCGATCGATCGTGCAACTGACAATAAATTTCGCACCTTGGTGCCCGCCATGTAGTCCGCAGCAAAGCAAGCTCGTCGTGCACTACGAACTCGCACTACAGCGCTACAGGAACACGAGGTACGGAACGCAGGGGCGGATACAGGGGGGGTTCAGGGGGTTCGGACGAACCCCCTAAAATAATTTCGACCATGGGTCCAGTCGATTCTTTTGTGATATCCACGTGCGCAACCAGCGAAGTGTAGCGTACATGCAGCGTAGCCAGTACTGGCAGTAGACTTCACTGGCATGCATCCTGCATGCAGTAGTCACGTACAGGCAGTGCAGGTGCTACAATGTAGGTCACTGCATGCATGCAGTGGTCGGGACTGTTGTACGCGTACCGTTCGAATCGAAGGGTCCGTACGCGTATCATGTGACTTGAAACGATCGACAGTTCAAGTGGTGGAGCAAAAGGTGGAAAAACTGCCACTTGTCCTCCTTCCTTGTCGTTTTGTTTTATTTCGCGCTGGCTGGACTGTAGGTTTCCTCCGTCGCAGTACGAAGATCATGTTTGTGTTTGTCGTGTAGTTTGCCATGTCGCGGTGGAGGCAAAGGTGGAGAAACTGCCACTTGTCCGCCTTACCTTCCTTGTCGTTTTGTGTTATTTCGCGCTGGCTGGACTGTAGGTTTCCGCCGCCGCAGTACGAAGATAATATTTGTGTTTGTCGTGTAGTTTGCCGTGTCGCGGTGGAGGAAAAGGTGGAGAAACTGCCACTTGTCCTCCTTACCTTCCTTGTCGTTTTGTGTTATTTCGCGCTGGCTGGACTGTAGGTTTCCTCCGTCGCAGTACGAAGATAATGTTTGTGTTTGTCGTGTAGTTTGCCATGTCGCGGTGGAGGCAAAGGTGGAGAAACTGCCACTTGTCCTCCTTACCTTCCTTGTCGTTTTGTGTTATTTCGCGCTGGCTGGACTGTAGGTTTCCGCCGCCGCAGTACGAAGATCATGTTTGTGTTTGTCGTGTGGTTTGCCATGTCGCGACGTCTGCCAAAGAAGCGAGCGGCCGATCAGTTGCCATTGAGCTTGGCTTCGTTCCGCCGTGTACGACGCGAATGTGACGACACGCAGTCCCAGCCGGAGGACAGTCAGAGAACTTCGCCTTCCGTCAGTTCGGAAAATGCTGCAGTCACGGCCTTAGTTTCTGCCTGTGCTGCAGCTTTGTACTTTGTAAGGCTCTAAACGCATTATTACCCTTGTCTTATTGGCCAAGCAATGCAAGGGCTACCGTGACAATAAAGTTTTGCAACTCCCGGTGTAGTGAACGAACCGAAAACAGTTTGAAGCGAATTTAATTCTGTGCACTCGAAAAAATTTGAACCCCCCCTGAAAAATTCCTGGATCCGCCCCTGGAACGAAAGCCAGTGCTGGATCCGAAAGAGAAACGCACTCGACGTTTTCTTCGTACCAAGTTGGAGCGTCCAACACTGCTGTTGCTCTGCCACGTCTATCGCCAAGAACCTGCCATCAGAGACAAGGTTGTTCACGAAAGACTGCTGTGGACATTGCGTCGTTGCAGTTACGGAGTGAGGAGAACTTAGACCATCCTGGTCACAGCACCAAATGTCGCGTCCCCGGCTCACAGTGACCGGACCCCGAAATCACTACGAGCGGCGACTGAATATAGACGTGTGGCCTCACGACAAGCCCAACACAACCCAGGGGCCAACCAATATAGCTGGCTTGGTCCAAGTTCAACCCCACACGATCAACAGACAGAGACTGTTAGTTTTACGTTGTGAGTAGTATCAAATCCGAGCTCAAAGTAAACGAAGACAGAGAGCTGAGACCGAGTCTCGACTGCTAGACTAGACTAGACTAGACTAGACTAGAACTGAACTGAAGTAAGAAAGAGAATGAGAGCTTCTTTTATAGGGTGCTTCAGAGATATATGGCGTGATCATTGCGAGGTAATTCCAGGAAATAGCAGAACAAGTCAAACCGGAATGTGCGCAGCCAGTCAGCAGAAATGCAGAATATACGTACGGTGATCATTCGAGAAGAAAGAGAAAGAAAGACATCGAGAGGAGAAAGACCAAATTGGGACGTGGGGAGCCCGCTCACCCACGTTAGAGTACAATGTGAGTATATGAGGGTCACGTTGGGGAGCCCGCTCACCCAACGTGCCATAGTTCAGCGGCTTCTTATGGTAAGTTCTGCTGCATTCTTGGTCTTGCTTGCGTGATACTCTGACGTCTTGCGCGGTGACGGTTTTGGTTCTTGCACATGTCTCCTGTCTTGCACTTAGCTCTTGTTATACAATGTCATATTAGTCCTGGCTCTTTGCACGAAGCGCCGAGGCATCGTGGAAACCTGTAGAACGTCGTAGTGACGTGGTTTTGCACAAAGCCTGGAGTCACATTTCCAGGAAGTGAAGAACTTCCAGGAAACGTACAACGCGAGAACCTACCTGACCAG